GGAGAAAACCGATAATTTATAAATTACTAATCTAGGGTAAGGTTGAACATAATCATTCATTTGTCTTAAAACACGTAACTTTTTATCAGGAGCTTTAAAATGAATGGACAAATTAGGAGGCAATAAATTTTTATATAATTTAAACATAAATTTTAACAGACCAAAATTATATATTTGTTTAATTGTTAATAGATTAGCTTCTTGGTAAAAACTTGAGACATGGTCATACTTTTTCAAGAAAAAAAGACATCTAACAAAACTATTATAGGCCAATCTCAAAGAATTAAGATGGGTCGTGCAACTATTACCCCATAACATTACGCCATATGTTAAACACGGATAAAGTAAACTGTAATCTAATTTTTTAGTGACATCAAAACTAAGCTTGAACCTCAATTTACGAATGATACCAGTAATTTTAGAAATTTTACTTGATATGTGCATTATATGATTTAACCATGACAAATTGTCTGTAATTACAAAACCTAAAAATTTATTTGTATACACTCTTTCAATACTGTTATTATCAATTTTAATAGAAATTCCTAAATTATTAGTAACAATCTTAGAACCAAAAATCATATAGTTTGTTTTTTTTATAATTTATATTTAAGTCATTTGATTTAAACCAACTGATTATTTTTTCCATTTCAGTGTTAAATGTATTGACCACAGTAATAATGTCTTTCCCAGAACATAAAATAGTGGTATCATCAGCAAACAATATACTTTCAAGTGATTTACTGACAGTGGATAAATCATTTATAAAAATTAAAAATAACAAAGGCCCCAAAACTGAGCCTTGCGGGACACCAAATTTAATCAAAACATTCGATGACCGATGATTACCCAAAGCTACATATTGTTTACGATTTGATACATAACTTTCAAACCATCTGTGTTGTACTCCACGAATACCAAGAGAATATAATTTCCTCAACAATAACGCATGATTGATAGAATCAAATGCTTTAGATAGATCTAAAAATAACCCAATAGTTATCGACTTATCTTCCATTTTACTAAGAATTCTCTCAACAAGATCTAACAACGCCAACTCAGTAGATCTACCTTTTCTAAATCCATATTGAGAATCATCGAAAAATTTGATATGTTTCAAATAATTATTTAAACGATTTGACATGATTTTTTCTAAGATTTTTGACAAAGATGGTAGAATTGAAATTGGTCGATAATTGGACAGCAGATTAGTGGGACCATTTTTATGCAAGGGAATAACTTTAGCTATCTTAAAAAGATCAGGAAACATACCGGTGGCAAATGATTGATTAATAATATGACTAAGTGGATCAATAATCTTATATATTGTTTTTTTTTGATGAAAAAAGAAGAAACACCATCATGGTTTGATGAATGAGAACACTTCAAATCATTGACATGTCCGAGAATTTCATCATTATCAACTAAATCCAAATAAAAAGAGTTTACGGTAAAATTTGAGGAAATATTGTCCAAAAAAAATATTACTATGAGAACCATCATTGTGTTTAATAATAGTGGTAAAATAATTATTGAATGCTTCACATATATTCTTCGGATTATCTATTATCAAACCATCTACATTTATTTCACTGATAGGATTATTAGGTCGGGATCTAATTAATTTATTAATATATTGCCAAATTACTTTTGTAATGTTTTTATTTTTTTCAAATATATCGTTATGGTAATTTTTTTCAGAAATAATAACTAATTTATTACGATATTTTTTATAAATTTTAAAATTAAGTTCAGAAGGATTTTTAATATATAATTTATATAATTTTGATTTAACTTTGAATGATTTAAGGATACACTTTGTTAGCCAAGGATTTTTGATTTTACAAGATCTCATTTTGCGGATGGGACATGTTTTGTTTATGAAATCAGTAAAAAAATTAATAAATGATGAAGTATATTTGTTTAAATCGGTAAATTGATTTAAACAACTCCAGTCAAAATTAGATAAAACGGAGTTCAGACGAGCTAAACTTTTATTTGATACAACACGAGCAGAATAAGTATCCGAGTTATTTATGAAACTAATATTATTGCAAACAGTGAAAACAGGTGAGTGGTCAGAAATATCAACATATAGGATGCCTGAAGTGTGATTGACAATATTATTAGTGAAAATGTTATCTAACAACGTCGAAGTATTTTTAGTTATACGTGTAGGTGAATCAATTAACGGCACTAACGAAAATGACTGTAATAAATGACTGAAAGAAAAACCAATTTTGTAGCAGTCATCTTTAGCCATATCAATGTTAAAATCACCTGATATATAAATTTTAGTTTTATGCCTATGTTTCAATTTTATAAACAATTCTTCTAGTTGTTGAATATAAACATTGTAATTAGTATTAGGTGGACGATAGATGGAACAAAACAATATGTCAGATCCTTTACCTGCAATATTACTAATATCTATAGCTAACCAATCAAATACATCATTTACTGTACACAAATCTGGACAAATTTTATAAACAACATCCTTTCTCAAGTAAACACCTACACCACCACCACCCTCAGTCTTCTATTACTACATATAAAGTTAAAATCATCTAAACTAACCATGTTAGAAGTCTTATCATCCAACCAGGTTTCACTAATGGAGATTACCTTCAGATTATTAATGTTTCTAGGGAGACAATTTAAATCATTAAGTTTTAGTAATAAACTACGAGCATTGAAATGTAAAACAGAAAAATTGTTATTAACATTCAAACCAAAGTCAACAGGAATAGTATCAACAGTATAATACATAGACGAGGTAGTATCAAACATATTAGTGAATCCATCAGGGTCAACAGCCGCCAATCCATTTTTGTCATCCATGAGTAGTTTTTGTGGTTTCCTTAATTGAGGTTTTAAAAACCAACTCATATATAAATGTGCTTTTATCTCATAGTTCTTTGTTCAGTAATTTAGATACTTCTGTGTCTGGTAGAATAATCTTAAAAGCTGTAGATGTTGTTTGCTTTTCTGAAACTGTTGTTGGCACCTCCACCGACTGATCATTTATCTTTCTGTGACTTCTAAACAGCGGAAAAATATTCGTAAACTTTATTCCATTTTCTGTCAGGTGGTTTTCAACTGTTTCTTTACCGCAAATAGCTACATTTCCGAGATAAAAAACTTTTTTCTTTATTTTTTCATCTATTTGCTTCGAAGCTTTCAATTTGGAAGAAATGGACGAACCAAAAATTTTATTTTTTCTTGAATCTGGTTCTTTAGTTAATGGTTTAAATGGTGAAATTACATCTTTTTTTCGTTTATTTCTTCTACTTGAGACTTCAATGAAGTTGCTATCGTTATCCGTAGCAGAGTCGTCAACTTCAGTTTGACTAACAAGTGGTTTATCAGCCCAAGTAGAAATAGGTTTAGAAATTGGCTTTAACGTATTTTTATTAAATATATTATTATCAGAGATATTTACAAAGTCACTCCGAGTTTTATCATTCGCGCTTAATTTTATGTTTAGATTATTTACAATAGAAACTAATTCAGACTTATACACGTTGAAGAAATTTTCCATATCTTTCAACTTTTCATTAAACATATTTATAAAATATTCAACGTTAACTTGAGGAATTTTCTTAAGGTTTGCAGCAACATATGTAGGTTTAAGTTGAGAATTTACAGAATTAAAACATTTAACAAGTTCAACTAACTCCAGAAATATTTCATGCTTACCATTACCACGTTGCGTGGATTTAATTTTACCTTTATCTAAAGTTTCCAAATCTAAGTTTAAAAGTTTTTTTCCACTTTTTATATCCTCAACATTATAAAATTCCTCGAAAATATTCAAAAACTTTAAATTATCGAGTTTGTCAAAATTATTCAACAAATAACAAACAATTTCAGAAACACGTGTAACTCGTTCGGCCGCCATAGCTGATAAATATATATATATATATATATATATATATATATATATATATATATATATATATATATATATATATATATATGACATTTTTATCTCATCAAATAAAAACAAAGAAATCAAAGAAATGATATCAATGAAAAGAAATGATTTGGAAATCGAAAAGAAAACATGGTTTTCTTGTAATGATTACCAGTGACAATTGTAAAAATGAGAACATATTTTAAATATTTTCGTACATGTAAACTCCCATTCAAATTACAAATCCCAGAAAAACTAAAAATGGATTCAAAATTATTAAGTAATCAACTCTTTCACATTTTTATCAGAAAGTTGTTTGTAATTATTAAAACACATGTATATATAATTTGCACATAATATTAAAAAAATTTGATAAGAATCGAATATGCTGATTACCTAACAATAGAAAGTTTTTTTTCGATCTTTATAGTCGTACGTTACTTTTTTCGATATTTGTTTATACGTTAGTTCATACATTTGTTCGTTCATTCATTCGTTCATTCATTCGTTCGTTCATTCATTCGTTCATTCATTCGTTCGTTCCTTCGTTCATTCATTCATTCATTCGTTCGTTCCTTCGTTCATTCCTTCGTTCATTCATTCGTTCATTCATTCATTCATTCATTCGTTCGTTCATTCATTCGTTCGTTCGTTCGTTCGTTCGTTCGTTTGTTCGTTCGTTCGTTCATTCATTCATTCATTCATTCATTCATTCATTCATCCATCCATCTACCCACCCACCTTTATATTGTTGTTAAACACTTATAATAATGTATCCTATACATTAAATAACGTTTTTTAATGATGTCAGTGATTGAAATGGTATAAACATATAAATGGAACTGGTATAAATAGGAGCCGAGAACACGTTGTAATCAGACAGGGCGCTTTTGGGCATTCCATTAGCGCCTGGTCTCATTTTTTTATTATATATTTTTTTATTTATTATTTCTAGACGTTTTCGTTATTTATATTGTTACTTATTATTTCTAGATTTATTAGTTTATTTTACTGATATTATTATTGTGTGGTTATATAGAGTTTGCACACACAAACACACACTCATACATACATAAATACATACATATATACACACATACATTCGTTGTTTTGTTTGCTTGATGTTTTTATCCTCTTTTTCTTACTTTTTTCTTCGTAATCGTACAAATAGGTAGCATCAATTCGTAAGTTGAGCTAATTGAACTTGCTTTTTCAGCATTCAACTATTCGTTAACAATTCTTTAAAATATTTTTTTTTCTTTTATATATAAGTTAGAAAATCATATTAGCTGATTTACTAGAAATGATTACATTAAACATGTCACTCATTGATGTAGTCACTAGTCACATCGAAGCCAAACACCACATTCACACTGACAAATGATTGACGTGTTATCGCTTCTGATTGAGACAATACAATAAGGCAATATCAGTTAAAAAACCATATTTAATAAAATTTATGTTGAAACTTAAAACCTGTTGGCTCTTCAATCAAATGTTCTAAAAAAAAGTGATTTTGATTTTCAATTGTTTTATACTTTGGTCCAAAATTTTCCATGGCTAACTTCACATTTTCTACGTTCGTAAACAAACGAAACAAGCATGGACTCGTGGTTGGAATTGCAACCTGCTCTATCGTCACCCGTTTTAAAAACAATTCAATCGTTCGGATACAAATGCATGACGCCTGTTCAGGTTTTTATTTTTTGTGTTTTTAAGTTTAATCGCGATTTTTTAAAAATAAAGTATTGATGACTTGCAGTGTGTTTGTGTTGTAGGTTGTACCACCTATCTTGCTTGTTTAATTATGTTCATTCAGTACAGTTGAGTCCTAAGTCTTAACTTTTAAGTCCAAGAGTATCTTGCTAGGAGATGGTTTGATAAATGATATATTAGTTAATTAAAGAAGCAAAGATCAGTTTGCCGCTCCTTTCCTCACTCTTATCTCCCTCCCATCACACTACTAAAGTACTATAAGGAGAAAGATTAACATTAAGATTAAGGACTGACTATTGTAAAACTACCATTTTTTAGTTAAATCCAGTAGTTCTAGTTTTGGTTTTTGATTTTTTTTCAAGTTCCAATTTTAAGCATCTTTCCTTTTAGGTAACACTTTGTCTAAGAAGTTATACCTAGTGCTTATGGGTTTCTCTACACTTTTGATCCTCGTGAGTATTATTCTCATTCAATCCATTAATTGTGTTATTACTTAGCTTTTTTTGGGTAGATTTTTAAATGCTGGTCATGTATCCTTTAATCAAATGATTACACATGTCATCAACACTGTTGCCATTATTATGGAAATAAATTTTTTTACTGTCTACATTTAGCAGATGCTATTTTGAAATTTTTGCAGTTCATCTTTAATACTACTTTTGAAATATTCAAAAATTTTACCTTTATATGTAGCACTAGAAAAAAAAACTTAAAACTGGTTTTTATCAAATTATAACATTCAGGGATCAGTAAGTTTTCATATTGAACAAATTAAAATTTGGGTTTTTAAGTTCATCAAGTAATTATTTTAATTGAGAAAATTATTTTTGTATATCAGAAGTTTGTGTATGGTAGCTTTTTTATAATATAACGTTTCACTATTTGATTTGATCAATATTGATTAAGAATTTCAATTTCATAATGGTTGAAACATTATTTTCTGTTAGGCTTCCTGCATACCTCTGTTCTTGAGTCAGAAAGATGTTGCAGTTGAGGCTGTAACGGGCAGTGGTAAGTTTCTCAAAATCATTCGCAAAACTTCAAATATTTATTTCATTTTTTAAATGTTTTCAAGAACTCTTCTCAAACCTCAAACATAAGTATTTACATTCAACCCACAATAAAATGGCACTTCAAATGATTTTTAATCTTACTTATAATTTTGGTTCTTTGTTCTCACAAGTACAACAGGAATGGTATTCTCATTGCATTTTTTCATATTTCTTGACTTACCATTTTTTTAATTATTTATATTAACAGTTTTTCTTATCACTTAGGTAAGACGATATCGTTTGTAGTTCCAATGCTGGAGATGTTACTGAAGAGAGAAGAACCTTTTAGGAAACATGATGTTTGTTGTTATAATTAGTTCTGTTACAGATTTTAGTTTGAAATTTTCTTTAGAAACTCTGATGGTTTTTATTTTATAAACGTAGTTGTGCGAATGTGTTGTAAATCTGATAGTGATACACCAGTGCAATGATGGTAGATGATAAAAAAAAATAATCTGAAAAACTTTTGCAGATAGGTGCCTTGATAATTACCCCGACTCGAGAACTGGCCATTCAAATTGAGGGTGTGATTCAAGGTTTCCTTGAAAATATGCCCCAATTCACATCGATGTTATTGATTGGGGGTAACAACCCTTTAGCTGACATTGAAAAGTTTAGTAAGCAAGGGTTAGTGAAAATTTCAATTGGTCACATTTTCCAGCTTGAATATTTTTCCGTTTTTCTTAAAGTTTTTAGATATATTTCATCATTATTTTAGAATATTGAGTACCGATTGATCTATTGACACAAACAGGGCACATATAATCATTGGCACTCCAGGTCGCACAGATGATTTCATGAAGAGGGATGTTGCTGGCCTGCCTCTGTCTGCATCTATCAAATCATTGGTAGCTATTCATAATTTTCAGTTGATGAGTCGCATATAATAATTGTATATTTAAAATAAAATGTCTTTGTTAAAGGAAGTTTTGATATTGGATGAGGCTGACAGACTCTTGAACATGGGGTTTAAAAACAGGTTTTTAATTTTTATCTCATTGTTTGTGACAGTTCATGTTAAATTCATTGCATTATATCTTCATCACAGCATTATAACACAACATAACGTGACACGAAAAATTGAATGTAGAATAAAAAAATTCATTGCTCAAGTCAGAAGTAAATAAAAATTTATTGTTACCTGAAATTTTAACTGAAATGACAAAAATGTAAAAGAAACAAATTGCAGAGAATTGGTGGTTGCTATCAATGACGGTATGGTGGCTTTTGGCTGATAGAATGTAACTTCTTTATCTCAACGAGCCAGAAATACATCACATATTATCCCAATCCATATTTTGAATTTTGAAATCACCTATTACCTAATTTTTTGACCAACAGTTTGAACAACATCTTGAGCTTCCTGCCGAAGCAACGGAGAACAGGTTTGTTTTCAGCAACACAGACAGAAGAGGTTGAGGATCTGATTCGGGCAGGCCTTCGCAATCCAGTTTCAATTGTCGTCAAACAAACTTTATCAGGTGTTGCTCAACAAGTCTGGGAACAAAAAACTCCAACTACATTAAAAAATTATTACTTTGTTAGTTCATCACTATTTATTTTAGGAATCATGTCATTGGCACAGAAAGATTCTATGTTAGCGCCCAGTTATATTTAGTACTTGCAATACTTGCTGAATTTTTCTGTTTTTCGTAGACAATAACGCCCATCATGAAACTATTTCCATTCAATGGATTAATTTTTCGAAATGAAATATCTTGTTAAAATAATTATTAAATAGAAACTTTGTAAGCCATAATTTTGGAAATGGTAATTTAGAATGACTTAATAGCAGACTAGAATGATAAAAGATAAAACTTTTTTCAAAACCAAATGTTGATAAGGATATAATTTTGTTACTAAAAATTGTTCTTATGTTCAACTTTGTACAGATTTGTAATGCAGAGGATAAGCTGAATTATTTAGTAGGATTTCTCAGGAAGCACAAAGCCGATAAGATCATCCTCTTCTTCAGCACATGCACCTGCGTGGATTACTTTTCAAATATTTTACAAAAGTTTGTTCATTTAGTTTAGTCTGTAGCTGGAAATTTTCATTTTATTCAACTATTTCTACATTCTCTTTGAAAGTTATAAGTGAGTTTGGTAAATTTTTCAGCCCAGTTTTTTTCACAAATTTAGCTACTTTTGTTTATAACCAATTTTTTAATGTGAAATAGTTTCATCAGTTTCATCAACAGTGTTATTCCACCTGAAATTAAACTGAATCTGTTTGTACATACATGATGGTGGGGAATAACAAACAATCTTAATTAAGATTCTATTTTCAAACATATTAAATTATAGCACTTTGTTTTTGTCACAATCTCAACATTTAGTATGTTGACTAAGAGACAAGCAGACCGCTGATAAAAAATATCTGAACTTTGAAATAAATCATCTTTAATGCATGTTTTCGTTATTGGTAGCTTTCAGATAAAATTCTTTACATTTTGAAAATGAATTGAATAAAGTGCCGTATGAACAAAATTTCAAGACTCAATATAAGTTGTGTGAACATCATTATTAACCTCCTTGCTTAATCTAAAAAATCAAACGAATTGTAGGCTGTTGAAAGACAGAACAATTTTATCGATGCATGGCAAGAAAGGAAACCGAAGGAATGTGTTTGAAAAGTTTATAAAGTTGAAAAGGTAATGAAATATTACACAGTGTGATTGATTTGTAAAATTTGTTTAGTAATATAATAAGTGCGTGATGTTTTTAAACATCTATTTATTGATAATAATTGCTTGATAAATTTTAAAAAATATTACTTCGTAAAAATCGGTGTCATTTTTTAAAGTTTTTAACTATATTTCTACTACGAATCATTGTCATCCTTTATAAATCAGCTAAACTTATTTAACACAGTATATTTTGTTTTAAAATCTTACTTTTAGGCTAAATTATTTCATTTCACGTTCTTATTAATACATTTTATTCATTTATTTTTGTCATGCCTTGAATTTCTTTTGAGTTTTCCTAATTTTTAGATTTCGGTTTTCTTAAAGAGTTACATAACATTATGTTTTTCATGATAAACAATATTAAAAGTTAATAATAATGAACATGCAGCGGCATATTGATGTGTACGGATGTCATGGGACGAGGTGTCGACATTCCGGAGGTAGCTTGGGTCATTCAGTACGACCCACCCAGCTCTGCCTGGTTTGTAACAACGTTCCAAAATTTTATCGATTCTTATGCTATATGAATGTTACAAATAACTTTTAACTCTAATAATCCTGTTCATTTCATGTGATTTTGACCAATGTTTACTCTTCTAAAGGTCTAATTTTAATAATAAGAATGTTCTGTTTTAAATTGTTACAAAAATGTTTAAAATTTTGAATGACTTTTTTTACTGGACTTTAGTGATTAATTCAAATTGAATTATATTTTGCGCCTGAATAGTGCAACGTGTCAATTAATTTTAATATTAATATGATATAATATTTTCATTATTGATTTGTTATATGTATCTCTTAGCAACTTCGTACATCGCTGTGGTCGAACAGCTCGCATTGGAAATGAAGGCAGTGCATTGGTCTTTTTGCTGCCCTCTGAAGAATCTTATTTGAAATTCATCGAACTCAACCAAAAAGTTCATTTTTTCAACTTTTTACATTGTTTGCACTTTTTTTTTTTATAAAACTATGTTTAGCCACTATCAATGTTCTTGCTCGTTATTTTCAAGAGCTAAGATTTGTTGGACTTCTTTTTTTCCCAGATATCACTTGATCCCTACTCTATTGAGGAGAAGGCTGATGTAATGGAGAAGGTAAAAAAGATAGCTCTCACTGATAGGTTGGATAGTTAAGCGAATTTAAAATTTTTCTGAGATATAAGTTTGTTTGAACTTGAATTTGTTTTTCAATATACAGGGCCATCTATGAGAAAGGTCTGCAGGCGTATGTATCATTCGTTCAATCATATGCCAAACATGAATGCAATCTTATTTTTCGAATAAAAGGTGTTGTAACGTTTGTATTTGATTATTCTGTTATTTTTGTTGCATCTAATTCTAGTGACCGTTAAACTTTAAAATAAAAGCTTAAGCATGTTGAGATGCATATTATCATACCGTTGTTTAGAAAATGAGATGCTTACGTAAAAGTATAAGCTGTTGACACTGATCCGATCAATCCTTTGATTAATTCCATCCTTGTTTGAAACTGTAAATTTATTCATTTATAAACGTGACACGAGAACATCTGGCTGGTGAGCATGGTGAGTTAACTCAGATGGCAAATATTTTCAGAGTTGAATCTCGGTAAACTAGCCACTGGGTTTGGTTTGTTGCACCTTCCGAAAATGCCAGAATTGAAAAACGTTCAATGTGATTTTGTTCCTACTCAATATGACTACTCGAAAATTTCTTACAGGTTAGTCAACTGTGATTTGTTTAGGCTTTGAAATGATTTGGCTGCCAAAAATTTAATGTAGAACATAGTTTATTTATTATGGATACGCATTCTTTTATTATTTATATCATTCTTTTTCAAGCATCCTGGTATCATTTTCATTAAATTTTTAACCTAGAAAGCAATGGATAAATTCGCGTTACCAAAACAAAATATTAAATTATATTCTTAAATTTTGTATATGTATATGGCAACTTATTCATGCAGTTTGTATTTTTTCAAATTTCCACGTTAGGATCGTTTTATATTTTGTCTAATTTCACAATTTTTGATTATAACTTTAAAATGTTATTAACAAATAAACGTCAGGGAATAATATTTTTGTTTTGTTTATGGATATAATCTTTTCTAAACTTGATAAGCTGTTTACAAATCTTACAAATCGCAGAGACAAAGAAAGAGAAAAATGTAGAAAGAGAAAATTATGCGATGAAGCAGCCAACGCACAAACGAAAACAAAGTTTAAGGTGTCTTTTTTACCGTCTGTTGTCTGTTGTTCTGTTCTTGTTGTTTATAAAAGATTTTTAACTTCAGCTATTTAGTGATTATTCATGTTAGTTATTTTTTTGTATCATATTTTTATTGAGACTGATAGATTACTTTGCTTATCATCCTTTGAATATTAAATTTTCTTTGGTATAATTTAATTAATTTTTGTGAGGTTCATAAAAAGTCTATAAACAAATCTCTGAACGTAAAAAAATATAATTTCTCACGTTTTGTAACAGAAAAACAACGAATCGTGGTCTAAGCAGAAAGAAAAGCAAATAAAAAAGAACCAAAGGAAAATTAAGAAAGTTAACAGCAAAAGGAAATTAGATGAAAATGATTTAAACGATCTTCGTAATGACGCAAAGCTCATTAAAAAACTTAAATCTAAAAAAGTTTGTAAAAATTCAATTAATTATCTTCTAGCCAACATAATAACTTTTCACAGATTGTTTAGCAAACTCCAGAAGTAATTAACAGCTTTCCTTTCATCCCTTTGCACTATTTTTTTGATTCCTCTAAAAAATTTCATAAATCTTTCTACAGATGTAGATCGCCTTTCATGTCTTCTTCGGCTTTTTTCAAAAATTTTTTACAATTGGTTGATATCTTCCACAAATCTCAAAACCCCTACCAAAAAATATTTCCCAACTCCTTTCACTATTTTTAACTTATTTCAAAATTTTAATTTTCCACAAATCTTTCTGTCCATTTTTAATTCGTCCTAACCACATTGAATTGGTTTTAATATCTTGACAAAGAGATGGTTAAAAAATTTTGTTTGATTGTACCATGTGCTGTTAACTCACGGCGGATTTGTTAATCCATGTAACGCATGTCTGCCTTTCAAGATATTCGCACATTTTTTTATTGAATAATTCTATAATTCAAAAATTAAATGAGGACCTTAGTTGAACATTCTGTGCTTATTGTACACCTTAAGACAATAATATTTAAACTGTCAGCAGTCTTAGTGTTATACCAAAAAATAATACTTTCTAACAAAACGCTGTTATACATTTTTAAAATATTTATCTTTTTTCAGATTACAAAAGAACAGTTTGACGCCGCCTTCAGAACGTCGTTAACTTGATTCTTTTTGTAAGTAGGAAAAATTTTTTTTCATTATCAAATGTGAAAACAGCGTCAAATTTTTAATGATCATTCATTATTTTATGCGAATAAAATATTAAACCGGTTGAAAACCGATATTTATTTCAGACATTTCTAGTTAGAATGCAAGTAATTTTAGATTAAACCTTGTACATAAGCTGAGAAATTAATATAACTTGCGTGCACTTTTGATGTATCAACATTTCCAAGATTGATAGTTGAGTGTCGTTAGTTTTTAACGTGCTGTGAAATTTGTAAAATAAGTTTTTTTATGTTTTCGTGAAGCTTTTCCTTTATTAGCATTTAGCATGATTCATCTCGACCTCTCATTAAACATGTTAATCGATCGTAATGATGATGACGGGCTAACAAGCTATTGTTCGGCCATATTGTGAAAATATTTAAAAATGCCTCGAACGAAAAAAGGCGTAAACTGATTTAGACTCAATATTTACGAGTTAGCGATTAAATCACTGAATTAAACTTCTGTTGGTTTTCAAAACGATTTTGTCAAATTCTAATGTTTGAAAAGATAAAAATATGAAGCATGTTGAATTACAACTAATAACGTAAATTCTAGAAGAGACAGTTCTGAATGTTAAACGTAAAATGGTTTTGATAATAATTTTAATAAATAGAATGATTATAAAAAAACTTGGTGGTTCAGCATTAACAGTTGAACTCGCATTTTAATCAAAAGTTACCGTGTGTTTGTGTAGACAGACGTATCTACATAACGCTAGAAAGCAGACTCAACAGTAATTAAAAATTAGGTCTATAACACTTATACACCTTTCTTCCCAGTTATTTAAGTTTGGCTGATGCCAAACAAATTTAATTCATAATATGCCTATTTGAAAGGTAAAGTATTGTATGAAAGTGTTAGGACTTACACTTTAAATTGTGAATATTTTGAATGTAATACCAATTCTTTTAGACATGTAATTATGCAGCAACAATTATTATAGACATAATTAAATTAATAAATATTATACATGGGAACCCACAAACTAAAACTCATACGTCACACACATATGTACAGGGGACTGAATTCTATACATATATACTAAGACCAAATTACTTTTTAAAAAATGATTTGAACAAATAAATTTTAAAAAATGCGTTTCGTTGAGAACGAAAATGCTAATTTGATACAAACTGTCATATTTTTTAGAATACAGTTCCAATAAGTAAAACTGGTTAGCAAAAGATAAAGTTTGAAATAATTTCTCCAATCAACAAGTTCAAATATGTCGTTTATTATAACCTAGCACGGCAATGCCACAGAAATAAATATACAGAAGATGCACAGTAAGCTCAAGTTAAAAAAAAAATAGAGATTGCATTATAAATCTGAATAATCGTGAACCAAATGGCTTACCGACTTTTACACATACGAAAATGATATTTCAAATTAAACTAATGAGAAAAAATTTAATTTTTTTGACAGTTTATAAATCAAATTAAAAAATGAATAAACCAATAATTAAAACAATCTCTCAGATGCATACAATTGAATATTTAATACAGAGTTTTTTTTAGATTTGTGGTAGAAATGTAATGAAATGAAACAAGTTTGCAAGATATAAAACGAGAACAATAGATGAAAACACAGACTAAAAAATAAACATTACAAATGTCGATATCTGCTGGTGGTTATTTATTTTGCTAACCCCAGTTATCTTCAGTCCTACCAAACTTGAACACCATACTCCTTTTAAAAAATTTTGACATTATAATGAAAATAAAAATTAAGTAAAAGCAAATTTATTACCCCATGAAAATGAAAAAATTCTGAAGAAATATTGCGACTCCAGGCCATACAATCGCTTTACCTTGACAAAAATATGAGTGGTTATGCATTGTACAATCAATAAAATAAAATAAAATAATATAGATACCAGGCACAACATAGACGCCAAATAGAATCCAAGAAGCAGCAATCAAAGCAGCAAATCCTAGCACAAATCCTGTAAACAACCAGATCCTGGCACCTATAAAATTTCATTTGAACATTGTAACAATGTTAATAAGCAGAATTGAACATTTGTGCATTCGTTAATGTATGTATCAAGCTAACCAGTTGATCCAATACATCCATCCGTGTAGTTCTCTCCCCGAATCAAACTGTTTGATACTGAGTTAATCCTTTCGATAGAAAATTGTTTTAAGTGTATGGAAATAGAAATAAAATTCATTTAAAAAAAGCAGTACTAAATATATTGAACTATATTAAGCAAAAAGTATCAACATCTTTCAAACAAATTATTACAGACAAAGTTTAAATAATCTCAATAACAAACGACTTTAGTAACTACTAATTTAATTAGATATAAGTAATAAATAAATACATAAAGTTTACAAACATAACAATGATTACCACATTGTTATACTAGTTGCAATAATTTGATACTTTTTGCTTAATATAGTTCAATATTTTTAGTACTGCTTTTAAAAAAAAGATCCAGTAGTAAAACATAAGTAAGCATACATACATGAACAAAGCTATAGTTGATATAACTCCACATGTGTGACAGGCATGATGAAAATTTTCTTGATCAGGATACTGGCATGCAGCATCTATGACAATCCACCAACCGATTGAAAACTGAATTTAAATCAAACATTGAAAAAAATCAAAAACTTCAAATTAATTTTGTTATTATATTTACCAGTGCTCCAGCAACAATAGATGATATCAAATTCCTTTTCTCTTTGACCACATTGAAAACCTCCCAATCAGGACAGCATCCATAACAGTCATGACACCTGCATGCATCGAGACAACTTGACATTTCTTTCAGTGCTTCAGATTTCAGAATCACATTTTCAATTATCAAAATTTGATTAATTTTATTTATAATTTCAAATAAGTTGTCCACACTGGTTGAAACATAAATAATAATAAATAATCAAACAATTTGTTTTTTTCATTTAAAATTGATGATACAAATAGTTTTTTAACAACCATAATTAGATTGAAATTGAACGTATAAAGCATTTTGGGAATTTTATGCATTAAAATTAATAACATCAAAATCCATCTAAAATTCTAGGAACCTCTATTTACAAAGAACATCACTCATTAGTTTCATTACTTTTATTATGTTACTGTTTTATATTATTCTCTTCTTTCTTATACTTCTTTCTTTTTCTTATGTATTTTGAGTATCTTTTATTGTATGCATATAATTTAATTAGCTATGCTGATTTTTTATAATAAGTATTTTGAATTTTCTTTTTTATTTATTTTTTTGAATGGTCTTATAATATTCATGCCTTATATATTGTATCAATCTCTCTACAAATATTAATTGCTAGGACCAGATTATCACATTTTAAAAAATGTAATGAGTGAACTAAAGGCTATGGTTATATACTCTGACTATACTATGGTTAAGCTATGCTATGCTCACGCTTTATAACATTTTCCACTTTTATTTTATTGGCATAAAATTTTTTTGATTGGATGGGTCCAATTTAACAACAAAATACTGCCATATATTACTTTTGCATACTTACCAACAAAATAAATAACGGAATGGCTAATTCTATTGATTTGTAATTTTATAATCGTTTATTACAAATATATACCTCTAAACATATTTTAAAAAAATTAATATTACAATTTAAATAAAATAAATAAGCTTTATATATCTATATCAAAATATCAAACTTACATTTTAAATTTTACAAATTCTATCTTTAAAAAGAATAATCTCTATATATGTCCAAACAGAACTTGACAATGAAATAAATACTTAAACAAAGAAATGTTTGCCTATTTATTAACAACAATGTTAATTAATTAAATTAATTATTTATTTACTTTACACTAGCTTAATATTAATTAATTAATTTAATTAGGATTTACTGTTAAAATTAAAAAAATATATAATTAAGGATCACATTTCACGAAAATAAAACAAATGTTATTAGAAGATGGATAAATCTCGAATACTCCTGTAAAAACAACGGCACTAATTCATCAGCAAACTCACTAATTAGTGATTTTGTTCAAATTATTTAATTCTCGACGAGTGTGAACCAAACCTCAATTACATTGACGATATGGCAGACGAAAAAGATTTAAAAATAGTTTTTTAACCAACATTTTTAAATAATTTTTTAAAATCTCATGATTATATAGAAAAATTATGTCAAACTATTATTTTTGATTGATCAACTATTTATTCCTAATACACATTTTCTATGATACATTTTATTATTGGTTTTTCCCACTATTTTGTTCACGTCGTCCCCTGTCTGGGTGATTTGCGGCTCCATATTGTAGTGTGATAATTAATTATGGAAATTAAATAAATGCCACATTTAGGATATAAGTAATCATATTCAGTTTTTTTTTGGCTTGACCACTCCCTAATTGAATTTTTTTGCATGTTAAAACTGATGATTAAGGATTATGAAAGGCTATCATATGGAGTAAGAATGCAGAACTGCGGTTCGACAAGTGATTCTCACTCACACAACGACACTTTAACCACTCTAATATTCACGTTATGTCACAAATCACAATTTGATTTTTATTGAAACTTTTAAAATATATATATTGCCAACATTTGCCTAAATTAAAAATAGATACACATTATTTGAACCAATGGATCAAGAGTTATTCGAATTAAATCACAGAGTTGGGCGTCGTGCACGCTGTGAATTGCGCGGTCTCCTTGTTCAAGAGCAGAAATCAAACACACCTATATAGTTATTTCTATTACGGTCCAGAACATGCAATTGCAGCGTTTAATTCTATTACATGATAATTTGATAGCATACCAGCTTCAATAGGCTCATAAATCAATTAATAAACTAATTGTATATAGTGCATGTTCATGACAAATTAAACGATGACAATAAATAACTACTTCAAATAACTAAATAACATTTGTTTTCATACATTTGAAAAGTTTTAATCATAGTATAACAAGGAAACAAAAGTGAAAACTTGGAAAGCTTTTAATGATTTCATAATTCAAAATATTAAAAAAGCAAAATGATAAGAGTAAGATTATTGGGCAGGAATTTTCGGTAGACCAAATTCATCGACAGGCACTCCATCCTATTGAAGATAAGTAAATATTAATAAACTAATTAAAATAAATAAATAATCATGTTGTCATTTACATTGAAATATGAAAAAGCTAGCAATGGCACTGGTTGTAGATATATAATCACTTACAAACAGGTCTGCAACACTATGCAGTAGTTAGATATTCATACATATATCAAAAATGAACTTATAATAAATATTAGTCTAAATATAATCTGGTTATAATATAATAAAATCAGATCAAAAAAGATTGTGGAGCTGCTACTTTATTTAACAAGAAAAACTAGTTTTCACAAAAATGTAAAACACACACCTTATTAACAACACTATCAGCTCCAGGAACCGAAGTTGGGGCGTTTGGCGCCTTTGATGCTTCATCTAGATAAGAAGTGTCGTCATCGAGAGCGATTTCGTCTCCGAGGGCGTTCAACTCGGCTTCCAATTCATCATCATCAATCTCAGGCATGCCGTAACTTCTACCCATTATTTCTTGGATTTCTTGAGATTGTTCGGTTAAGTCTTCCATCTGATCTTGCAAATCCTGTTTACAAGATAGAAATGAGAAAATGCTTATTACTGGATAATTTTTTTTAGAGTTTCTTTTCAATGTATCAGAAAGTATAAAGAAATTACAACTAAAAAGAAAAATTACCTTAATGAACAATGTAAACATTTTAAGACCTTAGTTGAAATTGCATACAGCATAGCATGAAAATATTTTAAACAAAAAATATAAAAGATTTGGAAAAATGAATCAGGAAAATCTAAACAAAATTTGATAAATTTTAATCTTTTCAGATATTAAAATTAGTAGTTAAAATTAGAAAAAAATTGATAATATTAGTTTAAGCTATTGTTTAAAACTGGTTTGAATAGAAAATCAAGAGGAAAAACAGCATTAGAATGGTATAAAAACAAAATGACCTCAATGGAATTTATGTTTATTTTTTTAAATTCTTTCTTGAATTCCTTCATACCAGTTTTCATAGCACTGACCTGTAAAATGGAGTTTAATCAAAACATTGTAATTATTTTCAATAAATTTAATTTCCTAATAATCAATAACTAATATTTAAATAATTTAAGACTTATGAAAAAATGAATTATAACAATTTTAAAAATGTATGAGTAACAAAAATTTAGGTCTACAAATAATTTGGGTAAAACACAATACCTCACACCTCACTTACCTACCGACCATGATTAAGAAAATGACAAATTGCATTTATTAAAGTGAATAAATTAAACAATTTAAGACATGCCTATAAACTGTTTGAAAATATTTGACTTTATGAAACATTATTGATATAATATTTTGCTGTGATGTGAACCTACAGTAATTTGGGTGTCTTTTAGGGATTGTATGTTATAATTTGCTTGCTCCAAATTAAAGGATTGTTGAGTCATGTTATCTCGCTGCTGTTCATACCTGTTTATCAGTTTTGGATTATTAATAAAACCAGTGAATAAATTAATAATATCTGTAATTAAATATGAAAATTTGTAAATAAATAAATAAAATAATGAATAAATAAATAATGATATTGTTGATTGGTTAATAATTTTTAAATAATTAATATTAGTGAACATCTAATATTATTTGTAAATGATTTATAATATTAGTAAATAATTATTTAACTTTTTATAAAATTAATAATATTTGTGAATGATTAATAAAATTTGTAAACTAATAACTATTTGTAAATCACAAAACTGAAATGGAAAAACAGTGTAACTACTAACATTTTCTTCTGTTTCAAAACTCTCATTGCTTTTTGCTTCAGTAAATTCTATAAGTAAATATATTAAACTTGTAAATATATCTATAGCAAAATGTCAAACATTGAAAAAAAATAAATTAAATAGAAGATAAACAGAAAACGAGCAACCTTTGACGGGCCCTCTCTCATCTTTTTCATCTGATCTCTATATTTAGCAAGTTCCTGTTCAAGTCTTGCAATTTTTTTATCAACTGACTCACTTCTGCTATCCAACTAGTTTAAATGAAGTGAATGAAATTAATTTTTTGTAGTTTATTGTACATTTCATAACCTAAATTTTATATATCTCAACCAATAAAATGTATCTGTCATCTTCATCATTTCAAATTGTTGATTACAATGAAAGTTTATTCAGGTTATTCAAGCATAAATAATTCTTCTAGGTTATTTAATTTTAAATTAAAATTATTTTGGAAACTTTGAAAAAAAGAAAATAAAAGATATTTATAAAAAGATTGATATTGATCTATAAACAAATTATCTAAATATAATTAATATTTATTAAATCGTTCAAAAAAAACTATAATATAAGAAAATGCTGATACATAAGCCATCAAATACCAAAAATGGTTACTGTTTATTTTACCACAACATTTCTACTAATAATCTACACAAAAGAAAACTCTGTTATAAAAATTCAATTATATGACTGCACATGTGAGTGATTGGTTTATCTGTTTTTACTTTTATACAAAAAAAAAATAAATTAAGGGACTAGCTAATATTTCAATACCTCAAAATTAATTTCTAGAGTAGATTTTAAGACTATAAATGGGCGGCAGTCAATCAACTTATACATAGTATTGTAATAATACTCGCTGTCGTAACCGGTTTACGATGCGACGGGTTCAAATCTTCGATTGAATAAAATACTCCAAACAGTTATTAAACTTTATTTACAGAAGAAATCAACTATTATTAGTTATTAAACTTAATTTACAGAAGAAATCAACTAATCGTTTATTTCCAGTAAATTCGCACTAACGCAACAATTAACTTTTAAATCTTTCAAAATCTATCGCTATGACAACCGTCAACAAACAAATCAAATATCGCTTTAAATAATTCACCGAATCGCTATTCACAAAATCACAAAATCACGAATTTCACTAATCACGAATATCTTGCGACGTGCGCTTTTATACTCTTCGCAAGCGTCGTTTCTAGATTCTTCCAGATGGTCCGATTCCAGCATACTCTAGAACGTTCCAGTCACTAGAACATTCTAGAATACGCTAGAATCAAGTGCGTTCGGTAGCACAGTTATAACATTACCCCCTTCTTAGTTCTGTTCGTCCCGAACAGTTTTCGTTCCGGTGTCCGCATGGTACGGAGCCAGTCTATCCAAATGAACCATCTTCATTCTTGCTCTCGGCTTCCGATATTCCTGAATACGGTAGTCGACGTCATTCAAGCGGGTGATGACTTGATAAGGTCCTTCCCACACTCGCTGGAGCTTTGGAGAACGTCCTTTCTTCCGCTGTGGGTTGTACAGCCAAACTAACTCGTCGACAGCAAAACCGCCACAGCTTCCTTTCAAGTCGTATCTGGTTTGGGCCGCCTCCATGTTTTTCATAATTTTAAGGCGTACGTAACGGTGGATATGGTTTAATCGCTGTCGAAGATTATCCACGTATTCTGTTAATGGTTGGTGTGGTTCAGGTGGTACGCCATATTTCACATCAGCTGGAGTTCTTAAGGTAGTCCCAAACAGAACTCTTGATGGCGTTTCTCCAGTAGTTGTGTGGATTTCTATCTTGCTGGGATCGGTTCGAACTCCATCTGAAGATACCACATGTCCCAAATAGTTAACTTCTTTAGAAAATAACCTGCACTTTTTAACGTTCAGCTTTAAATTTGCCACCCGAAGTCTTGTGAAGATCTCCCGTAAGTTTTCGACGTGTTGATCAAATGTTCTTCCTAGAACAATTATGTCGTCTAAATAGACAAGACAGGTTTTCCAGTTAAGACCTTGCAATACACATTCCATCAGTCGCTCGAATGTAGCTGGAGCATTGCACAATCCAAATGGCATGACGGTGAATTGCCACAACCCCGATCCGATAGAAAACGCTGTCTTTTCGCGATCGTTCTTGTCGATTTCTACTTGCCAGTATCCGCTTTTCAAATCAAGCGTAGAGAACCAACTTGAGCCAGATAGGGTGTCCATGATGTCCTCGGTAACGGATAGCTGTCCTTTTTAGTCACATCATTTAACTTCCTATAATCAACGCAAAAACTGGTAGTGCCGTCCTTCTTCTTTACCAAAACAACTGGCGAAATCCAGGGACTTGATGACGGTTCGATGACGCCTTGATTCTGCATTGTCGTTACTTCTGTTTGTTTTGCTAGAGGAAGACGTCGTGGTACTTTTCGGATCGGTTTCGAATCCTGAGTATCAATTCGGTGAGTTACCAGAGCTGTTTTACCTTGGTCATTGTCACCGGTTGAAAACACGTCTGCAAAATCAGCAATCAACGCCTCGGCTTTTAGACGGTCTTCTTGATACAAATTAAGTTCATCCAGTAGATTTTTGGTAAGTTCTTTGAGTCTATCTTTGTCAGTTGGTAGAACCTTTTCCTGTTGCTCCACATCTAATGATTTCACCAAATTTATTGATTGGCAATTACCTATTTCCTCGCCTTTTTAATTTTAATAGTGTGTTTAGCAGTATTTATTATTCTGACAGGAATAAGACCATTTTTGTTCGCTTCTACCAGGCATTTTCCAATGACCGCGTTCCGTACATTTGTCGTTGAGGTTGGCTCCATCAAATAGAACTGGTGGCCCCCAGGATCGCAATTCAACTTGCCCCATACGATGTTTTCAGATGATTGAGGTAGTTCCATGTCACAATCGACTGTTACTCGAATGCATTTTTCGTCGCTATCCCCCATTATCACTTCTGTATTTCTCTATCTAAGAATGCGTTTTTCTAAGTCAATTTTGAACACATATTTTGTCAGAAAGTCGACACCTATTATGCATTCGTCGATGATATCCGCGACTAAGAATGAACCTTCGAATAACAAGTCGCCTAGCTGAACAGTACGGAGAATCTTTCCATAGATTGGTGCTGTTCCTCCGGTAGCTGTTCGAAGGATGTATTTGTTAGAAGTCTCTTTCTTCAGATTGGGTACCAAATCAAATCTTAAAATCGATTTTGTTGCTCCGGTGTCGACTGTAATTACGCATTCTCGTTGATCAACTTTTCCGTTCCGCCATAAGTCGTTTCGATTTCGGTGTAGTCTGGAAATGTTAATTACGGTACTGGGAGCGTCAATTCTACTAGCCAACCTCTGCCCCACAAAGTTGGCTCTTATTAGTTTTCCGCCCGTTCGTTAGAAGGGGCCGATCGCGATACTGGATCATCTTCTCCTCTTTTGCGCCATCTTGTCGCGCAATTTCGGCAGTAGTTATCTTTTAGGCGGTATTTACAATCACGACGTAGATGGCCTTTTTCACCACAAATCCAGTATTGGGGTACACCATGCTGTTGAGGTTCGCGTTTCACAACCACCTTCTGGCAAGAAGGTTGACGTACGTCACTTTTTGATGCTTGCTTTGCCGATTCAAAAGTGAGACAGTGCGCAACGGCATCCTTGAGTTTTCGTTTATCTGACAAGAGAAGGGATTGCTTGAGTTCCGAATCACGAAGGGCTTTGATAAACGTATCCAGGGCAGTTTCGTCTCTATGCTCGGGGTCTGATGTCGGATACGACAGCAATGTCAACCGTTCGATATCTTGTGCCAGCTGCTGAATGGATTCACCAGATCGTTGCGTTCTGTTTCTAAGCTGAGACCGATAAATCTGTTTCATGTGTTCTTCACCATAACGTAAATCCAACGCGCTAACCAGAACTTCATAGTTGAAGTGGTTCTCCGCCGGAATCGTCTGAAGAACCTCTGCTGCTGAACCTCGCAGGGCCAGTATCAGTGCTGTTGCTCGTTCTTTTCCGTTCCAACAGTTACTAGTTGATGCTGCTTCGAACTGGGTTTTATAAACGTTCCAGGACATCTCTCCGTCAAATGCTGGTACCTTCAAAGTTCTTCCGGATGCGTGATCTAAAGGCATGGCCATTTTTTTGGATTGCTCCAATTCTCGCTTCAATTTGTCTATCTTGTGATCTACCTCAACGGTCTGACGATCAAGTTTCTGCTCGATCATTTCTATTCTTGTTGACTGTTCTTCAATCTGTTCTGCCACTTCCAATTTTACGTGTTTTAACTCCTCTGTCTGTCGTTCGGACTGTTCCTTGATCTGTTGTTTTAACTCTTCTGTCTGTCGTTCGGACTGTCGTTCGGAATGTTCTTTGATCTGTTTTAACTCCTCTGTCTGTCGTTCGGACTGTTCCTTGATCTGTTGTTTTAACTCTTCTGTCTGTCGATCGGACTGTTGTTTTATTTCAGTTGACATACTAAGCAGAAGTTCCATCATTTTAGCGGTTGTAAACGTGCCTGTGCTAATTTCATTGTCTTTGTCAGCACCATCAAACTTGAACTCGTCTGGATTCTTACCTTCGTCAATGAGAGCTTCTCTCAGACGTGCTACTAATACTTCTTTGTTGCCACTTGTGACAAGGCTTCGTTTCTGTAGTTCTTCTCGTAGCTGAACTACGTTCAAACCACATAGTTTTGACATCGTGTTCTTTTTCTATGAGTAGTAATTCGCTGGTCGAAGATCCCACTTCTGACACCAATGTTATAATACTCGCTGTCGTAACCGGTTTACGATGCGACGGGTTCAAATCTTCGATTGAATAAAATACTCCAAACAGTTATTAAACTTTATTTACAGAAGAAATCAACTATTATTAGTTATTAAACTTAATTTACAGAAGAAATCAACAAATCGTTTATTTCCAGTAAATTCGCACTAACGCAACAATTAACTTTTAAATCTTTCAAAATCTATCGCTATGACAACGTCAACAAACAAATCAAATATGCTTTAAATAATTCACCGAATCGCTATTCACAAAATCACGAATTTCACTAATCACGAATATCTTGCGACGTGCGCTTTTATACTCTTCGCAAGCGTCGTTTCTAGATTCTTCCAGATGGTCCGATTCCAGCATACTCTAGAACGTTCCAGTCACTAGAACATTCTAGAATCTAGTGCGTTCGGTAGCACGGTTATAACAGTATATATAATTATATAGTATATAATATATACTATATATATATATTATATATATAATATATAATTATATATTATATAACAAATATCAACAGTGCAAATCCTAAATTGTGCTTATAATTTTAAACATTTGTTAACTTTAACACTAACAATAGAAATTCAATAGATAAGGAATAAAAGTTAAATTTAAAAAAATAATTAAACAAATTATAATTATATTAATTGAATTTTAAGGTTAACCAGAAGTTAAAACTAAATTAAAAATGTAAATTTGAAAAGTTTTGGTTTTAGAAAAAAAAACCGTAAACGTAAAGCTATTAATGATAAATTAAGAAGAAATAAAATGAACAATAGACAAATTTTAGGATGTTTATTAAATTATTATTATTATTTTATATTTAATATTTAAATTCAAATTGATATTCCAAATTGCTAACATTTGAGATGCAGTCAGTCATGTTGGGAGGGGGCTGTTTTTTCGCCCCACTACTACCAAATAATCGATTCATCGTTTAAAAATTTGAAAATTTAAAGGCTGTACAAAAAATTAAATTCGCGTAATCGTGGAGTCTATTCTAATTTGGATTATTATGAACAACACCAGAAAATTACAAACTTCATTGGAAAAACCCAAACAAATAAATTTATTTACGTACGTGCGTTAGGTTATTAATCATTTGTAAATTTTTTAACTGATTCAGAATTTTTCTTTAATTGTGCTTTTATTTGTCTATTTACTTGAAAAACTAAAAATACATAATTTTTTGAATTTTTTTATATGTTTGCAAGCAAATATGAAAACATTGATTTTTTTTCGTAAAGTTAGCGTTGTAGAAACTCAATATTAATACTTTAATAATATTAGTATTTATTATTTTTACTTTTAAAAAGTAAACACAAATTGTTTTATTGAACTGTGGCGGATCACCATCCAGCAAGCACTAAGGCGTCAATTTAATTTTAATTGAAAAAAATACTAATAAATATTTTAAACTTGAAGACATGCAAAATATAATCATTTTATCATCAAAAGACGTCCTATTTTTCAAGATTTATGACGATTTGTCACTTTTTCTTTGCCAGGTATATTTTTATTTTATATAATATATTAATTATCAATAATTAATATAAAATAAATTATAAAATGAAAAGTTTATTATTAAATCTTAAACGTTAAATTAATCTGTAACTTTATTGTTTAAAAAATTATAAAAGTCTATAAACAAACGTTTGTCTATGATTATTTATTCATTAATATTAATTTCAAAACATCATTATTAAATTATTTAAATATTAATTCAAAGTATTAATATAAAATTTATGATTTAATTTTTAATTAATAATTAATTAAATTATTATTCTGTGATTCAGTCAATTAATAATGAAACAACTAAAACTAAACTAATCTCTACTGTCTATTTCCTACTCTAACACTAACTAGCTAGTTACTTAAAAATAAACTTGAAGATTTTAAACTTAAAGCCAGAGCAAGGACTATATATTTCATATTGTTATTCAATGCAGTGCACTCACTGTATAGTATGTAGTTTAATTATTCTAATTAAACTTCATACAATCCTATTTAACTTAATACTGGTAACAAGACATAGTAAGTAAGATAACATGAAGATATGCAATATGAAGGAACAAAATTAAGAAAAGTCATACATAAAGGTCTAATCTAAAGGATAAATTAATAAAACATGAAAGGAGGGAGTGTCTAGTCTAGAGCTTAGTTTTTTCTAACCTTTTCTGTTCTTAAAAAAAATTTACGACCTGTAGTAATCCAATCTGAACATAGGTTCAAATTTTTCAATTTTAGTACCATTAAGAAATTAAAGCTAGCATAGGAATATCTAATTATTAATGCCAAGTAACACAATGGAAATTTTTAGGAAATTTCATGTTTTCAATTGGTTACTTTTATTTTATTGTTAAGAATATACATTCCCAATATATAGGAAAGATTGTATCAAATCAAATAAAAATAAAGTTAATTATTTTTTGTTTGTTAATTATTCTATTAATTAATGGACATGATTAAATTTTCTATACTAGTATGAATATGAAGGTTTATTTAAAATTGGGTTTTAATTTTATTTAGGAAAGAACAATATTCAGCAGATATCTTATAGATATTTTTTGAACTAACTCTAAACTTGAAGACACTGCACTAAGCTATGATTTGTCTTCCTTGTGTTCACTCATTATAGTTCTTGATAATTGGAAATCAAATTCTATTCTTTAAATAAATAATTTGATTGATATGCTGATTGATTAATTGTCTGACTGATTGATTAATTGATTGGTTGACTGACTAACTAGCTGGCTTGCTGGCTGGCTGGCTGGCTTGTTGACTGACTAACTGACTGACCAACTGATGAGACTGACTGACCAACTGACACATCAAGAATGACAATGTATAGAAGAAAGAAATAAAGTTGAAAAGATAATCTTTTAGACATGAATGAGGTACATGGTTTAGAAATTTGTAATTCTTGCTATAGAATACTGTAGAAAAATGATAACTCTTGGATTTTGAGAGAATTAACTTTGATAAATTACAATGTGGTAAAAATAGGCACTTTATTATTAATAATAACACTCATTGAACAATTAAATCTGACAAAAAAAGTGCTTTTTTAATTGTAGAGTTAAAATACTATCTCAAATTTTCACTTCATTTTTATTGTTTCATCAAGTTTATTTTTTTTTTTTTTTGAAAATTCTATTGCTAAACTTTTTATCAGAATGTTGGTCAAAAATTGGATAAAAATTCCGTTCTCCAATGTTTTAGTCCAATTATTGCAATTCAAATGTTTTCTTCCTCTGATACAATAGAACATATCAGGTGTGCAAATGGTCTGCAGATGGCTTTAAAACAGGTTACGGATTTACTTTTAAGCGTCTCATAATTTGCTTACACGCATTCATAGCTACTTTATTTTATTATGCCTTTCTACAAAAAATTGTATAATTCATTTTTAATTTATCATGTAGTTTCACGCACATTTTGATATATACTTCCACGACCCGTGTCACATGCACAGACAGTATTTGAAGTTGAACATTGCAATAACAGACATGCAAAACATGGCACCATACTTGCTGAGCTAACTTGCCAACAATCTTTGATGCATTGTAACCTTTTGGTTAATAGATATTTAATTCAGTCATCGTGTTTTTTTAATTGCTTGTTTGCAAATTTTCTGTTATTTGTACAATTATTCGTATATTGAAACGACGCAGGTTAAAGATCTCACTATAGTCAGCATAACTGAAAATAGATTTAATTCTTCCAGTTTGCAAACGTTGATGTTGAATCATATTTCCCGATTCATTTTTTTCCTATTTGGGTCATTTGTTGATGGGTATGTTTGTTTTTTGTACTTCATTTAAGATTTTAGATTCATACAATTTTCGGAATTTGGTTACAGCTTTTCAAATTTTTTATACATGAACATTTTTTGAAATAATTCAAAATTATGATGCGTTGAATTTAGATTTCAATTCCCCAACATATCTCAATGATTTCATACCCCGCCACAAACATGCCAGTTCCCCTCGACAGGTCTCCTGAACATTCTTTTTGCTACGGAACCCCATCTCTCTAGTCACCGCTTCCGTTATGCTGCTTCTGATGTTTGCAATATGCCACCTCTCTTAAGTTGAGTGAGATAATGTTCCTCGCTGGGTCTTTAAAAAACTAGACCCACTTTTTTAAGACAGGCACATAGGTTCCGGGCGGTTCTGAAGCAGCCGCGCGAATCGGTGCTATATAAATGCTCTTATTATTCATCTCTTACTATTATTGTTTTCAAATATTTGGGAAAAATAAAAGTGATAAAAATACATAAAATAAGAGCAAAATCACTTGATTTATATGTGCGTGTTTTTGCTGTACATGTAATCATATAATTTTATTTGTATTCAATTTTAAAGAAAATTTTATATAATTTGTGGTTTCTCCTAAATGATGTTTAACTGGGATTCATTTTGATATTTTGTTCACTCTAGGCTTGAAAAAGCAAATAATGAGCAGTCGATCCAAATGTTAAATAAAATGGTTTGTTCGTGGAAGGACTTGTATGATAATGACTCAAGTATTCTTATGCAGGTGAACCTTATTATGTGTACCAAATTTTCATTTCATGAAATAAAATTCATTAGTTTTTTTCAGACAAAAGAAAAATTAATTTTGTCTTATGAGTTAAAATCGAAATGTGAAGACTTGCTGAGCAACATTGTTGAATACAACTCTTGGAAAAAAGTATATACCGTGCATGCCATCCTGCTCTTCCATCTGAAGATAGTTGCCAGTTGCTCCAAGTATCATCATTAATATTTGCGTCTTTGTAATTTTTGTGTTCTTACAATAGATAACTAAATGGACTTTTAGCGGCCTCTGGTAACCTGCCACGACATATTTTATTCATTGCTGGCAGTGAACATTATGTGAGCACACGCATTTATGTAGGGATTATCTAATAATCAATTAATGTTTTTATGGTTAAGGTCGGTAAAAACTGTAAATTTTCTTGATACTAATCGACATTGTTTTATTATATGCTCTTGCTGAGTCTGTCCTTATAGTATTATGTTTTTAGGTTCTACTTGGTGTATGGTAATATTTCATTCTAACTTTTTCAAGTTCTCTGCATTGTACCAGCGTATTCACGTTCTTCATACTATAGCGTCATATTCTTTCCCTTGGCTGAATGCAATTTCTACAGACATGAAACTTTGCAGTCACAGAGCGAAACTTCTTCATTCTTTTTCCGTTGTTCAGAATTAAATACCATTCCTGATAGCATTTTGTTCTATGGCCCTAAGACGATTTTTTTCATTTCTATTTTAATATATGAATTTGTTGCGTTTCTTTCCATTAGTGCAACATCTGAAATCATCAATGCCGAAGACTTTATTAGTCTCATTTCCTACATAAAAGGTTTTTTTTGATTTTATTTATAACCTATCAAGAGCCTGGTCAACTTTGTTCTTTTATAATTTCAGCTACGGAATATGGCAGTAAAGAATTGTCGAATGTCGTAATTTATTTGAAACATTACAGCGGACACAAACCATACAGAATAACCATTGTGCCTCTTTTTGATCATTTCCATTTGGTACTTCTCAATAAGGTAAACATTTTTTAATATTTTATCTAATTGAAGTAAAGAATTTTTTCCGATGTTTACATCATACAGTCCTTGGTGTTACAACTGCTTTGAAGGCATAATTGGCTTAGATAATAATGACGGTTAAAATAGTAATAATAATAAAGATTTTAATCCACTATGATTTATTTGGCAAGTGAAATGGCCTTAATGCTATTGATGAGTTTGTTTCAAGAAATGGGAAGAGTAAATCCACCTTTAACGTAAAATTTTATTGACGTAAGATATTTTTCTGCAAAAAATCATACTTTAAAAAATTAAACGTCAAAGTCATTGTTTTATTTTTATTTCTTCTGTTTTTTTTTAATTTATATTTCCAAATGAAAAATATTTACAAGATTACAAATTTTCGCATTACATGAAGTTTTTTTTCACTTATTATCTACAATATCTACGTTTCTATTGTAACTTTTGAAGGACGTCGTACGCTTTATATTCGTTAGATGATTCGTTAGAGTATATAGTGACGCACTACTTAAATTGATTCAAGTATCTGACCTTTTAACCTTTGACCAGTATGGTCATTTTCTTGTCTCAGTTTTGTCTTTTGTAACTTGTTTTTTGTTGTTTCATGAAATGTTATAAAATTATAAACATCAGATGGAATACACCAAAGAATATATGGAGTTCTTAAAATTATCATATTACCTTCACAATCTAACAATTCCTGTGGATTCTCAAAACTCTTTAGAAAATAGATATAAAAATTTAACTGCAGTCAAAATTCATTTGAAAAGAATTGTTGATTTAATGGGAAAAGTTGAAGTTAGTCTTAATTTTTATTACTTTTGATAAACATCGAATATAAAATATCAGTTATTTGCCAAGTTTTTATATTTTATTGCAATTTTTTATTTTAAATTTAAGAATTGAAAAAAAAAATTAGTTCAACATCCTTATTTCTTATTACTTGATGGTTTAAATCGTAATTGCATATGTAATATTGCATCATAATTGTATTTATAACTTCTATTTTATATTAGACTATCAATATTTAACAGGGGTTACCAAACAATGCTTGCACATCTCAAACCTTCCGCACGTTATTCAGTTACGTTAATCAATCGTCTTTCATCAACGAACTAAATAGAAGTGCTTGGTCTGTAAGAACGGAAAACACGATTTCTAACGCGGTTGACAAATGTTCGACAATATGCAAAATATTCATTGATGTCTCTTCAAATAGCTTGCTATCGAAAGAACATCTGAATGTTTTAAAGTTCTTCATATATGAAGCTGTCAGCAATGACTCTACTCTTAAATTGCTCAATCGAAACGTCATGAACAGTTACCATTGGGATTAATATCCTTTTACAATCTGTTTGCCTCGTTAATGGAAATCAGATAGTCAAATTTACGGACCACGAGTGCACAATTTTACAGTCATTACCCTATATATTTATCGAATTATGTTTTGCTAGATTTTTTAAACTGTTTCTAAGCTATAAACTCATTTCTTAAGTAGGCTTCTAATTGTTGTTACAGCTTTATTAAACAATTGCTACAAAATTTTTTTTTTTTTCTTATCCACTGAATAACCAGATCTATACTAAAAAATATACCGGGCGTATTATATTTTGTTCTTGTTAACCGTTCAAAGCAAAGATTCTACGCTCCAAAGTCTAAGCACCTATTGGTTAATCAAGAAAGAATAAAACTTTTGGTAGGTAGATATTTTATTAAACTTTGAAATTGATTTTCATGTGTTCCTATCGTCATCTTCTTGTAATGGTAGGTAATGAAATTTATTCAAGAAATTCACTCTCAGTCAAGGAAGAACTTTCATAGTGCAACCATAAAATCTATGAATCATTTGGTTATTTATGAAACGTTATTTCTAAACCACAAAGTGGGTCATTTTATTTATAATGTTAATTTGTTGTTGTCAAACAAATGCTGAGATGAATTTTTGTTGCAGTTTGAAAAAGTTTCTACCTCTCAATTTCCACCTCGAATATTAAACAAAATTTTGAACAACGAGTTTGTAATATTTAAGTTTTTTTTTATAACGAATAAACGTATTTAATTTTTTTAATATTATGATAGATAATTACTCTAGATGAATTAAAAATTTTAACTGTTGATTCACCTCCACCTTATTAGGATAAAAATATTTGACTTTTCTAAAAGCTTTTTAATCACCTTTTAAATACTTCGAAGAAATACTTTGTTAACATGACAACAATTGTTTCTACAAACCTGTCGCTTCAGAAACACCTGAAATAGATCTTCCTCTTTAACTGTCTATTAACCTTTGATAAAATTTTTAATATTGCTAAGAAATTTATATTACTTGAGCTGACGATTTCGGTTTAAAATAAACCACTTTTTTCTTAATCTTCACTAAATAATTTTTACTTTTGAAAGTTCTTGTAACTTAATAATCTATTCTTTTTCGTCCATAAACAGTTTTTTACACTCAATCTTTTATAATATTATATAAATTTTTCCACTTATTCATTTGTTTTTGAGATTTCTGAAGAATTTATTATTCTTTTTCAGCGTTGTCTAACACTGATTTTCTGTTGAAACTGAAATATGTGACGATTTCACATTTGAAGGACTATTGAAAAAAAACGATTGGCAGTAGTTTAGTTAGACAGGGTTGACAGTTTATTTGTTGGAATTATGGCGAGATGACAGTCACTAAAATTCAGTTTTTTAGTTGAGAATGTGTTTGTTGAAACATTTGGTAATCTTCTTAGACTGATGATGAGGTTAATATAATATTATGAATACTTTAAATGTAGATCTAAGTCAATTTTTTTTATCTTTACCTATAATTTTGATACTTCTGAGAACTTCTTGCTAATTTTGATTCTGCCTATTCAAGTTTTTTTCCAGACCTCATCTCAACTTCTACCGGATTTTTGAAAAAAAAAACAAACAAATGATTTAGTTAATTTATTATTTCATTTGATTTAATTTGTTCGGTGTTTAATTGAATACATTTTTATTTTAGACCATATAACAAAATTTAGGTGACCATTGGATATCGATAAATGATTTTTAGATACTAAGTATGCTAATAATTTATTTTCAGAAAATGTGATGAAGTGTCGGGACTGTTAAAAAATATTTCATGTTACGAATTGATAACTGTTCACGACATAACAACAAACTTGAAGTCCGCCATGCAAAAACGAATGGTTTTACTCAGACACATGTGTACCACTATTGACTAATTTTTTCGTTGTGTCAATTGCAATAATAATTATTAAAATTTATTAGTTTTTACATTTTTGAATTTTACACTTCATTGTTTTTATGATTTTTTTACGTTACCACGAAATGTTAACGCCATTTCAGTAATCCAAAATCCAGCACTTGAAACATAACTGCCATTGCGGTTATAAATTTCAGCGAATTATTTCTATACTAGGACCATACGATCAACGTCATTGATCTTTGCGTTGTAGTCGATAAGCTTTTTTTAACTTTTTTTTTCAACTTGATTATGATTTTATAAAAAACATTATAAACGACAGAAATAGCTCTTAAGGATTTTTAGAATGCTAAAAATTACAATAAAATTCAAAAACTGATTTTTATATAAATATATGTACATATATAATTTTATATATGTCATTTATAAACAGTAGCATATATTATAGTATATATTTTCTCTCTCTCTCTCTCTATATATATATATATATACATATATATATATGTTATATATATATATATATATATATATAATATATCAATACAATATGCATATATTGTATGAATTCTAACGAATTGTTGGCATTTATCAATTTGAAGTTTGTCTTTTTAATTTTCCTCACTATTGTTTTCTGGAAATTGCCTAATTTATTTAGAAAAAGAATTATTATCCAAGTTCATCATAAAAATTCAATAAAACTTGTTTACCAAATTCAGCATGATGATAGGCCTTATTTTGATTTTTCGCAAATCATCTACAGTGTAGCTTTGGCTTATATAGTTTCTTTAGAAAAAGCAAAGTTAGTCCAACTAACTTTATATAAATATATATAAATATACATATAAACACACACACACAAATATATATATACGTATATATTATTCTTACAATTTAGTTTTTTTAAATTAACTTTTTGACAAAGTTTTAAATATTACTTTAAAAAGTTAACAAAATGATAGAACAAGCTGTTTATATATACTATTATACTATAAACTTTATAGAGATTATTTTTTAAAACTTTTGAAAACTTTCAAAGTAACGATCATTTTCGATAACGATGAACGAAAAGGCCTACATTTCACGATCATTTGTGTCGAAGTCGAATACTAAATTATTCAGAAACATCTTGTGAATTTATTCCATATAAATAGTTTTTAACATTTCAAAATATATAACACATATATTTGTATTGCATATAATCAAACATTATATAGCGAATTTTATATGCTGAAATATGGCATGTGCACGTTAATTTATCAACGGATCACGTGTCGCCTGATCATTATTTATATCCACTCGGCCCAACTCTGATTTACTATCGTTGCGTCACGTCGAACCATATTTATATTAATTCAGGTTTATTTTTCAGAATTTTTTCAATGAAAGTTCTCTGATTTCCTCTAAAAATTTGTTTTGCAAAAGTTAGTAAATTAATTTTTGCAAATGAAGTATTTGGGAAATGTTTGTATTGTTCTTCCGTGCTGATGTATCATTGCTTTTTTAATTTAATTTATTTTTTTGATTTGATGCCATGCCAGCCTTGACAGACAATGGAATGGGAGAACTGCCATTGATATTTTTTTCTTTAAAAATTGTTTTGTTTCATCTACTTTCTGAGTGTAAAAATTAGTTCGAGCGTTTTCTTTGTCTAAGCTGATGTTTATATATTAGCCATATAAAAGCAATACATATTTTTAAAACTAAGTCAACCAGCACAACAACATGTTCAACTGCTTCAATATCAAACCTTTGTCAAGGAGATCATAAAAACTTTTTTTTTAAAACAGAACAGATACATACATGATACAAGTATCTGCTTTATATATTAATCATTAATTCATACATTAAATGACGCTTTAGTCAAGAAAATTAATTTTTTCAGATTTATTGTTATAGTTTTTGTTCAATAAAAATTATAAAATAAAGGTTATATTTTTTAAAACAATTGTTTCTATTTTACTTTCAGAATTTTCATGCTTTCTATGTCTTTTTCTATCTACCTATGCTAGTATCTACCTTGTTTGTTCTTTATATACTATATTTTAATAATATATATTTGTACAAAAAAAACTAAAAAGCAAAGGAACAAAAGTTTCAAAATTTTGTTGCATTCATAATTCATCAATGATCAATTCTATAATAAACAATAAATAATGACTTATTAATACATAAAAAATACAAAATTAAATTGAAATGGCTTTAAATTTTAATTTATAATCCAGTTAATAATTCATAATAAAATAACTAATAGAGGTTAAAAATTTTCAGAATAGTTATTTTTTTACTTTTATTGAAATAAACATATTAGAAGTGATTTTATTGTATTAATTAAAAATAGGTTTTCTTCAAGCTCTGGTTATTTATTTGATATAGCTGATATATAACTTATTTAAATAAATTTTTTAAATTAAAGATTACTGATTATTTGCATTTTTTATTTGTTAATTCAAAAAATTATTAAAACTTAGATTCAAATATATGTCAAATAATTTATAATTAAATTTAAATTTGTATGATATATTTTGTACAATATTTCAATTTTCAAACTTTCTGTTGTCTTAAAAGCACATTGATATATATATTTTTATGCTGACCGATTTTAAACGAATGTTTTTTTTTTAAATTTCAGCTTATTGGACCTTACCATGGGGAAACTATTTAGTTACTGTGCTCTGAAGTTAATAGAAGTCATTGTGCTGCTGTATGACATATTAACATTCATCTTTTATTTCTTTTACCAACAACCCTACAAAGTCCTTCATATTTCAAGAAGAGTCAAGGTAAGTACTATAATGATTTGTTGCAAGTTCAATTTTTTTAATTTTTTGAAATACTTAATATCTCTATTACTTTATGCCATTTATGGTATTGTTAATTTAGGTTGTTTCTTCCCTAAAGATTAAGATAATTATAAATGACCATGAATTGAATTGAATATTAATGAGGAATATTCTAAAGCTGAGTTTAATTGTAATAGTTTGAATTGATTAACAAGCAGCCTATATAATTGGGGATTTATAGGTTTTTCTTTTTCATGGTTTACATTTTACACAAATAAAAAAATAATTTGATTATCATTTATCATTATTTTAAGTGATAGGGTATTTTTTTACAAATTATTTTGTTACTGTATATTAACTGTATTGAGACTTTAAATTATATATAGGCAAAACCATTGAAGAATAAAGACACAACGAGTCCGTTTAGAAGCATTGATTGTTTTTATGAGTTGACAAAGACTCCACAGCAAGGAATTGAAACAGTGAACGATTTGTTTGATTATGCCGTCACTAAACACGCTGATCTGCCATCTCTCGGCACTAGGGAACTGATCAGTGAGGAAGAGGAGGAGATAGAAAATGGAAAATTGTTTAAGAAGGTTTGTTTCATTTACTTCAAATGCCCTTGAGCATTTTATCATTTGGTTTTGAAAGTGACATCATTGAATATTTATTTATTCATTCTTTTGTTATAAAATACAGTTTTCAAAATTAGTCCATTAATTTTGAAAATCACTACTTTAAATTTTTTACTTTGGTTCAGCTGTTTTGAAAGTATTTAATTTCATTAGTTAAATTTGAAGGTTTCTTGTTTTTGAGGAAAAAAATTTCAACATGTTTACATGGATACTATGTATATTATACTATAATTAAAAATTTAATGCTGGTAAAATAATAAATAATTAATTAGAAGTAATATAAATTCTCTTCAGTTTTATGAATCCATTCTATAAATTGATTGACATTGGGTATAATATAATTGAATGTGAAGAGAATATAGATTATTGTACTGGATATATGACTAAGTATAAAATATTAATTAAATGAAATTTGGAGGATTAGATGGAGGAGCATTGGCTTTGATGAAACTAATTAATTATATGCCTTGCTCCAGAGTTGAGATGCTTTTTTGATTTTTATATAAAAAGCATCTAGAATGATTAAGCAGTGTTGATATATTTTTTCGAGATTTTGTTATATTCAAATATTTTATGTTTATTTAAATAGGCGATATTTGGTGAATACAAATGGCAAACTTATGGTGAAATAAAAAATCAAGTGACAAACATGACACGAGGTCTACAAGAAATAATGAACGTCAAGACTGCATCGCAGGCTTTATTGAACAAAGTATGCTTGTACGCTGAAACAAGGGCAGAATGGATTGTAACCTTGTTTGCTTGCATCAAGGGCAGATTTCCTAGTAAGTTCTTTTCATCACAATTCAGATAAGATAAATCTATTTTTTTTTGTTTCACATATTTGTTCACATTTGTGGTTTCATGTAAAATGTTAGTACTTTAATAAAATGATATAATAAGAGTTAGGAAAAAATATCATTGTTATCACTCTCTTAACTTTCTATCTTTAATCATAAAAATTGCAACAATTTTTTTCTTGTTATATTGTACTATTCAACAAAAATTATAAATTAAGTGTTAGTTAAGTGGTAGTTGGTTTATGACAATGCATGTTAATTGTGGTGCTTCCCAAATATTTGCAATGATATTAATAAATTAGTCATTTAATTGACTAATTAATTAGTTAATTAATTAATCAATTAGTTAGTAAATAATAATTTCTGGAATGTGGTTATAACCGTTAAATTTTTATAATACAACTTGTGCATAACATGAGAGTGGCAGGAACTATGTATTTATAAAAAAAAATTATAAAATATCGAAAGTAACTTTTTTGCCAACTTAGTAAAAATTAAAAAAGTATAATATGAACTCATATTTTTTCCTTTTTTTTTAATTTAATTATACATAATCACAAGTTTACATGCTTGTTATCAGACATCTCAGCACATGGCTAGATATGATTATCTCAAGATTTTCTGCAGAATTTTTTATTAACTTATTAGCACCATATTTCAAAAAATGCTCACTTGACTTCAGTTCAATTGCTTTGTAGAAATATAAAAATGAGAAAAAAAACTTTGACCAAAATGGAAACTTATTTATTTGCGTTTATAATAATTTTCTTATATATTATTTTTTCTTGGCATTAACAATTTACAATTAAAAATGATATTCATTGATCTGTTACAATTAAATTTGTAATATAACATTGGTTTATTTATTCAATTCTCTCTTTAGTATTTCCCAGAGGCATTAGCAACAAATATGCAATATATGTAAATACACGTGAATTAATGCATCACATACTTTTGCATGTGATAAGCGAGGAATTTTAGGCATTTGAACCAGGTCACAGCAACAGCAATGCCAGGCATCTTAACCATCAAACCAATGTACTACACAACATCATAACATGAACACCTACACGAAATGAATATAACTATTTTTTGCATAGTTGTAACCCTGTATGCTTCTCTTGGAGACGATGGGATTGTCCATGCCATCAATGAAACTGAAATTGAAACCATCGTTTTAACTCCAGACCTCAAGCCCAAACTACTTGTAATATTTTTTCTATTAATTTGTTTTTGCGTCATTATTATATGATTTAATATGCAGGGTATTGTTTCACCTCTTTTATGTATATGTGCACAAAAAAGGAGTCGCCTTGAGAAATTTTTCAAGTAGTGAAATAGTTGTGCATAAAATACTGTGAATGCATATGATTTGGTATAAGTCATGAAACAAACTGAGCTTGTTGTCGCAAGTAATCAGAGGATCAACTGAGATTGTTTGGTGTGTGGAAAGGAAATCCTGCTGTATCTGCTGGAGAATTAAATAATATTAAGAATGGAGGATCCATTGCCACTTAGAAGGAAATCATGATAGATGTTACAAAAACTTTGGAATTGAAATAGCTGCTGTGTATTGAACGGAACCAAAATGTTTCAAGATATATTTTTAAAGTTTCTTAAAACTTGTTTTTCTTATATTATACGTTCTGATGATTCTACTGGACGTGTTGGAAGAAAGAAAATTAAAAAATTTTAATTTAATGAGTACAGAATCTTTCTTGGAATATTGACAGCTGAGATTTAGTTTAAACATGTAGAAAGGATAAGCAAAAGGGCAGGCTGGATTTGAGAAATATTTTCTGAAAAAATTATGATAAAATGATCAGATTTTAGTAGAGGTGGTATATGAAATTGGTGCAAGCAGCGACAGAATCTAATTTCATGTAATATATCTGGAAAGCCGTTTTCCAGCCAAACAATTATCGTAATTATAGTGATAGGATTTAAAAAATTATGTATACTTTTTCAAATTTATTGTTACCTCATGTGATAAAGTTGTAGATAATTATATATATTCATGAATTAAAACCTTTTACTGAAAAGTAAAGAAGTGGCATTTGTTCGTGGAATTTTATATTAAGTTTATTGATACAGATAACTTTACTGAGTATCAATTTTATTTCTATCATACAAAAGAACATGTTGGAGAGTTTGAAAACGATCGTCAACGTGATAAGTGTTGATGACTGCAAAAGAGATGTCATCAAGTTGTCAGACAACAGGAAAGTCAACATAATCTCAATTGCTGATGTTCAGCTAATTGGTCAGAAGGCTCTTGAAAATGAAAGTTAGATTTTTTGCTCTTTTGTTTTCATTTTAAAATTAGTTTTATGTCGAGTTTCAGTTTATGTTTCCTGGATCTCTTGGAACATAAACCTACATAAACCTACTTTGTCAGTAATGGTACTGGAGTTCCCATATTACAATATGTTGACAGAGAAATTTTTTTAAATTAGAAACAACGTCATTTGTATGTGTGGGTGTGTGTGTGTGCACGCGTGTGTGTAAAATGCGTTAATAAGAAATTTACTTATTTCATCAAAGATGGTACAAATTATATGAATGAGAATCCACCTGCAGACAACATAGCTCTGATCATGTACACCAGTGGATCTACGGGGGTACCAAAAGGTTCTTTTTCTCTAAATTTTTATTTTTGCCCATCATATTTATCGTTCATCTGTGAACTTAATACATTTTATTTAAACATTTTTAACATAAAGTGTCAAATTTCTTACTTTTTTTTTTGAGTTAGAGATTTTATATCTGTTTGCTTAGATTTGATTTATTTCTTATCTGTAAATGAAACTATGTAAGTAACTTTGTTGATAGGTATTAATTTCAATCATAAAGTGTGTCATGTTATTGAAATTAACAAATATGCATTTGTCATTGAAGGTGTCATGCTATCCCATTCAAATGTATTGTGTGCTATCTCGGGCCAGGGTCAACGAGTTGGAGTTATAGGGTTAAGATAATTTTTCATTTTCTTATTATCTGTATAATTTTCATTTATTTGACATATTCAATGTCAGCCGAAATTTGATTACTGCAAATGTCTACTTGACTTTGATAGCCAGCCTCTTGAAATACTTGAAATTTCATTATCACAAACATGTGCATATTAGTATTATGCAATCATACACATGCGAATTCACACACACTCGCGCGCGCACATACACACACAGACGCACTCACACATACTCACACACAGACCTCAGGATGTTTATGTCGGATACCTACCGTTGGCTCACGTCCTGGAAATAACAGCTGAAATCTGCTGCTTTCTGAAAGGAGTTCCCATCGGATTTTCTTCACCCAGTACCATTACTGACAACGTAGGTTTTTAAAATAATTTTTCTCTTTCAAGTGATCTTATGAAATTCAATAAATTTTTGCTAATAATAATAAAATATATTTCTGTTAAATTCTTTAGTGTGTGTGTGGATATATGTATTTATTATAGATTCAGAAATATGAAAAACTAGATAAATGTTACTTTTTTATTCTCATATTATGCTTAAAAAATTTTATCTCTAACACTTTTATTTATTTGTGTTTTAACAATGTTACATTTGAACAGTCGACTCGCATCAAGAAAGGTAGCAAGGGAGATCTGTCAGTCCTGCGCCCCACTCTGATGACATCTGTCCCTGTTAGCTTCTCTCATCTTTAATGTTTTATTTGTACATTCAGTACTTTACTCATTATTTATTTTGAACATTTGACTTAGAAGCATCATTGTTTTTCATTTAAACTCATCTTTTTTATTCAAATTCATGATCAACAGGATTTTAATTGTGTTGTTGTTAGAAATTTTTGGGTCAAGAAATGTTATCTAATAAACATTAATCATCATGTCTTATATATTTGGTGTTGCAATAAAATTAGTAAATAATTCATTTAAATGTTTGTGTAAATGTTATTTAAATTATTCCTTTGCAGTTGATAATGGATAGACTGTACAAGATAGTTTGGGAAAAAGTGAAAGAAGGTCCAAGCTTCAAAAAAGATTTGTTCACGTTTGCTTATGAATATAAAAAGAAGAATTATGAGGCAGGCTATGATACTCCACTGTGTGACATGTGAGTAGTAGCATCCTCATTTGTGTGTGCTTGAAGACGTTTATTATTTTCATTCTGCTTGTTGTAATGTCTGCAAATTTTAAATCTTATGCAAGCTTAAGTGAAAATAATTATTTCATTTAATTGATCAATTGGTGGGGATATGCTTGCATGCACGCACGAATATCAGAGGGAACCTCAGGTTGGCAGTGAGGTGTGCAATATTTAGAGATGAGGGTGGCAAACATTCAGTTTAACTCTAAATTTTTTTTGTTCATCATTTTTCATCATTTTTTTATTGTTTCTTGTGTTTAAATTGACAAAATTAAAAAAAAGTTCTTGCAAATTTAACAATATCAATAGAAATAATATGATTTATTATTATTTGAAAAAAAATAAAACATTTCATTAAAAGACTGATCTTCAAAAAGATTCGTATGATCCTGGGAGGTCGTATCAAGTTGATGCTGACTGGTGGGGCTCCTCTATCTTCTGACACTCAACGTTTCATGAATATTTGCTTCTGCTGCCCCATCATTCAGGGCTATGGTCTGACTGAAACCTGTGGAGCTGGGGCTGTTTCGGAAGGTGTTCATCGTTTTATTATTCTTCATCCTATGAATAATTCACTGATATATGTTATGACAGTTAATTAAAACTAGCTCTCAAATCACATTTGTCTCACTTTTGACATATTAAAATTTTTTTGGGTGGTTTTTAGTTTCACATCTGTTTTAAATCTGTTTTTTAAGTTTTGCATCTAACCAGGTTTGATATAACAATCTATTTATCTAAATCTTGTTTAAATCAGCAAAATTTCATTAAATTCTGTGATTTTGATTTGATTGGGTAATTATTGAAACTAACTGTTTTTAACACTTATGCATCTGCATCTTCTATCATTTTGTCTTGCTTGACAGACTATCTTAATATTTTTTGAGATAGAAAAACTTAAAAATTTGGCATGAAAATAAAATTAAGATGCTGTTAATTGGTTTACGTTTACGTGCGCTTTTGAATTTTAGGAATAGAATTCATATTATTATATTAGAAGATTCGAAGGTTATGACGAAAATAAATTTTGATTTGCCAACTTGACAGCTACTGATCGCAACACTGGGAGAGTTGGAGCACCTCTCCAGTGCAATGACATCAAACTTGTTGACTGGGAGGAAGGTTAGGTGATTTGTTTGTTCTTCTCTTCATATTCAAATCTGATTGTTCTGTCAACTCTGCGCAAGTCTCTATCAATATATTAAAAATGTACTGTGTTTAAAATGCCGTTAGTATCTTTGTTTAGGTCCTCTATGAAAATAATATGTATTACTTAATCTAAAAAGTTCCATTTTCTTACTATGAACTATATCATTCAATGGATCAATAGTGATCTGCAAACACTGTAGTAATGTTTGTCATTTAGTTAGTTGGCGGAATGACAAACTGTATATTCAAACTGCTTCATTCAATTGATTAATTATAATAATTCATTTTCAGTTAATAGCCTAAACTTTCATATCCTATCTTCAAATAAATTTTAGGGAAATATTATGCTACTGATCGTCCGTTTCCGAGGGGCGAGGTGTGGATCAGCGGTGATAACGTTGCGGTGGGCTACTACAAGAGGCCGAATGATGAATCATTTCAGTTTGTGGATGGCAGGAGATGGTTTGCCACTGGTGACATTGGCATCATTGAACCAGATGGCAGTCTTCGCATTATTGGTATGTCTACGTTTTTTTTCTTCCATGGGTTCACTAACATGTAATGTAATCGTTTTTTAGTCTTACATTCTTTTTATATTACATGAAATCTACAGTGCTTGCTAATTATTTTTATAGAATAAAAAAACTGTTAAACGTTAAAGCAGTAGATGTTGGATTTGATATTTTTTAGTACTGTTTTTGAGTTTTTCTTTCAAGTTTTGGATCATAAAATTAATCAACATGTTATTAAACAGATCGTAAGAAGGATTTGATCAAATTGCAAACTGGTGAGTACATAGCCTTGGCCAAAGTGGAAACCCAATTGAAGTTGTGCCCACTTGTTGACAACTTGTGTGTTTATGCCGACAGCAACAAGATGTACATCGTTTGTTTGGTTGTGCCAAATAGAAAAAATCTTGAATCTCTTGCCCATGAGATGGGGTTGTCCATTGGCTGGCCGTACATATGCGAAGATGAAAATATAAACAAGGCCGTTCTCACATCGCTTCAAATGCAAGCTGTAAAAAGTTGGTCATTTTTTCATTTTAATTGACTTGTAAATTGCTGGGAATGTTCTTTTTTTTAAATGACCCATTACAATATGGTTTTTTTAAATAAATGTTTCTAAATTTTGAATTATGATCTTTTGCAATTGTAGCAGATATTTGAACAAATGTATTTTATTCTAATTTTAATTTTGTACAAAAAATTGAAAACCAAGCAGGCAAGTTGAATAAATTTGAGATTCCACAACGTTTGACCATGGTTCCTGATGTCTGGACTCCAGATACTGGCCTGGTCACACCGGCTTTCAAGTTGAGACGCAAGAATATTGAATCCTTCTACTTCACGGAGATATTGCGCATGTATTCGTAATTGCATAATGGTGTCCCATTGTCTTATTTCTCGGAAAAAAAAGAATCACTTGTTCATGAACAAAATGTAACTATTCGCTACTGTTGAGTACACGTTGTTTACCTTAATTATTCATTCATTCATTCATTCATTACTTAAATGTTACATGCAGTTTATTGAAGGTTTTGTGGTACAGTAACTATTGAAACTGTTGCATTTACGTAATTCATTATTATATTCTACTGTCATTATTTAAAATCCTTATGTTAAATTTTAAGACTATGAAAAAATTATGGCTTAAATCGGAATTTATAATTGCTTGATACTCACTTAATATCCATTCAGAATTGGTATTTCAAATTATAAAGCCTAGTTCACTTCATTCCGTGATTTTTTTTATTGAATTATCGCAGGATACATCCACATACTTCACCTTCTAATTGAAAACACCTTGATGTTAATTTTATTTCATACAGAACTGTTCAGCTGTCACGATGGCGAAGCGTTTTATGTGCTTTTTGTTCTAGATTTTTTTTTTCGTGCTGTTTATTTAGGATAAATTAAATGTACATACTTTATAAACATCATCATCTCTAGAAAATATCAAAACAGATTACACTTCATTCCTTTTTGATTCGTATTTAAACATGGGGTCTATGCACTTTGAAATTGAATGGAATGCTTCGAAATGAATGTTATTTAAGTTGATGTTATTTGTCAATCGTTATTTATTATTAAATTGAAATAGTTATTATTTATTCACGAAGAGTGCAATCCTGCGGGCTTCTTTACATCTTTCAGCTGGCTATCTTATATCATTTTAACTTATTTATTTTATCCGATTCATTCCAGTTTTCACCGGATAATACTTTTAATTGATAATAATTAATACTGCATCTCTTTGGTAATAGAGTGGAAACTATATTGAACGTGGTTTCATTAATTATTTCGCATACATTTTATCTGCTAGTAATTCACATTAATACATTAATGGATGTAAAGACGTGCACAATTTTCGTCTTTGTGCGTGTGTGTGAGTGTATGTGTGTGGGTAATATAAAGTAATAGTCAAACGAATTGTTGATATTTGATTTAATGATGTCGTTTTTTTCCATAATTATTTTTTCACCTCATTTACTTGTCATATATGAATATATATATATATATATTGTATATATATATATATTGTGTATATATATATAATGTTTAATTGACGTTTATCATTAGCGTATTTACAAATGGTGTAGTGTCATATTATAGAAAAGATGGAAAGATACGGCTGAGATAATTGTTTGATGTCTCTGAGAGCTGATGAAAGAGTGAATAGAACAAAATAATGTGTTGTAATTTTGATTATAATATAATACACGTATATATACATAGGTGCGCGTTTCTGTACGTACATTTAAGACATCAAATTACTTTCTCAGCAAATGTAACTTTTCTATGCGTGAGCACCTATTAAATTTATATAATATGAATAAATTTGTGTGCGCGTACGTAAATACAGATTTATTTTATTTGTTTATGAAAAATATTTAACAACTGCGTATCCTTAACACGTGTTAAATGTACACATATATACTTCTTGTTTTGTTGTCGTGTGTGTTGTTTAATACATTTCTCTATTACCTTTATAGGTTTAGGTAAATATTATCGTTATTTAGTTGAAATTTAATGCTAGCGCGATAGCGATAAGCTTTTTTCCTTCCTATGTATTTTAATCATTAGTTTTTATTGCTCTGGATATTTATTACCCCAAAATTTTCCGATTCCAAATAACACTCAATGAAAAATCATCTCCCTACCCTGTTTTCGAAATAATCTTTTCCTCTCCGCCTTTTTTCTGCACGCTTGGTCCATACAATAATAGCTAGACCAATTTTTAAAAAATAACCATTTTCATACCTCCACCCAAAAATTCTTTTTGTGTAATATTAACGGCTCGTTTTTTATGTGCCATTCTCTTCTCCATCTGTCTGAAATGATATCAATGATATCAGTATCTTTTCCCAAAACGCTTCATCCTTCCCTCCTGTTTTCCTATCTTAGAAATTTTCATCGTTTCAGATTTATTTTAAAATTATATTAGGGCTGATATTGTAACATAAGTGGATTGATATTCATGAAAATTATACAATTGGCAATTTAGTTTGAATGTCATGATATCATGATCGTAAGCTATTTGCACGGTGCGTATCATTTTCCATACTTTTGGAATGAAGGATACAGAAGTTTGCTCGTCACCGCTGTCACGAGATTAATAATATTATTATTGTCTTGACTATTAAATTTGAAAGTTTTTTTAATATCTTGAGGTGTAAATGATATATCGGGGTATATCTTGTATGAATACACATATTTATGTTTATATCTGGATGTGTGCGGTGCACTTGTGAGTTCGTGGGGTATATAATGTATACATATACACATATATGCGTAAAAAAATTTCTTTTGTTATATGTGCTTATTTGTGCAAGTAAACAACTTAAAATTGTTCAACTTAGATTTTTTAAATTCGTTATTTGTATATGTTTTGATATTGCTTCTGAACGCAGCTGGTTGGCTTGGCGGATTCGTTACAAGGTTTGCATGAAAAGGAGCATTGTAGTTGCAAAAGTTTATGTTTTGTCTTGTTCTGGATCTCATTAATTTTCACATTGCCATTTTAAATGATTAGTCGAGCTACAACGCACGCGTAACAACTGAGTCAGAATATTAATACATGAATCATTGTCATAACTGTTATCTGGCTACTTTAACTTTCTTACAATAATATCACACAGCTATTATTTGTTCACCGATCGATGACTGAGTGGCTCTAATGATTTGGTTACGTTGCACATTTCATCTTGGGAGGTGCCCCTAAAATTTTCTAAATTCGGTTCTTACCGTTAATTTTAAAATATTTGTTGTGGTGAGAATACCATAAGAACAGATTTTATTTACGTTATAGTTGTGCCTGTTTGAGTATTGTGTTGAACCATTTGGGCATGCACTCCGTACTGTATATACTGGTGTAACTGAATTAATTTGTTAGTCAGGGTTGATGTATCTATATATTTATTCATTTATATTCATTTGAGTGTGTGTCTGTCTGTCTGTCTGTATGGATTAAAGTGTTTATGTACACATATATGTACTTGTACAATGTACATATTTCGTAATATGTGAATTTTTGTATCAAACGATGTTTTCGATTGCACTTAAAATTAGTTCTCATTTGTAGTTTAAATACTTTAAATGATTTCATTTAAAAAAAGTTAGATTCGGAGTGTTAACTTTTTAATTTTATCCAGCATTTTTTCTTCTGTTTGGTTTTTTGTTTGAATAAAATCATTATTAAAAATCAGTTTCATTGGCGTCACTACATGTTTTATCCGGAATTTGTGGACTACAAATTCTTTAATAGGCGTAGTGGGATTTTTTATCCTCAAAATTGGGATCATTCTATTTAAAGGATGATACGATTCGAATTAAGGTTTAATAAGTGTTAGTTAGAACGTAGATGGTAGCGAGTGGGGATGGTTTCTAGGTCAACTTATTGCTAAACGTCGTCCTGATAATTAAGTTTCAAATGTTCTCAAATTAAAACACCTTTGCCGACTGAACAAAAATTAACTATTAAAACTATTGCTGTTACTATTGCTGTTGTTGTTGCTGGTTTTTTTTATTCTCATTAACAACTTACCATCTTCATGACACTTCTAAAAATTTTTGTCATCAAATTTCAAAAGTACAAATGATAAGCACAATAAAAAAGTTTAAAATCGGTAGGTGTGATTGAACGCTTATGACGTCGAAGCAAATTATGGACAGTGCAATGCAAAAATAAATAGCAAAAAATGAAAATGCATGTCTAAATACGAGTGTGCTCTTTCAATCGATACATAGTAAAATTATTGTTGCGTGTAGGTAAAACAATATGCAATGAATTTTAGAATGTTGTAAGGTAAGTGCCATAAAATTAGTAGTTAAGTTCAATAACGCGACATCGTGATCATGAAATTATAATTTAATGACATGGCTCTTGATATAACAACATATAATTAAACTTAAGATAAGCTGTCCCAAACCTCATGAACCCTTTGGACCAACTTTTTTCACTTAACAACATCGGTCAATACTTAAACGTTATTTTATTAAAACCGCTTTTCAATATTATAAATATATTAAATGCTTGAAATTGTTTTTAATGCTGACCTAAGTGTCATTTAAAAATGTTTAAAACTAGAAAAATAAATGAATACTTTTATCATTGTCACGAATTATTTATTTATTTAAGAGAAACGGCTTGGGCGAACCCAAAGCCAAAAGTTATTATAAAATGATCGTAGTCTCGAATAATTCAGAATCATCATAGCAAAGTTCAAACTTAAATCGATAAAGTCCTAATCTAGTAAATAACGTTCAAATTAAATTAATAACAAATGACATTCAAATAAGCACAAAATTTCAAATCAGTGAAAAATTATTCAAATTTAAAACGAAAAATAGTTCAAATTATAAAATCAAATTAAAATTCAACAAAATCAAACTATGTCAAACACTCTGTCACCATAGTAAGAATCTAACAACACTTTGAAGGCATTTACAGAAGGCGCGTTCACCACATCTTCCGGCAACTCGTTCCATGGTTAATATTTTCTGCAATCTTTTCTAGCCATACATGAACATAATTTATGATTATGCCCTCTGGTGAAAGCGACGTTGTTCCTCAGCAATGACGGGCAGATGTCAGGATCGATCAAATCGTGGAGTATTTGATAAGCTAAAATTAGTTCTCTTCTAACTCTTCGGTAAGACAATGAAGGAAGGTTCAATTTTTTTAATCTTTCATCGTATTCCAGAGAATGGTATGATTTTAATATTTTTGTTGCTCTTTTCTGTATTCTCTCTATTTCTCTTGCTAGACCCAATCTGTATGGATACCAAACTTGGACACTGAACTCCAACGGTGAGCGTACCAGAGATTTTCAAAGGCAGAGGAAAGCACTATCTGATAAGATCTTAAAATTTCTGGCTATTATCCTAAGCATAGAATAAGCTTTTTTCACTTTATTTAGTATATGAATTTTGAACTGGAGTTTGGAATCAACAATGACACCCAAGTCAGACACCGTCTCCTTACCGAAAATCACGTGAACCACACCCCGAGAATCCGATAACAATTAATTCGCTCCAACAGCTTGCCTGCCCACAGACAATAGATGACATATTGTTATAAACCTTTCTATATAAATTGTATATACTATGCTGACGTCGTTTCAGTCAAAACATTTCAAAAGAGGAATTTCAAATGAACGAGATTACACTATCTATGACAACGTTTTAGGCGAAAGGTTAGCGACAGGAATTTTTAAAATGAGTGATGACAGGTACGAGGGAGACGATTGGCGTGCTGAAAGAGTCAAAGACATCCAAAAAACTTGTGACAAATTTCTTGCTCAAACAAACTTTCTTGTATCTGCCACTGACGACGGGGTAGGCCATTAATTTTAAGAGCTGTCACAAAATTTTAATTATTTTTTCAATTTTCAAGCTCAAAATTGGTAATATTATTTGACTTTTCTAATCCATTCATTGCTTATTATTCAGTAAAATTCATTTTGTAATTCATTATTATAATAAACTTTTACGTGCAAATTTTCATTTGAATACAACAAAGCGAGTAATGTGGAGAAGGCGGATCTTCATGGTACTCAGTCAACAGGCAAATGTAATGCAGTCTAAATAATTATATTTTAATTTCACTTTCCATAGATAAATTGTTTCAGTCAATTGACAAATGATCACCTTTACTACCTTAAGGAACCATGATGCCACTGGCGAGAGAGATTATTTATAGTCTTTCAAATAAAGATCTTTTCTTTTTTCCTTTTTTTTACAAATTTACTGACTAGTACATGAAAAATAATTTCTGCTAAACTTCTTATCCTTTTCTTACTGACAGCCTCTCTTGAAGTTTTGAAAACGCTTCCTGAATTTCTTTGTTATTAAGACAATACTTTCCGGGCGAACATTTTACAACACGCATTAAAAATTTAAAATATCTAGAATGCTGAAAATATTAAATTGTGAATATTTGAATAATTGTTATTATTAATAATTATTTCTTTTAAAGTGTAGTCACTTCGATGTTTTTTCAAATCAAGGATTCAAAATCGGCCGTCAAGATTCTAATAACGGGGGCGGCATCAAATCAGAAAAATATATTTCTGCTTCATTCGATTGCTGAAGGTCAAATGTTAGGTCCTACGCAGGTTCCTGCTTTTTCAATTATTTGAAACAATTTATATATATGCATAGTTTTATTTTGTGAAGAGTTATTCATTTTTAAGTTTCTTATTCGTTTATCTCATGAGTTAATTTTAAAATCCGCTCGAGAAAAGGTAGTAGTAAACTGCTAAACATTTTGAATTATTATTTTTAAGCATAAAGAAATTTTTAAATGTTAAAATGCAACTTATATGTTTGACGAAAAGAAATTATTTTATATGAATGATTGAATAAAATTGTTAATGGTACTGGAAATTAACATCATCATACTTAGAATGTCATATTAATTTGCTATGGTGACCAGAAAGCATCAATAATTCTGCAAGAAATGGTTAATGAATTGAAAGATTGTTTTCTTCCATTGCTAGCAGGTACGTACATGTATTTAGTTTTGAGAAATAAATAAAACCGCGATGGGTTGTATTGTCCTAAAGTGAAAAACGAGCAGTAAAACCGGAGTTCAATAAATAAAAATTAAGCAATCACACACCAAAGTTGTTGCACAACTCATTGTCAAAGTCATTAAAAAATAACTGAAGTGCGTCATAAACGCACTTATTTGGTTTTGTTTTTCCACTTATGCAACTAAGAACAACGCAGTTGTCTGTGAATTTGTTTTGTCTCTTTGAGCTTGTGTTGTGTTTATACATCTATACATCCTACAACCTTACATATTGCACATTAACACATCTTTTCAAAAAATGTAACTTTTGGTTTAGAAACCGACAATTTTATATAATTTATTTGCCAAGATGTTCTGGTTACAACTGATGAAAAAGAAGCTTTTACGGGCATTAAAATAGCTTTGTTATTGGATTCCGTTGCTAATGATGAGCGCTCATCTTTAGGAAAATACCAAGACACATTCCGAATGATGAAGGAATATGGTCATTCGTTCAACTACACTGGCTCTAATGTCAAAGTAATTATATTAGAATTATTATAAAAAAAAACTTTGGCCAAAACTTCTGCCCTTATTAATTAATAAAGTGTTTTCAATTTAACTTCAATAGTTAATAAAATTTCAAGATATTGGTAATTTCTGAGCCAGTTTTAATAAATGCGTTGATATTGAGAAGACATTGTCAGGCGGTGCCTCCAAAAAATATTGCATCATTATCCCTTACTCCTTTAAATGTAACGAAGTACCAGGTAAAAAATTTTCCATTCATTTAATTTATTGATACCTTTTTTCATAAGTTTGCAGGTTATTTCAAACTAAACTAAACAGACGCATTAAAATGTATTTAGCTATTTTATGATAGCTCATCTTTTAAGGTGGCCAAAAAAATGGATGCCCAGCCAGATAGAATCAAAAATTTAATTATGTGGGGAGACGATCCTCACACGTTCACGTACGACTTAAGTAGATCTACATTCAAGGTGAAAAAATGTCATGCGGCACATCAACGAAGTTAGTACGATAAATGATTAAACTACATTCATAGGAAGGGTCGGAGTGGAAACATTTGCCGACAGTGTTAGCAAACGAGCATTGGGTTAAAAACTATTTGCCCGAGGTAAGATTTGTTAAGCAAAAAACTTACGTACAATCTATGCCTAGTTTTTTAATATAAGATATACACACCTAATTTTTAAACGCACAATCAATACTTAATTTTTATAAACTTAGTAAATACGTACCTAGTTTTTAGACAAGTAACATACACCAATATACACCTAGTTTTTAGTCACACAATAAACATATAACCTATTTCTACATATCTAGATCTTCCATACAACAAATTCATAACTTTTGTATACAAAGTAAAATACATGTAAGTTTTGTATACACACAGTTGGTAAAGGAAAGAATTCAAAAACTAGCAAGTAGGACTGAATCATCATTAATTGTTTTGTCGCGGGCCGTTTGCGAGCAGGTATATAGCTGGTGGTTCGGTCTGCCAAACGTAAGCATTTATCCATTCAATTAAACATTTCATTAACAAACAAATTATAAATTCAAGTTAAAAAACAACTAATACAATGTTAAAAAATTTTCAATATATTCTGTAACTTAAACAGCTATTTTTTTGATTGCATGCAAATTAAAACAGAACGACATCAAACGAATGGGAGTCGAATCAGACGGATCCTATGGAATTACAAAAGGGCTCTACGCAGATTTCCCAGTAACTATAAATTCCAACGGAGAGTATAACATTGTACGAGACATCGAAATAACACCAACACACCAATTGAAAATACAGGCTATCAATGAGAGGTTGCTTGACTATGTCCATAGTATACAAGATTGGCCAATGTTTCAACAGAACCAATTACTCGCTTGATAAATTTAATTGTGCAGTTTACTGGCACCACAAATATGTATAATACATATTAATTAACTTTTTATAATTAATAATAACTAATGTTAATTAATAATTAACAATTACAAATGGAATGCTAATATTATTTATAATTTTGTACGATAACTTTTATTTACTAACTCCAGGATATTTTTATTGGCCAAAATTGTTTTAAAATTTCTAGTAGGTCATATAAGCAATTAATTAAAATTTCATCGTTAACTGATCAATTTAATAATGATACAAAGTAACATTTCTGTCGTTATTTGAATGTTAGAATGCACCATTATCCAAACAGTCCAAAAGGTGATAGAGAGCTGAATAAAGGTTATTTACGTCTGGATGGTTCGGTGGCGGTAGGTGGAGGAGGAGGTCCTTTGTGATCAAGTTCTGTTAAGTAAGACAGAATGATCTTCTTCCTTTCATCAGCTATGCACTCAAGTACTAGATAGCGCTTATCTTTCTGTAAAAATGAAATCATACCATCGTAACAGACTATTACAATAAAATATATGTGAAAGAATAGAGAAAAAAGTATAACCTTAAGAAGATTTTCTATATCTTTCAAAGATTGTTCTGATTCTTCAACATGTTTCAAGGATCTGAGAGAAAAATTTTAAGGTTAACAATTATTAAATTCAACGCACAGAAATAAAGAAATCTGAAAAAATTTCTTAGCTTGATTTAGCTATACATGAAGCCCACATGAAATGAGTAGATAAATAACCATATATAACAATTTTACTTGACAACTGTATCTATCAGAAGAAAATATCGACAAAAAAACAGTTACGACTACAATTTGGCAAATAATATTTGAAAAAATTCTGTTTGAAATTTTATATGATAGTGAACATTTTGAACTCTAAAAAGTTGTAAATATTGATTATCATTTTAAACAAATTCATGAGATATCAAAATAATGAAAAAATCGACCTTTATAAATAAAATGGTTAACAATATTTTTAAAAAATATGTGTAAAAGTTGAAAACAATTCTTACTTATAAGTAATTGTTTTAGTCTCCTTCAGTAGTTCCCTCAAATCAGATTTTGCCTGGTTCATCTTTTCTAGCATGTAATCGTCAAACTCCCTCTCTCTTTTCTGCATTGAAATAATTCAATTGAATTGATTTATTCACTTAACAATGATAAATGAAAAAAAAACAATAAAAATAAATACCCTGTCACTCGACGAGAACTTTTTATATCTTGGATCATCTTTAACCAACTTTTTTATTTCTTTCCACTTAGATGTCAGTGTAACTTCAGAAGTTTCATCAAGCAGGCGTCTAAACATCTCTCTATTCTTCTTTTTTAATGCCTCCATGTGCTCATCAAACATCTTCTGCCTCACTTCTTTGTCTAGCGATCCAGACAGAGGATCATACCTCGAATCTTTGCGAAGCAGCTTCTTGCTTTCTGAGTAATCCAATTCAACGGATTTAATCTGCATTAGGTAAAAAAACAGAATTATTCCTCAATAATGATATGACAAGTTAAGAAACTTGAGAATAAATAATATTAACAAAATAGAAGTTTATGATGAATTGATAGCCAAAGTATACATTAACTTTTTAAAAGTAGAAAAATAGTTGTGGAAAAAGACATAAACAGAATATATAAAATGAACTGCAACAACACATGAAATATCACCATGGTAATTTCACAAAATCCACTTACTAAATCAACAAGAAGGACTTTAAAATTCTGGATTGCTTCATCTTTTTTATGTTGATCCCGTTCTTTATCCCTTTCTCTCATTGAAGTTGCCAACGACTGCTGCACTTCTTTCTCTCTTTCTTTCAAGCTAGCTTCAATACGTGCTTGCTTTTCTGTTTGTTTGTCTTTAGGCTTCTTCTCTTTGTCATCTTTCTCATTGCTCTCATGTTTGTCGGAGGATTCCTGCAAATTAAGCACACTGTTTAGAAACAATACCAGAATTTATCTCAAAAAAAAAAAAATTTTAATCATCAACCTTTCCAAATGTTTTCAGGTAATCCTTAAACCAATCCTCTCTTCTCGAACTGCTATCGACAGCCTTGTAACGAGAATCAGATTCCAACTTCTTCTTAATATCTGCCCATCTTGAATGTTTGTCAATGCTGCTTGTCTGCTTCAGCAGGTCAAAGAAATTCGACTTCACCTAGAGTTTCAACAAAAAAAATTAAATTAACATTTTGTAAAGTAGGAAAACATAAACATTATTTAACATTAATCACAATCATTAATTTCACTCACAATGTAAATTCAATAGCCACAAATTTTAAAAGTTCATCTGTATTTTAAATTTATCTAAAATAATTTAAACACTTTTATTTAATATAATTTATAATTAAATATAGTTTCTATGTAAATATATAAGCATATGATAAATGATTTCAGTTCACAACATTCAATTTTTGAAAAACAAATAAAAAACTGTTGCTGCGATTTTGCAAAAAATATAAATTTGTATTAGGGTAAAAAAAAGCAAGCTGACAGTTTTCAAATTTGTTTAACAAATGTCATAATATATAACAAATTTTCAAAAGTGTACAAAAAAAATCAATCACAACCACGAACACAAACTACATACATAACAGAGATTTAATAAAAAAATAATAATATATTAATATATATATATATATATAAGAAGAAACATATGAACAGAAAAGTGGGTAATGCTTGAGAGTGAGTATCATCCAACAAGAATAAAACAATAAAACAGAGACGAAACAACACACAATGAAACGTCACACAAAGTCAGAAAATGAAACGAGCTAGGTAAATTAGAAAGAAGGTACATCATTTCTTACACTAATATCTGATATGATAGAAAATAAACGTCAACAACAACACATGAAGACATCTCGCTGACGGCAGAGGGGCAGGTCGAAGCCTAGATGGATACATACATCAATTACCTTCATCAGCAGCTCATCAGTCACTATGAACTATAACAGTTCATCGGTGGTGTATTGTGTGTTGGTTGCAAATCAATTAAGTTGAAAATTCGTTAAAAAATTATTAACTTTATTTTAAGAAAAATAAAAACTTTTGTATGTGTTTAAAAAAATTAAATATACATATACATGTGTATATAAATATATATATATATAACATACATACGTGAACAAATATGAATCATTGCATCATCATCCTTATCATCAGCCTGGTCATCACACGATAAACTATATAAAAACACTCAATCTATCCAACAATCAGAGAAACATCCCAACCCATAACATTCCTTTAATGAAGAAAATGTAGGTTAGTGGATGTTAATTTAATTATAAACACATATTTCAATGAATGAACTTCTGGAACGGTGCCACACTGCACTCTGCACCTTAGTGATGCATCATTCATTGATCCCATAACCTGTTTTGTCCTTTAATTGGATATCATGTGCAACAGTACAATGAAGCACTGAGGATGTATCTCTATATTAAAATACAGCACAACAGTCATGTTTATGTATGTTAAAATATATATAAACCCATGCATAGGCACAAACGTATATAAAATAAATAAATGTATATACAAACACTTGTGTAAAACTACAAAACCATTAAATGCTTAATAGTTATGCAATGAGTGTTTTAACAAGTTAGTTTATGACAGAAGAATTTTGAGTGTAAACATACATTTTTTACACACCATATTTATATTTATTTATATATTTACATATTTATTTGCATAAATTTCTATATAATAAAAGCTATAAAAAAAATGTGTTGAAATAAAAATGATCACAAAATAGAGGAGTGTTTATTTAAGAAGCTTATAGAAAATATCTTGTAGAAGTTTCAGAAATTATCAGTGCTACAAAACTTCCTCTCATTGAATAATTGCTACTAAATTTCTATTAAAAAAGGAAATTTTAATTGTTTTGTGGGTGGTCAAGTAGGTGAATATAAGATTTTTTATCAGTTACAACATTTCATCCATTTGAAAGATTTGATAGGTAGACATTTAATAATTGGTAGCCAGCCTATCAGTGAAGGGTGCATTTCCTTCTGAGTCAGTCACCAAGAATTTCAATTGAGTAATCACAAATGACTACATAGTAATATGTTTGATGAAAACCTCGATCAAATGACCCATTTTATTGTAAGGATCATGGCAGATCATAAATATTCCGACGGATACAAAATTTAACAAAAATCAAACTTTTGCCACACTTTGTGTACTACATAAAGATATATAATTAAAAAAAATTAAGAGATTATAAAGACAAGAGGACGTACCTTTTCCTTTTGTAGTTTTGACTCTTCCTTCTCTCTATGGCGTAGTTCAACCAAGAAGTCAGCAAACAATGATTCTCGTTCCCTTGTCTTATCAACATTTTTGAAACGTTCGTCTCTACCGTACTTGGTTGAAAAGTCACTGAATGATGATCTGAAAAAAAATACTTTTTTCTATTAATAACTTCACATAAACATTAAGTGACGTTCTTAAGCTGTGTTTAACATAGGTATTCTTTTGCTTCATGGACCAATAAACAGTAGACAATAAACAAAAATGTAGTCAATTCTTGCTACTTTGTTACAGTAGACCACTGTTTAACAAAACCAGCCTCTTGTTAAGAACAAGAATCAAATCTTACTAAACAAGCCTAAATAAATTTGTTCAATGAGATGAAAAAAAATAACAAAATCTGTTTATTCAGATATTTGGATAACAAACTAAAATAGTCAGCAAGATGTGCTCTATTTCCTTGTGTGACTTTTTAAACGTTCTAAAGAAAGCTTGTTTATAATTACATTACCTGAAGTGTGCATTACAATGTCTAGTGCACAATGTTTCAACGTTGAGTATTCTGAATGCATGTGTGGAGCAGAATTAATGTTTATTTAGCTTTTACTGTACTAGAAAATTCATGTACAGATGAATAAATAGCAAAAAGCTTTATGTCTTATTTTATCTCAAGCCACTGACTATAAATTAAAAATTGTTTTTGACTTTTTGAACAACAATTAATCTGATATCAATGAATTTTGAGAATACATTAAAGACAAAATATAATCTGACTTGCTGGTTAGCTTTGCCTCCTCCATTAGCTGTTTGAACAATTCCTTCTTCTCCTTCAACTTGTTTCTCTTTTCCTTCCTCTCTTCTTCAGCTCTCTCTTTTACATATTGTTCAAAGACTTGCTTTCTTTCCTGTTGAATTACGTTATTTTTATATTGCTATCATAACCCTGATTTTTATAAAATAAAAAAATTTAAAAAATTAATGATAGCAACCTTTGAGGCCAGCAGTAAATAACGAGGATCAAATACAATTTTGTGAAGTTCTTTTTCCCAGGTTGAGAAAGCTGACACCTATGAAAAAACACACACAACTATTATAAGATTTCAAAAACTCAACAATAAAAACTAACTAGTAGTTTAGTGGATATAAAACAAACACAAAAAGAAACAAGCAATTACATCAATGTCAACAAATGTATGTCACAATCTTTGTAATTACAGACAAAATTTAATGAACTTGAAAATTTCAATATTGATCTAACAGCTTTTTCAGTTAGTAGTTCTCTAAATTGTGTCATTCTTATTTCTATTGGAATTATGGCTCTCTCTTTTGCAGCTTTAACCTCAGCTTCAATTGCTGATTCCTTGCTTGCTCCAATCTTCTTTGTATCAACACTCACTATTATAACATCATCAGAATCCATCCTGTTGAATTTTCCATGCAAATATCATTAAAAATATAATTGAATTAAAAAAAAATAGCAACGCCTAATTAATCTGACAAATTATATTACTTTGCTTTTTTACTCTCTGGTTCATCTTCTGTTAGATCCAAAACTTTTTTCTTACCTGAATTTTAAAAGTTAATTAACGTTAACAATATTTAAATTAAATGAATAGGGCTGTTGCAAAAAAATTAAAGTGATATAAAAGTGCATTGTCCGTTAAGAAAGCTGAAGAATACTGAATCAATTCCTCCCGTTGATACCAAATTTTTATCAAACGCTTGGAAAACATGGATGAGGCGCTCCAGTCATGGCAATTTCAGAAAGCAATGAGAACATGGTAAAACCAAATAACACTAAATCCAAATAAAAGTACAACCGTAAGCAAATACATGAAAGATTGAGCAGACGATATAGAGGCCAAATAGTGAATGAATGATGAATGTAAATGAAACAAAATTGAAATTTATAAAAAGGACTAGTGGTGAAGGGAATGGTTTCATGTTATTGTTTTAACGTTGTTTCAGCATAAAGGGAACCATCAACTCAAGATTGTAAGGCTTTTTCCCAATGCATATTTGTGGTTAATTTATGAAATATTAATAAAGTGATAAAATATAGCAATTACTTTTTTTAAATATATGGCAAAATTTGAACAATAAAAAAGTTTACAACTGGAATATGAAACTAACCAGATGTTGCAATATTATTACTATTACCAGAAATATCAGGCGGACTTTGAACCAATTTATCGACATCCGGTCGGTTGTTCAACTCTGCTGGTCTCTCCCACAATGAAACTCTCTGACTCGGATTGTAAAAGAAGACTCGATTGTCGCCAGTCCAGACGACACACCTTTGAATGACAGGTTTACATTTGGATTTACCAAAACAATTCAAATATGAACATCATCAAGGAAATTTAATTAAAAAAAATTAATTTAGACAAACAAAAAAATTCAAGATTTGTATAATAAAATATTACCATGGTGTTCCAGAAATTGGTGTACTTGAAACAGGTTTTGACTTTTCAGCTGCTTTCTGTTCTTCAGTCATGCCATCATCTTTCTGAAGAATTATTTTCACATGAATCAATTGAATAAAATGACTATGTTTAAGAAAGATTCTAGTAAGAATAAAAAAAGGAATACCTTACCTTAGTTTGAGTTTCTTCTTTAGCAACTTTTTCATCAGATTCCGTTGTATCCATTTTAACTGGAGATTCATCCTTCTTTGTTTGTTCAGAATTATCAGCCACAACTGCAGGGGTGGCGGCTGTGGGTGGTTCAGATGTAACAGCAGCAGCGGTTGTACTACTTGCGATGTTAGTCTTGTTTGCTTCTGTGAATGACTGTAATTTGCTCATTATCTCTGCAAAATTGATGGCTATTGAGGTTGGAATGGAAGATGCCGTCACAATTTGGGATGCAGCCACGGGCACATTTTTGTTCACTTGATTGGAAGCTACAAAATTTTTGAATAAAAAATTTATGTTTGGCAAAAAGAAATTAGCTAATTTTGTGTCCAAAAAATATTATAAACAAAAAAAGAATACCTTCATAATCAAGCAAAACTTTCGGCTTCTCCCAGACAGATTCTGCTGTTCGACTGTTATAATAATATTGCTTACCTTCAGGAGTTTTGTGTTCTGACCATTCAGCAACTTCAGGAGGCTTAACCTAATTGTGTAATCAAATTATGTAAAGCATCAGAATCTTCAAATTTACATTGTATTGCAAGTTTCTGGAGCACCTGTATTTCTATTGTTACTTACAAAAACACTAATTGTGCCATGCTTTTTTGAACGAATGATGTTTTAATGCTCCTTGAAAACTGCAAACCATTTGAATGGACGTTAATGCCAAACAGGCTTCAAAAATCAATTTTTGCGCATTACTATTCACTAGAGTTCTTATGTATAGAATATTATTAATACCAAATTAAAACCAAGAACAAATTGAAAACAAAAATAAATGGAAATAATGATGCAAATTACCTGAACAACAGAAGGAGGTATGACACCAGGAGGGAAGAATGGAGGTGCGAATGGAAAACCTGGTAATATAAAATAAATTTAACGAAAAATACAATTAAATTTTTTAAGAATAAATAACCAAAAACTGATGGAATTGAAATTACAATTTTAAACTATGATTATCAAGTTATAAAAAATGTTTCATGAAAATCCATACAATAGCCATGTAAAACAGAATATGTCACATATACAAAAATCAAATTATTTTTATAAAATTTTATAAAAATTGAAATACAAATATTTATATCAAATGTAAAAATACAAAAACATACCGGGCCTCATCATGTTCTGCATAAAACTTAACATGTTTAAAGGATTACTGCTCTGCTGAAAAGAGGTAATATCTTTTTCACTGGATGCAATACTAGCATTCACAGCTGGACTGTTGCTCTGATTTGCTGGTAAAATTAAAAAACTTATAGCCAATATTTTGAAGTATTCAAACACCTTCATCTTTACATTCAAATATAAAAATTTGTCATGATTTTGATGCAACAGAAGTAAAGAAAATGAAAAAACCTTGAGCAATAGCCACTTGAGCAGCACCAAACTGAGCTGATGAAGGCTGAGAAACTGATGAGCCTAAACCAACATTAGCTGACTGTTGTGGAGCTTGTTGTTGGCTCATAGCCATTGATTCAAATTCTGCTTGTGAAACTATCTTAACATTTTCAGGCTTAGACCATGATGTTTCCCTCGTTTTGGCATTGTAGAAGTACGACTAAAACAAATTTGCAATTGATACTTAAGAAACTTGAATTTCAATACAAATTATCGCCATGAACAATGAAAAACAAACTAAACAAAAAACAAACCTTTCCATTAGCGGCTTTTGTTTCAACCCACAATTCTTGGTTAGGATCAACAAGATTGTTAAGTGGAAAATTACCCATATTTGAATTACCCGGATAAACTGGCGGCGGCATGCCAAAGTTGTGAGGAGCCATATTTGGTGCCATGGGGCCTCTCTGAAATTTTAATAATTAATAAAAATAAATGAAAAAAATACTCTTAAAATAAATATCCTATCTAACCATCAACTGATTATGAGCCATTCCCATTGGGGGTCTCATAGAATCCATTAGATTGACATTGTTTGGACCACCCATGTGATTGAATGATCCCGGTCGACCCATATTTTGCATACCCATAAGTGGTCCTCTCGGGGGTCCACCCATAGATCCTCTTCCCATTGAACCAAAACGACTGTTTGGATGACCAAAGTTATTGTCAAAGGATGGTGGATGGTTGAAAGGAGGACCCATATTTCGTGGAGGCATATTCGGAGGGCCTCTCATTAAAGGCATATTCGGAGGACCTCTCATCATAGGCATTCCTCGCATTCCTGAATTGGGTCCATGAAACCCAGGACCCATCATGGGACCACCAGAATTCATGTTATAAGCTGGGCCATTGAAACCTCTAAAAAATATGTTAAATAATAAAATAAGTTGATAAAAAATATAAAACAATCATATAAAAAATTATATATATAAATGTTTATATTTACATGAGTTAACAAAATTTACATATACATTTGTGCAAAGTTGTTACAGTTCATTAGAAAAAATATGTAGATAAAAGAGAGTTCACAATCCAGAATTGGACTGGATCTGTTTTAATTTGTGTTGTGTTTTCGTAAAAGAATTTGGCTAGAGGTTTACTTTTCCATAAACCACATTATTATCTTTTTAAAATAAATTATCTTTATCATTCTACGAAAAAAGTAATAATTCAAAGTAATAAATAACAAATATTGTAATGAAGACAGTCAAAAAGAAAAAATAAGTAATCATTTTGAAAAAGATGAGCCATTTTACACTAAACCAAAATGATCAAGACTGTAATAATTACGACCACTCTTTGATTTAATGAAAAATATGTGTACATATTCTTTTTAATACAAATATACATATATATATATACAAACATCATTGAAGATATATGCCCATTTTGCATTAATGACTTTCTTTAATGAACACTCAACAAGTCTGAATTTATTAAACTCGTATTTATTTATCCATATTAGCTGTGATACATTACAATTACTTGTTTTATTTTGTTTTATTTTTGTTTTATTTTTATTTTATTTTATTTTTTCATTTTATTTCATTTATTTTATCTTAATCCATTATATTTTTTCATAAATAGTCTATATTCCATTTTAATCTAATTTAGTTGTTTCATTTACGGATTCGTTTATTAAAATTTCTTATATATCATTATAAACTTAATAATTAATTTTGACAATTTTCCATATTCTTTCCACACATGTCTTCTTTTCACATTCAACTAACTTATTTACGTTTTATTTACATCATCCGATTTTAACAAATTTCACTGAACTAAATTTCAGTATTAATTTATTTGTTTTAATATTTAATTTAATACTATTTTACTAACTTTTTATATACATTTATATTTTTAACCATAAATTTAATTTGTACATGTTTTGCATTGTTTTCACTAACAAAGGTTTCTCGTTATTTTCTTAATAATTTTATTACACATTTAATATGCATTCTAATTTTATAAAAATATTTCATGCTATTCTTATTTTCATAGGCTCTGAAGATGGACTTCCCGAAACAGCGCTGTTAGCCTTACCATGTCTATTGTTTTAAATAAATACGAGTTTAATAAATTCAGACTTGTTGAGTGTTCATTAAAGAAAGTCATTAATGCAAAATGGGCATATATCTTCAATGATGTTTGTATTAAAGAAAACCTCGTTCCGAAATATATATATATATATATATATATATATATATATATATCTTATTTAAAATTTTTCGATCCAATAATTGAATGTATAGTGGCCTAACAAATAGTTATGACCCAATTATTATTTCAAAAATTAAATTATTAACTAAACTGTTTCTGATTGTTGATTGATTGATAATAATTTGCATTTGTATGATTTAATAGGGTACTTAATAAATCTAATAATACACGTGAGCAGTGCTTTTTTAGTTGAAAAAAATAGGTGCCTGTACTCAGTGGTGAATCTAGACAACTTTAGCAGGCAGAGCGCCTAAATTCTAAACAATTTTTAAACGTTGACCAAGGGAATTTTTGAAAAATATTTTTATGTTTTAATATTTCATCAAAAACACAACTTTTTTCGGTTAAAACAATGAGCTTTACTGACTTTTAATACAAATACTGAGGCATTTTAATAGTGTTAAATTACATAACTTTTAACTACCATTTGAACCTCTATGCAAACTAAATCACAACTGCGAAAGATGTTAATTGTCTGAAACAATTATTAAACACTTAAATTGTTAAAAGTGATAATATTTTCTCCATGTTTAAAAAGGTGTTGATATGCAGTACTGGTGCATATCATCAGAAAAAAAGTAAACGAACATTCAGTTTTGTAAGCTCATGTCAAAAAATAAAATGAATAATAAATTAAATGTTTTTAAGAAACAAAAAATAATTTAAAGTTTATACTGATATTCCCCATTAATTATGGGTTGTTTAGTGTCAGGGTTAGAGAATGTTCATTGACTTTAGAGTTTGGACAAAAAATAAAATTTGAAATTAATTTATAAACAAAATCAATCAATCTTTGTTTAGAGTCTAGAGACCCAGTTCTGGAGTAGGACAAAACATAATAAAATAAAAAGAAACAGCAACAATTTTATTAACCTTGGTCTTTGAGATCTCAAAAGAGGTACTTTTTCAAATGGAAATCTCTGATCTGAAGCATGCATCAAATGGGATTCATCATCCAAATCCAAATTGGATGCATCATGCTCTTCATCACCATCCAAATGCTCTTCATTTGTTTTTTCCAGCTTTTCATCAAGATTAATTTTATCATTTACATTTTCATGACAACCCTCTTCCCCTTCATGATGGAAGTGGGAATTGTTATTAAGCGCGGGTTCCTCGTTCATAGCTTCCTCGTCTTCTGGATTGTAAAGATTAGCATTAGCGTTATTGCCGTTAGTGACATCAACTTTCCGAACTTCGGAACCTATTTCTAAAATTTCAGAATTTTGTTTTACATCAACGGTGTCAGTGAAATTTTCTTGCATTTTTTCACGTATATCATTTGATTCCGTGCAATCAAGATTATGACTGCGATCGTCGCCGTCGCCTTCGATATCCATGTCGGCCATGCTAGATCAAATTCGTATCTTTATAAGCTATGCATAGACAAATAATAACTAAATAAAGATAATAAATCAATAAACAATTTTATTGACAATGATATTTGAGGCAATTGACAACTAAGGATATGCAATATAACGGTATTATATTAATATAATTATATTAAATATATATTAATATAATAATTATTATCTCATTTATATGTGTATAAATTACATAAGTTTTTTTCTGATTTTTGTTGAACTAAATATTAAAAACTTAAATATTATCGTCATGGCTAAATCTCATTCTGCGGAGTCATTTGATAATATGATCTCTAAAGTTTTAGAAAAATCCAATGATAATGTGATGAAACTAATTGACAAGTTAATGGACAGATCAAATGAAAGTCTTGAAAAAATAATTATTCTGTCCAACAACAACCTGGAAAAACTGTTTGACAAATTCGACTCAAATGTTACAAAATTAATTGAAAAGTCAAATGAAAATGTGAGAAAATCATTGGCTCATTCAGAAAATATATTGAGTAAACTTTTCGAATCAACTGTCATTCGTATGGAGGCTCTCGGCAACAGTTTCGAGCAAGCAGTCAAAAGTATGTCGGAGGCCGTAACTGAGTCAATGGGCCAACTTCTTACAACAGTGGCTGCTCTGAGTACCAGTGTTTCAGAGTGCCAAAAACAGGTCTTAAAAATGAATGAAACTCCCTTGATTGAATCAATGACCAGGGCCCTATGGGCGGTTGATCAGGAGCGTAAAGACGAGGAACGACGAGCCAGCAATGTCATTATCTCTGGCATGGATATGCAGCCCGGAATCAACGATGAAGACGCTGTTTCTACCATATGCGAGAATTATCTGACACTTAAACCGCAGATTGTCAAAACACGTCGAATCAACAACAAAAAGGTCTGTGTAACTCTATCAAGTCCTCAAACAGTTGATGACTTGATATCATCATCAAAACTATTGCGTTCATCGCCGAACACCAAACATATCTTCATCAACCATGACCTTTCAAAACGACAAGCCGAGCAGGCCTTTCTTAAACGCCAGGAACGACGTCTTGCAAGACCAAATCAGATATCCAGCGGCGTGCAGCCCTTTCGTTCCACGTAATATGAACCGGACACTTCGTATGTCTCTAGCAAATGTTAGAAGTTTGCAGAATAAAAAGAATGACCTTAATTTATTTTTGTCAGAATACGACCCTGACATTTTTTCTGTTATTGAAACATGGCTTTCACCAGAAGATCGTGATGAGTTAATACTACCTCCTGGTTTTTGTTTTGTTAGAAAAGACCGTGGAACACGTGGTGGTGGAGTGGCTTTTGTCATTAAAAGCTCGGTTCATTACAAGGTCGTGAAAACACCAACAAAATACTCTCACATCGAAATAATCTCAATTGATGTTTTTTCTTCATCGACAACATATCGTTTCATCTCCTACTACCGCAGTGGTGGATTTGACAATTTGGCTGTCGACTATGCCATTGATAGCACACAATGCATCACAATGCTATGCAACGGTAATGTTAACTGCCTACTGGGCGATTTCAACCTACCGCTTATTGATTGGAATAACTATTCATCGCCAGATAACGCAATTTATAATTGTTTCATTGAACTTTTTAACGATCTTGGCCTGCATCAACTGGTGGACCAACCTACACGAGGTCAGAACATTTTGGACCTGGTTCTTTCTGACGATGCCAGCTTACTAGCCGAACTGGAAGTTTCCTGCCCATTTGCTTCAAGTGATCATTGCTGTGTTAATTTTACAATCAACTGTTTTAGCAACAATTCGACCAACAACAATCCCCACAACAGAACATTTTTTTACGATTTCAACAGAGCAAACTACACTGTCCTGAATGATTATTTGTCAACAATAGATTGGGATTGCCATTTTCAATATTGTTTTGATGTTAATGCCTGTCGGAATATATTCGAACAAATAATCAACCATGCCATTTCAACCTTTGTTCCTTTGATTGGTCGGAATAGTTTACCGCCCAAGCGTTCAGTACCCAAGCCACTTCGTCAATCCTACCAAGTCAAACTCCATTTTTGGAAAAAATGGAAACGAAGTTCAAATTCAGAGGACAGAGATCTCTACCTATCTACGTCTAAAAAATGTTCCAATTTAGCAAATATTTATCGCATGACTAGAGAAAACAACCTATTGTCGAAAGGAAATGTTAGAAGTTTTTATCAATATATTAATAACAGATTATTTTCCAAACCTCAAGTTTCCAGCTTAAAAATTGATAATAACAATACATCCAGTGACCCGATAGTTATGGCAAACACCTTCAATAGTTATTTTGCGTCAGTATTCACAATTGATGACGGAATACCTAGTACTCTACCTTCCCGTACTACAAAAACAATTGACGACATCTGTTTTACTCCTCATTCAGTTTATCTAGCTCTACGCAGTTTGAAAAATTCACACTCATCTGGTCCTGATAATATTCCCAATATCCTTCTCAAAAGGTGTGCTTCAAGTTTAGCTGTTACTCTGTGTCATATTTTTGATACATCCTTTAAGAATGGGCTTCTACCCACTATATGGAAGACTGCTATCGTTACTCCTATTCACAAAAAAGGACCAACTAATTACCCTAGCAACTACAGACCTATATCGCTAACATGTTCGTGTTGTAGAGTCATGGAAAAAATTATTAACGGCAGTCTCCGGAATTATTTGTTAGACAATAATTTAATATCTTTCTTTCAACATGGATTTTTGCCTGCCAGATCAACTTCCTCTAACATCATCAAATTTGTTAGTGATTCTTTGTCGATCCGTCAAACAAAAGAAAGTTGCGATTCAGTTTATCTCGATTTTCAAAAAGCATTCGACTCAGTTTCACATGCCAAGTTGATTTGCAAATTACAGGCTTGCGGTGTAACTGGCAAATTATGTAGCTGGTTGACTGATTTTTTACATGAGCGATCTCAATTTGTTCAAATTCTTAACAAATCATCTAGTTCTACAGCTGTAACCAGTGGTGTTCCCCAAGGAAGTGTCCTTGGGCCAACTCTTTTTCTCATATTCGTCAACGATATAGATGACTGCATTTCATCATGCCCTGTTTCTATGCTGCTTTTTGCGGACGACATCAAATTATACGCCCGATCATCTAACTCTATTCAACTTCAACGGTCAATCAACAATATCGTATCATGGAGTAACAAATGGCAACTGCCACTGTCCCCTAACAAATGCTCAACTTGTTCCTTCATTCCATCAAGAAATACTACAGTTACAAATCAATACACGATTGATCACCATGTTTTAACACCTAATGAGTGTTTTAAAGATCTTGGCGTAATAATTGACAAACAACTTAACTTCAATCGGCATATCAATGACATCACGCACAAGGCATCAACACGAGCTCGGCTTTTAATTAAATGTTTTACATCAAGAGACAAAAACCTACTAATTAAAGCTTATTGTACCTATGCTCGTCCCTTGTTGGAATATTGTTCTCCTGTCTGGAATCCTCATTATCGATATCAGCTGATGAAGATCGAAAGTGTTCAGAGAAGATTTACTAAAGCCATCCCCTCAATTCGCCATCTTCCATACCTATCACGTTTAAACTCAGTTGGCTTGCAAACGTTAGAACATCGTAGATTGATTTTCGACCTGTGTTTTTTATTCAAAATATTGAACAACATCATCAACTCCGATCTGATTGATCAATTTACCCCGTCGTCATATCTATCAACTCGAGGTCATCACCGTAGACTGCACGAATCCAATTCTAATAACAACACAACAAAATACTTTTTTTGCAACAGGATAGTTAAAATTTGGAATGCACTGCCTGAGGAAGTAGTTTCCTCACCTTCATATGCCATTTTTAAAACGAAACTACTTACTGTTGACCTTAGAAATTTTTTGCAGATTAAATAACTTAATAACTATCCATGTTTATTGTTTGTATTTTTCTGATTATGGTCTCCATATTATGCAAAACCTGTCATTTCTTTCTTTTTCGAGATACATTTTTCTTTTACTCTTTGATATATTATAAATTATATAATATTTCAAACATTTAACACAATTATGCTTTCCATATATTGTTCAACTTGTCTTTTTACACTGTATTATAGGAATCTCGTGTTGTGTTCTATTGGAATTAAATGCTGTATATATGTGTTTTTGTGTGTGTGTGTGTATGTATATATATTTTTAGCTGTTCATATTTAATTCACTGTTTATGACCTTGACCATACTTGTTATTTTTTAACTTTGCTCATTAATGATTAGCTGAATGATAATGACGATGTGACTGGTAGTTATTTCATTATTTTGGTTGTTTTCATTATATTTCTGCTTCACTGTTACGATTAATTAGTTATTGAATCTTCTTTTTTTTTTCTTTTTTTTTCACTGACTGACGTTTATTATATTTGAAGAATTGTTGATTTTTTCCCTGACTGGGTAAGCGGCATGTCAATGCCCTCTGGTCAGTTGGGTCAAATAAATAAAATAAATAAAAAAATAAAATAAACCACACAGAAAGAATTTGCTTTAGTTATCTACAATTTCTGATTCTTAGCTTCCAAAAAGTTTATTATTGTAAAAATACAATAAAGCAATACCAAAAAAATGTCATAGTCAACTCTCTAGCCCATTAAATTTTTCAAAAAGCATCACATTTTGCAACATGAGAAGAATTTGATCGCTAACGTGTTATACACCTAGAGCCTTACGCGGATAGCTGCAAAACGACTTTTAGCTCTGGTACCGCACACGCAGTTGAGAATAACAAAGTCCTAAATCTTTGCAGATTTTGCAGTTTGCGGCTTTTGCTCATGCGTTTTGCCGCGAATGCGGTTTCAACTATTTATTTTTTAAACCACCTGCACAATTGAGTTTTGTCACATTTGTTTAATGGTTGATCCGGCTCTGCAGTTCAGTGATGAATATTGTAATAAAGTTTACTCTCTATGGTTGTAAGGTACACTAATGTTTGATTATTTATTTATAAGTCACAAGGGTAATTCATTCATACTTGTTCGTGCCTGAAATGTTGTTTACGTACAGTAAGCGCATATAAATATTTAATTCAATGTACATGCAATATAAATGCACGTATAGATTACGCCAAGCGTCATATATGTAGAATATAATTTGTACTACGTGGTTGTGGACATCATGGAATTATATAACTGGAAGCGCCCTACCAGCGTTTTAACATTGAAAATTTTTTTCAACGGGCAAGTTTCTAAAAATTAATTATTCATGAGCATTTTGGTTTATTTTTAGAAAAATCTGAGATATAATTAGAAAAAATCTTGGCCTTCCCGAAGTTATGTTAATGACTCTTTGCCGATCTGCATTCAGTTCGTTAGTTAAAATTTATTTCGTTTTCAACATTCCGTGAAGTTTTAGGTTAATTTATGAGGTTTATATAACCACCGTATTTAATGTTTAATCGTTAAATGGATATTGCCATTTTTTGATGCATCAGAAAAATCGAAGATTTATAATAAGTTCGTTAGCGATCCACATTTTCTGAAATAAAGATTTCTTCATTCATTCTCCCAGCACCCACGAATCACGATGATGATCATTTACTTCATATCATTTCATTAGAGTAAGAATCATTCCTAAATTAAATTAGATTCTAATTTAGAATCTAGAAAACGAAAAGAAGTCGGTAAAAATTTTATTGTAAAAATTAAAAATGAAATGTTATTAATATTTAAAAAATATAACTCATAATCAATTTATAATATTGTTATAATATAAATAAATTAATCAACTAATAATTTTTAAATTAAGATGTAATTCCTGTGCATATGTCCTCAACTAGAATCTTTCAACACTCCAAAGCTTACAATTCAAAGGAATAATTACTTTCAATATCACATACCCAAACCAAATTTAATCACACAGAAGAAGTTTTTAAAATTTATTTTGGTAGTAAAAGCAAACAACTTTTTTTCTGTTTAAATGTTATGATTTATAATTTTATATTATTTATTAATATATTATATTTTATTATATATTATAATTTATTTTATATTATATTTATATATATTAAATAAATTATATATATATATTTATATATATTTATATTATTATATTTATTATAATTATATATATATTATTATATTTATATATATTAAATAAATTATATAATTCAAGTTAAAATCAAATTCTTTAACTATTTCAACTGTAATTGACATTATTAATATATTAAATAAATAATAATAGTTTCTTTAATAACATCAAATTCATTATGCTATTAATTTAAAACGATCAACTGTTAATTTTTAATAGAATAGGTATGTTTAATAATTTTTAGTTTAACATTACTATTTATAAAATAACCCTGAAGATGCTAGATCATGAGAGTGTATATTATTATATTTATGTGTAAATTGTTATATTTCTTGTTTGTTGATTATAAAACATCTATTTTGCTATAATTAGTGATGAGTCAAGTTAGATCAGTCTTACCTTTTTTATTTCTGGATTTTGGTTTTGTTTATTTGTTGTATAACTGCAAAATGTTTGATTTACATAATTATAAATTTATCTATCAAAACTTTTAAAAAGTGAAACATACACACACACACACATATATATTATATACATAAAAGATATACATAAAAGATAAAAACAAAGGTTGTAGAATTTGCTTCTGATGTAGTCTATTAGAAGCACTGTACAAATTCAATAAAACAATTGATTTAATAAATTTAAATTGTATAATTTTTGCCGCAGCTTATTATTTAATTTACTTTTATTAAAACTGCATGTTGATAGAAAACTCTTTAGTTAAGTTAAAAAGTCTTAATGTTGTATATGATGTTATTATTTTTTTTATTAATTCATAATAGTGGTTTGCATTCTGTACATCATTGAAATGATTTTCCATGTTAAATAAATCTTCGTTGACACATTGTAGGTGTATGTTGCTTTCAATTACAAGTTTTTTCTTAAAACAATAATTATTTATTTTTAATAATCTTTCTGATTCTTGGCAGATCTGAAAATCATTAAAATTTATTGCTTTTACCAGAAAATAAATAAATGTATCATTTTTATTTTAATACTCCTTTTCAGGGATATGTCAATTGCCCATTGTCTTTTAGTATGATGAGATGATTTGATGATTCGCTAAATATGTTTCTTCTGGATGAAATCAAGCATTTTCTGCATATTTGTTGGGATTTGTAACAGCATATTAATGCAAAATTTTAAATGAATTTTGGAGAGGTTTACATTAGAAGTAAAAAAAAACCTGCATTCTGCGCATGAGATGGTCGATGTTATTGACTTCACCACCCATCCTATAATCTTGAAAGCTCCAAATTTAAATGAAATGAATACAACTGATCACCTAATTGGCGCAAAAACTTGATGGCAAAGAAAACAACGTCCTACCTCAGGGGAACTGAGTCTCTGGACGCTAAACTAAGATTGATTGATTTTGGCTATCAGTATACATTTCTTTATATATACTAGTTCATAGAAAATCATGATCAACAAAATTTTACTTGTTCAATGTTCTCGGGTGTGGCAGTGTTAATCCACTTTTTCTTAAAAATTGGTATGCACGAGGACCAGTCTTGTAACTATCATCATATACTTTGTTAACTCTTTTAAATGGTATGAGTTTTTTATCTAGAAGCAAAAATAAACAAAAAGTTAGTCAAAATTTCAATTCATTTTGCTATGGTTATATAGCATAAAACCTTTGTATGTAGCTAATTCATTTTTTAATTTATTGCATTCACTCATAAGTTTTCTTATTGTTGCCTGCAGCAGTGTGATTCTGGACTTATAATACTTTGATTGCCTTTGCTGTTGCTTAATGAGATGGGCATCCATTGAGCAAAACGTCTAAAAATGGTTTTAAATTGAAAGTAAATAGCTGCATTTATATATCCCAATAAAGTAATAAAACTCTTTATATTCTGTATTTCTTATGACAAAAAGCCATTTTAACAAAGGCATCCTAATAATAATAATAAACCCATAATACAAAAAAAAACATATTTTCCATTAGAATCAAAATTAGCATTTTATAAAATGTAATAAGAAAATGACCAAATCCTTATCGTTTTATTTGTTAAATATCTGATAGTAAGCCGGCAAATGCCAATGTTATTGTATTGTATATTAATATTTGGTTTGAATTAATCAATATTGCTTCAGCAATCCTTTGTTTATTATATATAAATACTAAATTAATTGCCTCAGTTTGTGTTGTCTTGGTTTTTGCCTTTTCAAATACCACACCAGGAAATACTGTTGGGTAGGCATCTTTCTAACTTTTTTATTTGACTTTGAAAAGGATTTTGAATCAAAATGTTTACTACATATATATGATCTTTTTTTTTCAAAACCTCTACACCTGCCATTCAATGCATTGATCCACTGACTTTTTATAGGTGATTTTTGAGGAATGCTGTAATGCATATTGCATTTTGTCAAAAATGAATTATTGAAATTTATATCTATTAATCCATGGAGAGAGGTCAAGTGAATCATAAAATATGCAAATGATATAAAAATATTATTAAGATCATATTATTACCTGTGCATAGATATATTTTGGTCTTTATATGTCCCATTACAATTTTTTACTATACACTTTAATGGCATTTTTAATTTAATAAAAGATAGAAATTATATTCAAAAACTAACTTACTGCTTATCGTCTGCTCAATTCATTCCAAAGATCAGAAATTTTCAGGTAGCATATCCAAAAAAATGTATACAATTATTTGATTCAATAGCAATATTTATTATAATTGAAAAAATATATTGATTATATTAAAATTTAAAGTAACATCAATATGGTATTCCACATTACTATTTTAATTAATAATAATAAAATAAAAAGATTTATGTGGCTTGTTATCTAGTTCTAATTAATTAACCAATTATTTGTTGTTGATAAAACAAGAAAATTTCGATGCCAGTACAAACGTCAATTTTTTAAAGTACACGAACGAACATACCGACATTGAAATTTTTGAGTTTTTTTTAACATTAATTTATTAGACAGTTTAAAAAATAAAAAGTCAAAAATTCAAAATAAAAATACAAAAAAGCCTCTCTTCTACTAGTATGAGTCTAGTTTTTCCTGGCACAATGTAACATTTGTAAAACTTTTAAGAAAGTGACATTTATAAAATCAAAATGGATCAAAATTCAGTTAAATTATTAAGTTAAAAATCGATTAAAACTGCCATAGAATAATTTCAGCAGTAAAAAATGTTTACAAGAATTTGCCGCCGGTAGCACAAGAACAGGGAAGAAGCTAAATATAGATTGGAAAACTGAAAAACCCATTGACAATTTGGTGCTAAAAAAGTTTGCTTCTAAGCTTCCTGACCTTGAGAAGAAGGTCAACACTATAAAGCCATTCTTATATATAATTTAATGGTGGACATCATTGTCTTATCGCAACGTTTATATATATATATATATATATATATATATATATATATATATATATATATATATATATATATATATATATATATATATATATATATATATATATATATATATATATATATATATATATATATATATATATATATATATATATATATATATATATATATATATATATATATATATATATATATATATATATATATAGAACATTATATATGTTATATAACATGATATATTTTAAATATGTTCATCTAAATAATATGAAATAATGGATATTAGCTGTTGTAGAAATTGTTTAAATATCTATGGGCCAATGTTTCAGACCGATCGTTACTTTTTAAGATCTCATCGCGCATTCCAGATCAGACGCTCACTGCTCACTTGCTTTTCGTTACTTTTTGGTTCGATCTACGCGTCTTGCTCATATGTTAAGAATAGTTAATTCGAACGATTTTTTAAAATATTCATTTTTGTGTATTGATATTTAAATCTAATTATCCAATATTTGTCCATCAAATCATTTATTTTGATACGAATTTATTGAATTAGATTAGATTAGTCGTAAGTTTATTTTTTATTCTTAATGAGTTTCAACAATTGAATTGAATTCAGTTACTTTACTACTTTTTCTTTTACTAAATAAAGTTTACTTACTGGTTAATATACGCTATACGGTCGTCGCATTTGTTATAAATAAAATAAATACATTAGAGCCGCCGGCTGATACGCCCACTTTTGATCATGGGGGATGGGCCAGCTGAATGCAACATTAAAGTTATCTGTCGAGTCAGACCTTTAAATGATTTAGAAGAAAGAGCTGGCAGTAAATTTATAATAAAATTCCTCTCTGAAGATGCCATTGCTATTGCCGTTAGTTTTGTTTGATTTATATGAATTTCATCACTGACATTGTTTTTTATCTGTTCATTGAACCATTCAATTATTAAATTAAGTCTTATGTGAATTAAATATTAAATAATTAAAAAACAGGGTAAAAATTTTACTTATGATAAAGTATTTAAACCTGATGTAACACAAGAAGATGTTTATAATGTTGTGGCTAAACCTATTGTGAAAGGTTGTAGAATACTTTTTACACACCATTAGCATTTGTCCTTAATTAAATATTAAAATTAAACTGAACGTTTGACATCAATAATTGAGTTTTCTTTGTTAAGATGTTTTATCTGGTTACAATGGAACCATATTTGCTTATGGTCAAACTGCAAGTGGCAAGACTCACACTATGGAGGTTGTTTCAAGATATTTCTTAGGATACACAAAATATATTATTAAATCTCAAACAAATTTATTATGTTTCTTTCAGGGTGAAATTGGAAATGCTAAAAAGTTAGGTATAATACCTAGAATTATAGCTGACATTTTTGGATATATTTACCAAATGAATGAAAACATCGAATTTCATATAAAGGTTCTGTTATTCAGATGTTTCTTTATAAATTTATAAAATATAATTCTTTTTTTTTAAATTTAGGTGTCTTATTTTGAAATATACATGGATAAAATTAGAGACCTATTGGATAGTAAGTCTAAATTTATCAAATTTGTAAATCATTCCATGCCATTTTTCTTTTGTTTTCACATTTAATTTTTCATTTGAACAATGTTTTCACATTTCATTAATTTATTTTCAGTTGTTTTCTTATGAGATGATTTCAATTATAGTTTTTTTTATTTTTCATTAGTAAATGTTTAATATATTTTGATTAAAGTCATTATGTTATTGTTGTTTTTAGTTATGTTATTATTAAGTTTTTTTTTTAATTTTCTTAGTTACACAAACGAATCTGTCTGTTCATGAAGACAAAAACCGAGTACCCTATGTTAAAGTAAATCCTTTTTCATAGCATTTGTTACATTATTTTTTCATTCGCATATTTGATTGATATATAATTAAATAATCTTAATGGAAGAAAAAAATTTGTAGGGAGCAACTGAGAGGTTTGTTGCAAGTCCAGAAGAAGTGTTCGAGGTCATTGAAGAGGGAAAATCCAACAGGCATGTCGCTGTTACAAGTTAGATTCCGTTTATATAAGTATATATATATATATATATATATATATATATATATATATATTATATATATCAAAATGTATGCATGCTTGTACCTATGTCTGTGTTCTTTGATATTTGTGGTTTGTTACAAAACAACAAAATTTTTTAAAAATAAAATTTTTAATGAGTGATCATGAGAAAACAGACAAATATTAATTTATGTTTTCTTATAATAATTAAAACATTTTTTATCATATTCTAATTATTTATTTATTTATTCAATGCTCCCATAACAATTCAACTTTGATTTGCATTTGTGTCCATTGATTATTGTTTCAAATGGCACTCAACTAACCTACACTCTTATTAGACCAAGATGTGTAGTTGGATTGAAAATTGATATTTGTACATGTAAGATTTTTACTTGTTTCAAACATCTGTACATGCTATGTACATTATAAACTACAATCTCTTTCTTTGTACGCTTTTAAATTATTTAAATTTTTTTTCAAACTTTAACTAATAGAATATCAGTCAATTAAAAAATTGATCCAATTGTTGTCAACTAATAATAAATATTAAACTGACATAAAAGAAATTAGAAAAAATTGTAATTAAGAAAAATACATGAGCTTTTTTTTAAATGTTGGCATTTATAAATGTAGAAAGATTTGTGTATTCTTAGCAAGTTTATAAAATCATTTTAATTTTTGAAGTTCTGCATTTAAAAAAATTCAACATCAAATCATAAAAAATTCAATTGTTAAAAATTTAAAACCTTATAATGAAAAATATTATAATTAATCATATTGATTTCTGTGTACATGAGGCAAGTATTTGAGATGCTTGTTGCATCGTGCATACACTGCTCAGGTGCAGCACATTGTGTTATTGATTGCCAACATGTGATTCTTTATTAATCACCATGTTTCTATTCGTACAGTGTTTTTTCTTCTACATTATTTTATTGATTTTTTTTTATTCAGTATTGTTATTGACTCTATGTGCATAATGGATGCTTCTACACCACTGTAAAATCTATCTATGTATTCGTTAAATAAAGATTTTTGTTTGTAATGTATTACTATTTATTATCAAAATATTTATTTAAGTATAACATTATATTTAAGTATTGACAATTTATCTTCAGATTTTTTCTCTACCAAGATCATAAATTTATTTTTTTCATTGTCTTCCATAATTTCTGAACATCTTGTATTTCCTATTATTTTTATTTTTAATTCAAAAAACCAATTCATCTACATATTTTTAAGGTCTCATATAAGCTTACATGCTTCTTAATTGTCATTTGTTTTGTGATGTCTTTTCTGGTTAGTCTCCAATAATGCCAAATTTTCATTTGTTTTTTCTGCTTCAAAGTTCTTCTTTTATAGTTATATTCAACCGAGATTTGATTTATGTGTGTGAGGACCTTTTACTCAGTTCTTTGTTTCCATTATAAAATTATAGATGTGGCAACCAAAGTCTGTCTCAATATTCTCTGTAAAAGGTGGTTCATATATTATTGACAGCGATATTAGCAAATTTAAAAAACATGCTGGGAATGTAGCTTTTGAATCTTGAAAGATTAATCAGAGTGTACATAATAAAGATGCTTAGGTAGTGGAAGGGATCATTCATGCGATCTTGATAAGTTTTCAAATTTGAGTGTCATCCAAATGTTTTGATATTATTGATATTATGTTTTAAACTTTTAAAAATGTTTATGTAAATTATGTTGAACAGATATGAATGAACATTCATCTAGAAGTCATAGTGTATTTTTAATAAATGTCAAGCAAGTTAACATAGAAACTGACAAAAAATTGAGTGGAAAGTTGTATCTTGTGGACTTGGCAGGCAGTGAAAAGGTTTTTTATATTTACTCTTTTTTAATTTTTCAATAGTTTTCCCATCTCTCTAATCTTTCCAATCAAATTTAATCATAAACTGATGGTCAGTTAATGTTAAGTTGGTCAGCCTTTAAGTACTATTATGTAAATTATGTTGAATTATGTGAATTAATTCACGAAAAGACTTAAATTGCCTACATTATGGACTGTGTTTTAATTGCATAAAAATGTGAATGATAATTTTATTATTACACTTGCAGGTGAGCAAAACTGGTGCAGAGGGATCAGTTTTAGATGAAGCCAAAAATATCAACAAATCTCTGTCAGCCTTGGGCAATGTCATTGCTGCTTTAGCTGATAATGCCGTTAGTTTTTCATTTTTCTTTTTGGTTTATAAGATGTTATTTTTCAAATTTATTATGTTAATCACTGATCAATTAATTGATTTGATTGATATTATTTACATGATAATATCACTTGTTTTAAACTTTTCACAGCTTTTCTTTATTTTTACCACTTTTAACAAATTGAAATGATCACATTATTTGTGAAAAAGTTTGAAACTGAAGTCTTATGGTTTAAGCATTTTAATTTACACATGAATACAGGGTTTCATACCGTACAGAGATAGTAAGTTGACGAGAATATTGCAAGAAAGTTTAGGAGGCAATGCACGAACGACGATGGTCATATGTTGCTCTCCAGCATCGTTCAATGAATCTGAAACTAAATCAACACTTTTGTTTGGATCAAGGCTAGTGGGTTGCTTATTAAAAAGTGATAAATGATACTAATTGTTAATGAGATTAATGAGACAATTATTTATAAATATTTCACGAGAATATTTCACAACTTAGGGCCAAGACAATTAAGAATAATGTAATGATCAATGAAGAATTAACGGCTGAGGAATGGAAGAGGCGATATGAAAAAGAAAGAGAAAAGAACATGAAACTGAAACTTCTTATTGAAAAGTATGAGTCCGAGTTATCAAGATGGAGAACTGGTTAGTTTAATATCTATCAGTTTAACTATTTACTATTACATACTTATCAAGTTTTTTCATTGAGAAATCCTTTGCCAAGTTTATCTTTTAGTCCTGCTACTTCCATGATTTTCTGTTCATCATATGTGCTTATGTTTGTTTTTACTTTCATGCTGTTACATTTTTAATATTCTTGTACACTTTTTTCAAACCAAAATATTCAGTGTTTTTTGCATTGTCCAATTAATTTTTGCCAACAAACCATTTGCAATTTATAGCTCACTACTATTAACGAGACTTTTTGTATAATCAAATTTTCTAAATCAGATCTCATTTACATTTTGAAACTTTCATTTTATGGATGTTTTGGCATTGTATTCCTTATGCTTCTCATCTTTAATTTTTATTGTTTTGTGTAAAGGTTTTGCTATTAAACTATTTTTTTCAAATATGTTTTTCTATATAGTTTTTTTACTACTATTTTCAACTTTTATTCCAGGTGAGACAGTTCCTGAAGATGAAAGATTAGCATTGAAAGATGTGATGAGTGATTCGTCAGCAAACGTTGCTTCATATGTTGTAGCTAAAAATGCTGGCTTAGGATCTATGGATTCTATGAGATGGGAGGAGGAGAAGATGAAATTATATCAACAGCTTGATGATAAAGTTCGATACATTTTGTTTGCTGTCATGGCTGTTATACAATATTTACAAGAATTTATAAAAAGTTGAGCTTTTAATTGTTGTGAAATATTTCCTAATTGATTTATATTTGCTCTCCAGCAAAATTCTATGACTTTAAACTAATAACTCTTTGAAATGGTTGTCATTGTTAGAAATGTAAAAACAACAGATTGAAATTATGCCAAATGTTTTATTTATTTTAATTTTTTATGCATCAGGATGAAGAGTTGAATGCTCAGTTCGAAATGGTTGAAAAATACAAAGAACAATTAGCCGAAGCTGAAGATCAGATCAAATCGCTGATCAAAGATCGAGATACCTCAATTGGTGAAATATCCAGATTGCAGAGTGAAAAAGAGTCATCTAACATTGAAATTAAAGAAGTTTTCCAAGCACTGAGTGAGTTAGCTCAAAATTATGATCAAAAGTTATCTGAAAGTGCAAGAAAGAAAGAAGAAATTGATAGTTTGGTTGAGGAACTAGAAAAGAAAAAGGTTATAAATAACTAATTCAATAATTATTTACCGCTTTATTAATGAATGATCAATGCACGAATGTGATTTCTAATATACATAATTTTTTAAGAAACCTGCCTTTGCTGGCAACAAAACATTTCTTGAGAATAAAGATGAACGTTTTATCAAGACCATGGTCATGCAAAGTCCTTACTTAAGTGTAAGGTTCAAAGTTGAAATCGTGGATGTTGCTTAATAAATTATCTAAGCAATGTCATTAAGTAATTAAAACTCTAAAAATTGTTAACTTATTTAAACAGTGTAGAAAAAAATATTCTTGAAAACAAAAGATTTAAAAGTAAAGGGATGTGGTAATGTTTAACTTTCCTTGCAATAACATGGGTAATCTATTTTTGAAAAGTTTGGGAATAATTTGAGAAAATCACTGAAGAGGTACTGAATGAAAATATTGGCAAGGCGTTTTAATTTATTTTAAAATGAAAATAGGTCCTGCAATGCTTTGTAGTAATAGGATATGCAATACAATACAATACACAATACAATATTTTATTCGACCTCAACGAAAAATAAAGGTACAGGACTACTGTAGGGAGTCTTTAAGAGACTCATCGTGCACAGTAACCTTAATAGAAAATAATCCAAATTAACATGAAAATGTAATGTCATCAAGAGAAAAAGTAAAAATTTTAACAAATATGATAATGATTGTGGATCAGTTGAAAATTTTTAAGTTAACAAGAATGTTAAATAGAATAGAATCATTTGGAACATAGTCACATTCGAAATTTTGTGTACATAAATACCCAATAAATAAACAAACAAACGTAATGTAATCATATAAATATATACAAAATAAACAAAAGCTTACATATTGTGTTTTAGATATATATTCCCAAAACATGCATGAGTACATGTTCCAGGCATCATCGTACAATGGATATCGAGAATTAAAAATACTAAACTTACGGTATAATACAATTCAGTCATTAAACAAGATAAATACTATGTCATAACTCATTTGTTCATACCCATTCATTCCCATATATGCACATATGCAAAAACCATCAACCCATATTCATACTCACACATGCTCCATCCATATCCACGCATACTCATTCTTATACTGAAACAAAACCCACACATACCCATTTAACGCGAATGGCTAGGGCACTGTATGCTTTCAATATTGACAAACATGTTTTATCAATAAAGGTTATAGATACAATGGGCAGTTTACTGTGCTATCCAATATATTTATCCTTAAACTAAGAAAAACAATGTCAAAATGTCACATTGGGTTATAAACTTTGTTAATATTAATTTTAACAATAATCAATAATTAATTTTCTACAGGAGTATTCAAAATTAATAGAAATGGAATTGCAGCAAATAAAAGATGCAACATCAGCTTACAAGAAAAGAATCAATGAAATAAATAATATGACTGTGAAGGATGTAACTGATATTGGAAGCATGCTTGGGTCAGAGGTTCATCTCTGAGTTTTTAATTATTTTGTGCTTATGCCCTTTCTAATTATTCTCTAACTCAGTTTTTTGATAAAACTAAATTATAAATATTTAACACTGTATGCTGGTCAATACGGCTTGAATCTTATTTTTCATTGCACACAGAAGTAAAACATTTTGAAATTTTCAAGTTTTCATTTTATAGAATAAATATAAAGTGATACTTTTTATATGTATCTATTTACATTAGTTAAAATATTTTTAGATTGACCTTCAAAAAATGTCAGTTTGTGATAATTTGGATGATGAAGGAACCATGCTCCGATTATTTCTTAGCAAATTGAAAACCGAAATCAAACTGGTGGTACAGAAAAATCATCAGTTGGAAAACAATTTAGAATGTGCCAAAAATAAGGTGGACGAATTTGAGAAGGAATTATCTTCTGCAAGACTTTTAATACAACAGGTTTTTGTTTATCTTGATATCTAAACTAATTAGTTGGGTTTCTTGGTTAAATTATATTTTCAGTCATTCAGTATGCATAAAAAGTATGTTTCCATAAAAGTTTTCATTAACAGAGTAACATCACGCTATAGTATTCATTGAATTTTTCTTCTCAGTTAATTTTACTACAGTCTGCTTATAAAATGTTCTTGGTAATAATAACGTTAATCTGTAAGAGCTTTGAATTATTTCTTTAGTAGTCATCAAATTTTTTTATTGAAGGCTTCTTACTTCATTTTTTTCTGACTGAACCATATTCGTATGTGAATCTATTAATCAATCACTCAATTTCTTTAATCAATTGGTCTTAAACATTAAAAAACACAACATTCACATTTACTTACAAAAAATTATATAATTTCGTGTGATTTTTAGTTGGAATCTAAAATCAAGATAATGGCAGAATCAATGAAAGATGTTGAGATTAAAAAAAAATTATTGGAGGGACAGATAGATAGTCTCAACGAAGAATGCTCTCAACTTAAAACTAAAGGTGAAAACTGCTCTCTAAAGTTTTACTTTTTATTAAGATTATTAATTGCTATTTACAAATACAGAACAAATGTACATGGTTCAGCTTGGTGATCTGGAAAAGAAAGAACATGAAGTGGCATCCACAACGCAGATGAAATTGGCTTTGGAAAGACAGATGGAACTGCATCATGAACAGCATCATAAACAGTTAACTGAGCTCAGAGATCAAATCGATAATAAAGAAAAACGAATATCAGAACTTTCGGAGTTAGTTTTCTTGTCTCTCATAAATTATTTTATAATTATGTAAAATAAATCGTCGGGCCTCTGCAGATATGAAGAATTTGTGCAAAATCATCAGCTTCAGTTATTTTATATTTTTAATGTTTTAGGATTGTCTTAATTTAATTTAATTTAATCGCGTAATTTAATCGCGTTCGTTCATTTACGACGACAGACCTCGTTATTTAAATATTTATATGCACTTATTGTGATATTCTTATTAATTGTATTAAGAAATATTTATTTGATACTTTGTTCACAATTAATGATATTGTTGTTTTGAATTTCATCAGAATTTCTAATGAATTGAATATTGCGTTGAAAACACTGCAAGAAGAACATTCCATGCTGTTAGCTCAAGAGTCAAAAAAATCAGCACAACTTTTGGAATTGTCAAATGCATTAGAAAAAAGAGAACAAGCAAACCAGGATCTGAAGAATCTGGAAGAAACGGCTCTCAGAGAACTGCAGACTTTGCTTAGTCTCCGGATGTTGTTTGTCAAGGATATTCAGGATAAAGTTAAAAAGGTTGGTTTGGAGTTTTCTCATATATTTATAAAACTTTGTAATATATTGAATTTATTTATTATTTAATAATTTAATATTTTATCAGTTTTTTATGAATCTTTTTGAAAAATAATTTTTAAATCATTTACATGAGTTGCTCTCTTTTTTTCTAAATTATTGAATTGAATTGCTTTTTGCAGACACAGATGAATCAAGAAGAAAATGAATGTTTAGAAAATTCTAATATTCAAAAACAAAAGATAATATTCCTTGAAAGCAATTTAGATCAATTAACTAAAGTTCATAAACAAGTAATTTATACAAAAAAAATTCAACTTTTGTTATCTTAAGCCTTATGTTAATTTTTTTAAATGAATGTATAATTTAGCAATATAAAAGGCTTTGAAGTGACATCGTTAATAAAAATTTATTCTAAATTTTATGTTCGATGATATGTGAAACAATATAAAATTATTACTTCAATTTATCTTAATATACATTGCAGCTTGTTCGAGATAATGCAGACTTGAGATGTGAACTTCCAAAAATGGAAAAGCGATTGAGAGCAACTTTGGAACGTATCAGAGCACTTGAAACTGCCCTCAAAGAAGCCAAAGAAGGAGCTCTAAGGGATCGAAAAAAGTTGAAATTATTATCAACAAATATTTAAAAAATTTTTGAATTTCTTGTCTGCATGTTATAGATCTTATTTAAAGAATTTAAGAAAAGATTTTAAATAGAATTACATATCTTAATCGAAAAAATTAAGAAAAGATTTTAAATAGAATTTGAATGCAAACACACAAATTTAAGGTGAAATAGACATTAGACATGAAATAACAAACACAGAACATGAAGTATCAATCGCAGGACCTGAAGTATAAGAAGCAGGACATACATGAAATATCAGACACAGGTCTTGATGTGTCAGACACAGGTTTTAATGTGTCATACACAGGACACTAAGCATCAAACAAAGAACACGGAGTATCAAACACAAGTCATGAAATATCAGACATAAGGCATGAATTTTTCTAACACAGAACGTGAAATGTCAGATTCAGGACTAGGAGTTTATAATCTATCAGTGTTTCAGAGTCATGTGCTTGTTCCAAAAGTTTGTTAACAAAGTATTAAAATAGTTTCGATTTTTCTTTCAGGTACCAACAGGAAGTCGATAGAATAAAAGAAGCTGTGAGACAGAAAACCCTTTTGAGAAAGGGTCATTCGGCCACCATCGTTAAACCGATTCGCGCCGGACACGCACCACAGAATTTTTCAGGAGCAAGTAGTGTGATAAGAAGTAGCGGAGGTGTGTTTGCAGGTATTGCATCTAACATCAGCGATTGATCTGTTTTTCGAATAATTTGTTTTCGGATATATTTTAATTATTACAAAGATATCAATATCTTAATTTATGTTTATCTATAAAAATCGTTCAAATTAGATAACTTCCAAATGTTAAAATTTGTCGAGGGATAAATTAATTGGTTGTGCAATATATAAATTTAACTTTCTTGTTCTTATTGATATTTCAAAATGAAATTAAAAGCAAACGAATATCTTCTATATATGAAGGATTTCTATGGTGTTTCGCTTTTCTAAATCGCCCGGTTTATTACAACTCATGCATAACTTATTTTTATTGCCGTGTTACAGGTCACGAAGTCGGACTGCAAACGTTTTTATTACATTGCGTCTAAATATATTAAAATATATTTATGATATTTATATAGGGTTGCGTTGTTAAACAGTCGGTCTTGTCGAAATGATTCTAGTTTTTTCTTATCGTACGTCTGCTACTTAAAATGATTTTACACTCCACCATATATATATTTAACTGGTCGTTTCATTAATTAATTTTAAAGATTTGCACTAAATTGTAGACTAGTGGTTTTGTGTTTGGGATGAGTAGATTTTTGTCATGTATGCTGTTATTTCTTCAGATTTTTACGGCGTTTGTAGCACGTCTTCCGGCTATCTTTACGTCACTGAGAAACTTTCATTTATTTAATTATTTTATTATATATTCTTAATGTTCTTAATAATGTCAATTTTGATTAAAGATTTCAACATATTTGGATACGATCTTGGTTGTTGTTACCTGAATAGTTTTCAAAAAAAATCCGAACGCGTCTTATTTTAAAACCTTAATTACATTTTCGCAGACTAAAGGTTAATACGAATGATTTCGCCACAAATTACTTGATATGAGTAACGTGTGATTTTTTTTAAGAAAAAAGTTCACTTTTTTAATTCAAATATTTAAACATTTAACCTAAACAATAAATATTGTCACTTGCTCTGATCATCCAGAGTTTTTAATATAAGGTATAAAAGCTATAAAATAAAATTTATAGTATGGGAGAGGTTAGGCGTTAGGTTAGTCATTGCAAGACATTAGAATTTAGATTTTAGTAGAGCCCATTCATTAGCCATTAGATGTCTGGTGTCTATAGTTTATAGTGTAAATTTATAAAATAAATAATGTTAAACAGTTAAAGTATAAGAAAAGATAGGGACATGAGGTTTGTGACAGGAACAAGTACATGAGCAGCAGTAATCCTGGATAAAACCCATGAAACAAAATAAGAGAAGAGATGGATTGTCAAAAATAATCTTGATTGACTTGATATTTGATATATTACATTTATTTATGGTTGATTTGATTATTATTATGATCAGCTGATCATTCAAAATTTACATTATATAAAATTTTTCTATATCAAAAATTACATTAAATTTTTAACAGGTGATATTGAAATTAAAACACTCAAAAGTTTGATGCTTGCTTGAAAAAAAGTCAAGAGTCACCAAATCAAATACAAAATTTAACCTAACGAGAGTGAATAATTTTAAAATGCCTGTCATTCCAAAATTGAATCCCAGGGAATCTGGAGATTATGTGAGCAAAAACAGTGTTCATGTTAATATAAAGGAAGATGGCATAGAAAGAATTGCAAACAAGGTTAGTTTTTTTTTTAAATTATAAGGCCTGTTTTTTTTTATAAGACAAGGAGTCAATCACCAGTTTCTGTTTTATATTTATATAAAATCACCAAACAATATTTTAGTTGTAATTAACAATACAGCAAACAATTAAGGGATTGTAGTTCCATAATTTTTTTAATTATTGTTGATACTGCAAAATATAATGCTAATTTTGCATGTTTTTTCAACGTAAACCAAGACTCACATGTTGACAATTTTTTTCATGATTTTAAAAAGTGATATAGCTGAGAATGGTATGTAATTATTGATTAGTTCAGAATCATCTTTTTTAAATATTAGTATAACATTTGAAATCATAAAACATTTAGGGAAAACAGTTTTTCAGAGAATAATAACATATGTGAGCTACTAGGTGCACCAATTTATCTTTAAACAATTTTACAATCAACATGCTCTATTTCTCATGAGATTTTGTTTTACTATCATTGAAATTTTAAACTAATGAAAGTATATTATGTTACAGGTGATTAAATCACTATTGAGTCACCCAGACGAAATTTCTGTCAATAGATGGAAAACTCATGAATTGCTGCCACAAACTCAAGATGAATTTGCCGCTAATTGGTTTTTATACAAAATTTTCAACTTTTTCCTTTAAAATAAATGTGTATGAAGATTATGTTAATATCAAAGACTGAATTAAATATTTTTGTCCTGAATAGTTCTACACTAATATCAATAACTTTTTGATTTGTTCATTGAATCTTGTGGTGTCAGTTCAATTCGAATCATCAAAAAAACACATCTAGGCAATTTTAATACATTTAATTCTTTCATTTTTCTATTTTTATGCAGGGTCTTTTTTTGTTCTCTTTTCAGATCTTTATCTGTATCTTTTGATCAACTTTTTACCATTATAAATAGTTGACACCAACCTTGGATGTAATAGTATGCATGTTGCATGGTCTTTAAACTGATTTATAATTAATTCTTTGTTCATACACTCGGTCTCAGACACACAAAGAAATCTGCATTTTCTGGTTGATAAGCTGGATTAAAAATTTATCAAAATTACTTGTCAATGAATTTAAAATGAAAAAAGTTGAAAAAATTAACATGATGAAGCTATCTACAATAGCTCATTATCGTACCATTTTCTGACTATATTAATATTACAATTGCAGTATATGTGCATGTGCAATAATGATCAGCACATTTAGATGCAATCATAGTTGAACAACTAGTTGAATTGAACATGGTGTTTTGAATTAATTCTACTGATTGTTTTTAAATGTGCTTTAGTCCTATAAGTTTTAATTTAAATGTTTATAGGATTTTCTTATCTGACCTTTTAAATTTCTGCTTCTGGAGTTCTCCTGGAAAAGAATACATGGTGCATTACAAAAGCAAGAATAGAACTGGATATTGGTCCTTGTGTGCTGCTTTATGGAGAGCTCTTGACGTTAGTCTTCCTTCCTCATGCTATATTTTTTGCAACTATTAGATATAACTTTATTTAACATTAAAACATTAACATTCATTTTGTGTTGTAGGATGGTTATGACATTACAAATCCAGCATTCTATTCTAAAATTGATGAATCAACTTTGAAAAAAATATTCAGATCCGATTCCAATTATGATATTCCAAAACTTCATGAAAGGCATTGTATAATGCTAAAAGATGGAGAAATATTATTAAAAGTTAGCGAATTTTACCAATGTTTATTTCAATGATTTTTAAATATTCTGTTGATATTAACCTTTGTTTAGAATTTCAATGGGTCATTCTTAAATGTCGTTAAAGCTTGTAATAATAGTGCAGAAAATTTAGTCAATTTAATAACAAAAGAGTTTACTTCCTTTACTGATCAAATCAACTTCCAAAACGTTGAAGGTTTACCATTCAACTTTCATGTCCATTTTCGTTCACTAGTTTGTTTTAAATTAATATTTTTTAACAGTTTCTTTTTATAAACGAGCTCAAATTTTGGTGGCTGATATTTGGTCATGTTTTGGTGGCAAGGGTTATGGGAGATTTCATGATATTGATACAATAACAGCATTTGCTGATTATAGGGTGCCACAGGTGCTTAACTGGTTTGGAGCATTGAAATATTCTGAAGAACTAACGAGTCTATTAAAAAAAGGTTGAATTTCGTTAACTTGATTTTAATTTTTCAAATATATTTAATATTTCGGAGAAAGTTTCCACCTTATAATACGCAGGATCGGCTGTTAAAAGTGTGCAGTTCAAAATTCTAGTCTTGATTTTAGTGATCATAAATTTTTATCATTAAATTGATCACAACTCTATTAACATTTCATTTATATATGAAAAAATACTGAAATTGAACAAAAATGAAACATTTTGAACAAAAATTTTGACACTAAAAATTAAAACTAAAAGTTAAAATTGAAAGCTGATAAGGAAATGAGAAAGTTTTGGTAACACACTGACACTCGCAGCCAACTTTCACAAATTTATATTCGATATTTCAAATATGTAACATTGGTAACGTGTATTTTTTATTCATGTTTCACTTATTACATTCCTCTAAATACGTTTGTTGCCCCTTCATGCAATTAATATGTTATCTACAACTGTTCGATACTTTATATTCAATTTGTTTTATAGATTCTGTACTAGTTGAATTACATTAACAGAGGGCACCACCTTTGCACATGGAGACAGATGGGAAATTGAGATAAGAGGATGTACAATTCACTGCATTGAAGTTGATTATTTCTATTCATTCCAACCGTTAATTAAATAAATTAATTAATTAACTAATCACAGTTTATACTGCCTATACTGGATTTCAAGATTTAATCAATTTCTCTTTCACTTTTTTAAAATTTCATCATTTTTACAAACATTCTCAGTTAATAGTTAAAAAGGTCAATGAAACATTGGAAAGTCTACCCAGTAGCACAACCAATCTCAAAGTTAATTCCATAATTATTGATCATTATTTGTGGGACATGAGAAGAGAGAAAGCTAAAGAACTAGAAAGTGTTCCATACCACAGAACAGAAAGCATTTATTACTGAATCCAGTCCAGTCCATATATCCATGATCCAGTCATCAGGGACTGTTGATTGCATTAAAAAACAACAGTCAATCACATAATCTATTGATTAACAACTCTTTTAATATAAACTTGCTGCCATCAATCAAAAGTTGTTATTAATTTACTTTTAATTCAACAGTTTCTTAAAAATGATTACAAAAAAATTTGATTACTTATTTGAATTTTTTGAATCAAAATAATTTATGAATAAGAGTTATTTCCCAATTGGAGCTGATGATGAGAAAAATCCACTACTTTGCTTATTAGCTGATCTTGAAGGTGCGAAACCCAACATTTTCTGAATATTCTGTAGTAAAAAATTTGAACATCATTTGAAAATGCAATGAAATGTTTGTTCATTTGAATGCGTGCGTGTAGCATCAAACTCATTTATAGACAATAACTTTAATCAAAGCATAACTAAATTCAGATGTTTCATAACAGCTCCATGATCATGAAAATTGTAATAATTAGGTTACCTATATAACGCTCTATGCGTAGCGTCATATTATTGAGTCTATTCTAGCTCTGCCTTGGTCATTTATCTTTTGCCACGTTCCCAATTTTCAATCAACTACTTTTTTAGCTATGTCTACCAACTTATCTTTGGTCATCGAATTTTCCTTGAAAAGGCTGCTTTTTTAAACTGACTTCATTAATTTTTCTTTACATATATCCAAAGAAAAATTATGTGCATTTTAACATTTTCAAATTTGTATTTCTCTATATTAGTGCCACTGATTAAGGTTTTTCTATGCCACGATTTTTTACCGCACAAGTTCAAAATTCTATTTTATTTCAAATGATTCACAAAGAATTATCTAAAATAAATGCAATGATGACGCAGAGAACAGTTTTCCAACGTGGGGCTCGCCGATAGGCAATTTTTATCATCGGGGGAGGCAGAGAGGCTTTACAGGTTAGTGGGGTGAAAGGAAAAATAGTTCTGTAATAATAATAAAACACTGTATACCGTCATAAAATATGGGGAAAATAGATGATTAATAAAATAACCAAAAAATGGTCGTCAACTTTTTTCACCAGATTTGTGAGAAACTTTGCCTTAGAGTGTAGAATACGATAAGAAAAAAAATCTCGCATCATGTTCATATTTACATATGACATCTAGACCCGACCACACAAGTAATTTCAATAAGTAAGTCAATTAAATGTGTACCTGTCTAATTGACATAGTGCAAAGTATGTAGAGAAAAATGAAAGAGCAATCAGTGTAATCCTCTCCAATCAAATTCCTGTGAGAAATATTTTGCAACCAGCTTATGGGAACAAATGGTAACTTGGCCACCACTCTTCCTTCAAATCTTCAAAAAAATAAACAAAAAAATTTAAATACCACAAACTGAAATAAAATTAAACAAATTTATTTCTAAGCCAGATTGAATGATGTAACACAAAAGCATCATTGTATAATTATATTCAAGATTGAAATGCTAAAATTCATTTACATTGAATTGAACATGCTGAGCAAGGCTGTAAAAGCAATTCCAATAGCAAACACTGACTTCATTTTCACCTGCGAGAAAATAAATGATTATTCAAATGTTTATATTTTCAGTGAATTAAAAGTATTCACACCATCGAAAGGTCCCTGTTATTCGTTTTCAGCTTTTCTTCTTGTCTTTCTACAAAAAAAACGTTATTAATCATAAGCATTATCAAGTTTTTTTTATTGTTATGTTATGCATCTACAAAACTATGCTTAAAAAATGCAATTTTGGCAACCCTCGATGTTAATTCATAAATGCAATACAGGTACAATTCCTTGAGAACGTCTGATAACAGAATTAATGAATACAATAATTGATCATCATGTTTGTACATGAAAAACAAAATTACTCTGAGTTAAAAATTCTTTCATGTCATAGGCACTTAATAGTCACATGAAAGATGAAATTTAAAAACCATAAAAAAAATACCTAATTTTTTTTTATGGTTTCTGTCAGATGTGTCTATTGCAACAGTTTCTTTTTGTTTTTCCACTATAAAAAGAAGTTTTCCCTTTTAAATAAAATTTAATAATAGTTAAAAAAGTGTTTTACCTACTAACATTTTTTACTTTGTTTTTCAACTTCATTTTTTAGTTTTTTATATTTGTCAGTTCTGTAAACAAGAACCCATGTAAGACCTGTTAAATAGCATTAAAACATATCATCATTATTGCTTCTATTTCTCGACAATGCTGGTTAAAATGTATTAATCATATTTAACTATTAAAAATTAGGTCAAAATCAGCACACAAATGATAAAGGACATCATTTCCAACACTTAACTTAGAAAATTTGAAATGTAACAGTGAAAAATAAACTATTCAAAAGCAGATAGTTCACTGAGAATTATATTATGAACAAGAAAAAGTAAGGCGGGAACAGTGAATAAGTAATGAATTAAATAAGTAATGAACAAATTATGAAAAATATTCTGTATGTGCAAATAAATTTATCAATTAAAACTGTCATTATAAGGTATAAAAATTATTATGATAAATATTTATATTGGTCATTATTACGATAATCCTAGAACAAAAGCAATTATGTAACATCAAAATCTAAAATGACTCATCTAAAAAAGACAATACTTTCATAGAATAGAACCAAACACTCACCTTCTCCAAAAAGAGCAGTAACAATTGAGATAACAACAATTAATATAGTGTCTGCAATCATGTTGGAAAACAAACAGCTTGGCAGGCTAGATTAACAAATTGAAGCTGCAAAAGTAAAACAAAATAACATAAAAATCAAAGATCAGATTTATTTGATTATTTAATATATATATAATATATATATATATATATGTGTGTGTGTGTCTGTATTATATTCATTGTGTTCAGTAGTGTAAAGTTATAGTATATCATATCTATTATATATACAGATCATCATCAGAGCTCAGGAATAGGACGAGGATCTTTTGTTTTATTATTAATCTTATTAGTTATTTAGCATACAGACTTACAACTATACCTGATATTTAAATAAATTAAATTAATATTTAATAAAATAAAAGAAAGTAGTTTAGTTAGGACTGTAAGATTAGAGTTTAACATTGGAGTTAGGCTAGCTGTTGTAGTGTAGTCAAGATAAAAAGAGAAGAAGTTGAATTTTGCTGTAGATTTATTTAATAATTAATTTAAATTTTAATTCAATTAGTAGTGCTTTTTCCTTTTTGGGTTATGTTATTGTGGTTGTCATTTTAATACTTTTTGGGGTATTTTTACAGAAAAAAAATAATTTTACTATCATTTTAATTTTTTCATTATTAATTACTATTATTATGCATGCTCATGTTGGCTTTTTTAAATTTTTTCATAGTTTTGATTCTAGTTTAAATTAAAAAAATGTAATAAAGGCTATGTCGTTGAAACGCTGAAAAACGACCTTTTAACAATTTAATTCGTAGACAGCTTTTATTAACCAAACTATTGAATTAAATTGAAAAATAAATAAATAAAACAATTAAACCCCTCAATAACTAACACAAGAGTTATCGATAATAGAGTGTTTACGTTTTGTGCAAAGACCTTTAATTTATGGTCAATGGTCAAGATACAATGATATTGTTACATTTTGTTTCTAAAAGATATTTATATATTATAATCTCTATATATGTTATTGATATATTAGATACATATATATATATACAAATATATTTACAATAGATATATTAGATATTCATGTTTTTAATCAATAGAATATATACGGTGAGGCGCAAATTGGCAATTATACTTAGAGATTCGTGGGATTGGACGAGCGTAAAAAATTATTAGACTGGCTTAAATATATAGAATATATAGGTATATATTCTATATATATCAACTGGCCTAAATCTAAATTTCGTTAGTAATTCGTAGTACGGCTATACCCGAAAGGGTATAAACGTTAGAAAATTTTATTGGTTGCTATTTTACAGCAGACAAATGATTTTATTTTTTTACAACAAAAATTCAATAACCAATATTATCAAATTAGTCCAAAACTAATTAGCTTTGACTTTAACAAAATCTCTTAGTTGCTGACAATTAAAATAAATTAAGAACATGATAAAATGAAGGCAACTAAATGATGTAACAGAAACTGTAAACAGATCAGGAAGATGTGAAGGAGGTTGTAACATTAAAACAATAATGGTAATTAACGTCATGGAGATAAGAGATAGATGTACCTGTGAAATTCAAAATCAAGTATGGTAAAATAATTTCCAATAACATATTTATAAAAATACTTCAACTTACGAGTAAATCGGATATTGACGAGTATTTGCTTGAGTAATTATTTTCTCCACAAAAATCTGACATCATCCGTTGTTGAAAGAGTGTTGGCTTGTTTGAAAGAATGTTAACATTCGACAGTATGTAGAATATTAAAGAACACGAAATAGCAGGAATGACAAGATTATCTTTCACAAACAGCGGCAGCATACTAAATAAGTCAACAACAACAGGTTAATAAATGACTTATAACATTCAAAAACCTATAATAAATAAAATTAGTAACATTCAGTGAATGATTTAAAATGGACTACATTCTTAACACTTTTTAAAATAATTTCAACTCAGTATAACCTAAATGTTGAAACGATGAGAAACCAAGAAACTTCTTTCTTATGATCAAGATAAATCACAATGGATGATCTGGATAGAAGAGCAATATTTATATGCAAAATGTATATTAATACTATTAATTTTGGTTATTCTTATTACAAAAATTTAATACCAATACATAACAAACTATAAATGACCAGACGTTTTTACACCAAAAAAACTTGAATAACAACAACGAAATTTTAAAAATAATATTTGTTTGCTAAAGAATAACTTACATAGCAGTTATAAGAATGGTTTTCTCGTGGACTTGATAAGAAAATAGAAAAAAGCACATTGAGACGTTAAACTTTAAAAACCAAATAAATTAGTAATTATTTAGTATAATGAATATAAATAAACTTGATCTTAAAATCAATATAACTAACAAGTGATAATTTGAATTGCTTCATTGACGGCTTGAGAAAAAGGCAGAATAATGAAGGTAAGGATGCAAACAAGGTAGTTACCAAACTGAAATAAATTTTATCATACTGATAATTATCTGAAAATTTAAACTTAAAATTTCATTAGGAACTAAAGATGCACCGAATAGTGAATTTGACCGAATAGTTGATCCACTTTTCGGCCAAAGCAACGAAGACCGAATACTTAAAAAACCCACAATCTCAAAAAAATTGATCTATTAGAATGAAAAACAAGTTATTGAGAAAAAAAACCCTTTTTTATTGAGATTATATTCAATCTCTTGTTCAAATTCATATGTTTTAACAGTTGTTATCGCCAAGGTAAATATTCTGTTAATAATATTCAACAATTACTGTTAAAAAAACGACGGTTTAAATGAAAATTTAAACATTGGAATATTCCGTCTAAAAATGACCAAAGCCGAATGTCAAATTTCGGTGAAATATTATATGAATGTCTCTATTAGGACACATTGGAAAAATCATTGCTAGTTTAAAATATTAAGTAATTTAGCAATTTAAAATGTACTCAGCACTTAGTTGAACAAACCTTATATTAATCAGTTGTTGTTCTGAAAATTTCTGTTTCAATTTTACCAGGAGAGATAGCGAACACCAAAAATTGGAAACTTTGTCCTGAATTTTTTAAAAAATAAAACGAGTCTAAAATATTAATGTACTGTATAAAAAAGTTGTTCATCATCTTCACCACGATATAATCAGGAGCAATTGTAAAAGGCCAAGCAATGAGTTGTCCAATGGAATCATGCATTCAGTGAGTTGGAAATGAACAATGAGATTGATTCATGTATGCCTCAATAGGCGAAAAAAGTATTTTCAATTTTTCGCAATAAAAAAATAATTGAAAAAATAAAAAAGATCCATGCGTTATTTAGATTAAGTTCTTTATAGCAACCTTCAAGTTTTGTGATAAAATGGTAGCAATCTCACTGCAATCCAAACTAAAGGACAAAAATAGATCGTCATTTATGCTTTAAAATTAAATTTATTAGTACATATGAATATCTAAGTAGCAATTTTACATATTTTATTCAAACTCATAAGCAGATAGTTAGGTCAACACTTCAAAACTGGGAATAAACCTAAAAACTTGCCAACCATACAATAAAAAAAGTTCAAACAGAATATATATATATATATATATATATATATATATATATATATATATATATATATATAGAGAGAGAGAGAGAGAGAGAGAGAGAGAGAGAGAGAGAGTGATAAAACATCAATTTAAGCATTATTGTATGATAACAAAAAGTATTAAGAAAAAACAACATTCAAAAAAGAAGTTTGTATAAATAAAAAATGAATAGCTCTATGAAATTTGAGTGACTGGATATAACTACATTTGTTTTCAAGATTAAACCGCACATCCTGAAATTACAAACCTCAAACAAACCCCTGTTGAATGGAAATAATCGTACGAGAACGTGACGAATAGATGCAATGCTCCAACAAAAAGGAAACCAGCACAACGAAAATGTTACTATGACCACCAAACTCAACTTTATCAGGTTCTTCAGACTGAAGTTCAATATTTTGTTGTTAACGGATTTAAAAAAAAAAATAAAATTCATAAATTAGGTCATTAACTAACGTGGAATGCAGAGTACTCTACATTAATAAACATAATAATAATAATAATAATAACAATAATAATTATAATAATAACAGTAATAATAATAATAATAATAATAATAATAATATTGCAAGATCATTATGAAAGATTAACCTGAAACTAAAAATTTAAAAAATACCAAAGCTATAAAATAAAGCCCACCATTATGGGTTTAAATTTATATTTGCTGAAGTTTTCTGATATTTATTTCACTGCTTCACAAAAAAAGTATATTTTTTCAAAATATCAAACTTGGGAATGCAAAATTTAATAGTAGAAACTTAAGAAAAACTTAAAGCTTGAGTAAATCATAAATTTAATGGTAAAAACTAAAGTACCAGATTAAGCTAAACAGTACAACCTCAGTCAAACTAATGGTTTCCAAAAATAAACTACAAATCTAAGATAATGAATAATTTGGTGGTTATTAAATGTTAAACATGCATAACAAACCGTTGCCAATAGGAGTCTTTGTACGAAAAAGTAATTCTTCCTAACAAATAAAAGAAAAAAACTAGAGCGTGGTGCAACTCCATCTGTTTGTAATTAATTGCCAGAACAAACAAAACAGCAGACAATAATTGACTGCAACACATCATATTCACTGACCACAGAAACAGACCAAGGCTTATACAGTTATACCTGAATAGAAACAATTGAACTTGAAATATTTTTTGCCAAATAAAATACAAAACATAATAATTATAACATTAATTAAATCAAGTCAAAATTAATTTCTTTTCAATATGTTATCACTTTTGGGCTTGAAAATGTAAATGTTATGAAGAACTCTGGCTCATCTATTGTATTCCAACATGAACTTTTTCATTTACTGCACAGAGCAAAATATACAAGTCTGTTTTCAAGAAATTTTCGTTACCTTTCTTATCAATCTAATTACAGATACAATCATTCCGCTAAAAATGTTACGCTTCATATATGTTTTATAGTTTCGTTATCAAATCAGCGCAATTGCCATTTTGTTTCATCACTGTTCAATTCAATCATCTGATTTCTTAAAATCTACCAATTATCCTACCAAAAGGTATGAAATCAGTGCTCACACCTTGGCTTATTAAAACAACAGACCACATAAATTTCATTTCTTAGCAAAGTCAATTATTAAAACGCATCGACTGCACCCCATCTTGCCAATGAAAATCATAATAACATGAATGCCAGTTTCAACGGATTCTCGTACTAACATCTTCGTAATAATAACCTTTCACTCAATCTTTAGTAATTTCAAGTGGTTTCCCATGAAATGTTAACAATTTGATTATCTTGTCCAGCTGAATGCATCATGATCCATCCCTTTTAAACCATCCACGAATAATGAGTCAACCACGTCCATTAATAAACACAAAAAACAAATATTAAATAAAAACTCCTAACAAAAAACCAATAGAAATAGAACCAGGAATTAAAAAATGAACAGAATATTACTGAAAATGTCCATGATCTATGAGCATTAGGCCAGGATAGAGTAACATCAAGAATGCTCCGTGCATACCACTCTACAATCAGGAAATAAAATAATTAATGATAATAAAAATTCTCTCCCACCCCTCAAATGAAATCATTTTATTTCTAATTAGCTGTTTTAAAACTTACAATATATTAACATTAATGAGGTAGAAGTTAATTTTAAGCAAGTTTCACTTCCAAATTATATTTCCTGTGACTGCTAGGTTTTATGCAATATTGTAAATTTATGGCTGAAATTTGTGCAATGTAATGAGTAAAGATACTCACCATTCAAAGGTTGAAATATTGAACTCATCAAAGATAAAAGTAGTAAGCTAAGTAGTATGCATTTAACAAGAATATAAAAATGTTTAAAAATCAAAAAAGGATTAATTAAAAAAAGCGGTAAATTGGTTGATGAGTTAAAAAAATATTCTGAAAAAGTTTTAGCTAAACAAAAAATACAAAGAAAGAAATTTAATAAAAAAATTAGGCCATTTATTATTCTCATTGACATGTATGATTATAACATGTAGAAAATGATACATTAAAAGTCATTGAGACAATTCATGGATTAAAATAATAAATCTGAATGTATTAGAAATTAAATGAAACGTCCAACATAAAAACATTGATCATGAGATTGTTTGAGAAAACTAATAAAAAGAAAAACCTCTTTCTTGTAAGATGATGTTGACTTACAACACTTGAGAAAATAGAAGAGAACGGCCGGCATGTATAACAAAACATCGGGTACAATCACTGTATAAACAAAGAGATGAAGTAATGTAGTTTGTCTCGAAAATGTTGATAAGTTGATACTTTAGTTAGAAATAAAAGAGCGTGAATTAACCTGATAACCTCATGAACAACTTTTGATCAGCATCTTGAATTCCTTGTGATTTATTTAACTCAATCCATGAAGAATTCATTTTGCTTTGTCTTTGAATTTAATAATACAAACGTCGTTATAAGAAAATTTAATTGAAGATGCACTGTTATATTTTGGTTGCTGTGACAATTGCATAAAAAAAATCAATAACTCACCTATTAAAAATTAACCAAATTTTAATAAATAAAGTTTTCTTTTTAGTAATTTTACATTTTTTCAAATCTAATTTCTGAAAATATCCTGCTATACTGCTTTTAATCCATACATTAATATTCAATATAAGTTGAATTGAAGCAAAGAGTGTCCTCCAACAGTTACATCATGTATGTAATTTTGTTTGATGAACTATCAATCATATAAAATTAAAGCAAAATGTATTGATTAATTTTAAGTAATTTTTATTGCTATATTTTTTAATTTTTGTTTTATTGCTTTCATTTTTTATTTTAATTAATTAAGTAATTTTTATGGCTTTATTTTTTACTCCATAAACCTTAATCACACATCAAAATATTGCATCATTTGTGAATAACTTTAATACATCAATGTAATTTTACATCACAAATTTTATAATTAATTGACACAAGTATTGAAAGTGTGAAAATATAACTAGAGCAGAGTTGGATGAAACTAACATGTAGCCACAAATGAAACTATGGTAAGCAGTTAGAGGTGGATAATCAAGTCCCCAGTATAACAAATCATTGGATGGAGTTTGTCTGTACCTAAGGATAATAAAATAATATCTCATGAAATAATAAGGAACACATCACAAAATATAACATTTTAAGTTACATTATAAAAAAATCAACAGTAAATTGAAACAACTTTAAACTTTTCTGGAAATTCAGTTTGTCAAAAAATTTCTCTCTAAACTAAACATTTGAATTAGCAAAATTTCTGATATTTTAAAATATATTATAAATATATTACAACCACAAAAAACAGAAAAGATTCACTTAAATTAAATAGAAAAAATAGTCAATCCTACTTATGTCCCATGATGATAAATAAATGAATGCTTCATGACATGACATCAAGAGTAAACATTAAATCAAATAGAAAAAGTATGTATAACCAATCATGTACAGGCAGATTATAAGTTATTTCCATCCAGTGCCTCTGGGCTTCAAAATCGCCAAATAAGGGTGGCTTACCATATCCTAGACAGATTCATTCATGAAAAATTATTTCTTGAAACATTAGATTAAATAATCACTACAGATAAAGAGTCAAATTATAACCAAAAATTAGGTATTCTTTCAATTAGAAAAAAAACATGAGATAGATTGAGATGAATGATTTTTTAAGTGAAAAAGAATTAAATTGTTGTAGGAATGTCAGATAACGTCACAGTAATATAAATTATTAAACATTTAAGTCGAACATAACAAATCAATGATCTCATTGAAGAACATTACTTGTTATACTAAAATAATAATTATAAAAGTAAATCTTGTTATTTCCTAAGTGTTCCACAATATAGTTTATTTACTTTTTTATCTTTATATTTAAACTTTAAATTTTAAAGTAACTAACTACCTACTATACTGTGGGTGGCGCACTACATACTACACACACTTCAATGCTGATATTAATTTTTGAAATATTACAATATTAGTTAATTTATACTTTATTAGATTTAGATAAGATAAGCATAAGAGCATTTTTAATAAGTTAAAAATAAATCCTGGGACAGGTTGTATCGTGTGGGGCAGCTAACCCTTCTTATTTTATAATAAAACAGTAATGTAATGGTAAGCTAATGAATAAATGAAGCTAATATGCTTAACTTAGTTTGAGTTACACTAAGATTACATTGTAACAACCAACAGCAACACTTTCTTCTCTACACAATACTACAATGTAGTGTAGTGACGTTGTACAACTGACTACATTCACACACATCAGCATAACGATCACCGCACGAACAATGCTGAATGTCTAGGTTAGCTAATTTGGAATAATTTAAAAAACTGTACCTGAATAATCATGAAGGGATATCAACCATCTAACAACAACTGCAAACAGAAATCCAACAACGCACGTCCCGACCATTACTACTTAAGTTCAATTTTAAAAAATAAACGCAGCCAGTGTAAGACTTAAGTCAAATGGGCTAAATAGCTTTCTGGCTTTACATATCAACAAGGTTGGGCACATGTGTTAATCCGTGCTTGACATGTAATGAAAAAAACATGTCCAGGTTAAGGCTTATGTTTAATAATTTATTTAATTTCTACCAAGAAATTTTAAACTGAAATTGCCCTACCTTATATCTGCCAATTGAACGCTCCTCTGCTTTTGACACTGTTGATCACGCTATTCTCTCGAGGCTAGATCAATCTTTTAATATTACTGATTCTTGCCTATCTTCTTACCTCTCTCACACAATCGTTTTTTTCTGTTGTTCATAATAATTCTAATTCTAACTACTCTACTCTACTCTACGTTTTGGATACCTCAGTGTTCTATCCTTGGCCCTCTTCAATTTATACTCTATACTTATATTTATATATATTTATATATATGTAATATGTATATATATATTACATAGGATCATTGAAAATTATGGCATACGTTACCATCAATAAGCAGATGATACTCAACTCTATATATAATCAAACATAAAGATCTTCCTTGAAATATCAACATCCTTACCACGTGCATCGCATCAATGGAAGAATTGTTTCTACATAACTATCTACAATTCAATTCAAATAAAACCAAACTCATAACACCGGGGTCTTTGTACTTAATAAATAATGTTCATAACTTAACATCAGCCCAACTATAGGAGACACCTTAGTCCCGATATCTGTCACACTAAAGACACTTGGATTAGTTCTAGATAAAAAAAATTAAGTTATTCAAATCACATTACGTCCATAGCAAAATCCCGTAATAATTATTTAAGAGAAATATGATATATTAGTAGAGTTGCTTTCTACCGCTTTGGCTAGTGATCCTGCACGGTGTTTGATACTGTCCAAATTGGACTACAGCAATTTTGTGTTATATGAAATATCTATAAGTCAAGAATTAAGTCTCCAGAGAATAAGGTATAGAGCCGCTAGAGTAGTACTCAATTCAGATACACCGTTATACATTGTCTGTCATCAACGCCCTCGTCGAATCTGATGAACCTCCATTGGCTTCCATTTCACTTTTGAGTTTTTTTTAAAATAGCTGTTATCGTCTTCAAACTTCTACATAGTAACACAAACAGTCGTCAACTTCGCTCTGCCATCAGCATAAAACAACAAAAATTATTGCTGGTCGTGCATTCCGACCTGCTCCTCACGTTTGGATTTCGCTTCCGCTAAAGATTAGGAACTGCAACTTTACACAGTCATTCAAGTTGTCATTAAAAACTTTTTATTTTGATAAAGCGTTTTCAAACGTCTGACAGAGGATGTTTTTTGTTTCGAGGGTCGCCCCAGTCGCTTGTCAGGGCGCTTTATAAGTCAACATTATCGTTATCATATACAATACATACACACACACACACACACACACATATATATATATATATATATATATATATATATATGTATATATATATAATATGTACGTCTTTTGGTGTGGATAGCTTTTGCGCAAAAAAGTTTTAATATAATTTATTGAAAAATAATAAAATGTAAGCAGTTCTGCGTTAGACAGCCGCATAATAAAGAAAAAAATTTATATCCTTGCACACATGGATATATGCATGGATTTATATTTAATAATTTTATTTATGCTTGCACATTTAATTACATTACGTGTATTCTTAATTCAATGGTCCAAATCTTCGGTAACTTCTAGTTCGTAACATCTGGCATTTTTGTATTTTTACATTAAGTCCAATCAGTAAATTAAACTTTTTAAAAAATGGATGAAAACGAAATGATATTAGAATTTTTAAACTTACTAAAAGAAAAAGAAATAAAATTAATTGCTTTTGATTTTGATAATACATTTATATCCATTCATACAAGCGGTATGTGGGCTGGATCAGTTGAACAACTTGCCAGATATGCTAGACCTATGTTCGTGAAGCTGATTAATTACATTCTCGCCAATACATCTGTAATGGTCGCAATAGTTACATTTTCTACCCAAACGGAACTGGTTGCAAAAGTGTTAAAACAGGTTTTAAGGTGAAAATTGTAAATTATTTATAAAAAATTTCACTTCCTGAACTTGACTACCTCTTCCACGTCAAACTAAAAATTAAGACCGGCTAAGCTAGTTGTAGGAATGCACCGAAGTTCGGCCCCGGCCAAAATCCGGCTTTTTGACAAATATGGCCCAGCCGGATTTAGAAAAAAAGTTATAAATAGAAAAAAAATTTATATTGAATTCAATTAATTTTATGTCAATTGAATAAGTTAAAGGCTAAGCTAAGCATACATGAAATATAATAACAACATCACTAATAATGAGGTGAGCTGGACGATTTTCTTTATGCTATAAGCTGATCTTTGTATACAGAATTTGGCGTATCACAGAGCTTATTCATATATTTGCTTGGTGTTATTTTTTGATGTTCAACATGTAGATAACCATAAATGTGAGTATTTTTTCTAACTAAAATCCGGCCCCGGCCGGTTTTTGAATTTTAAATCCGGCCCCGTCCTGACTTGAAAAATCTAAATCCGGTGCATCCCTAGTTAGTTGTAAAAATAAAAATAAATAAAATATAAATGAATTAAATAGAAATAAATTACACTTATTTATAAGCATCATCATCAATAGCAGGGAACCTTGGGGTCCAAGTTAAGAATTGGCTTCATTCATTTTTTTCATACATGTTTGATTGTAAAATGTTACTAAAATATTTTTGTGGGTTATTGGCTTTTGGAGGTGAATGTGTCAATGCTGTAATGTAATGATGTAGAAATTTGTAAAGATGTCATCCCCAGAGTAGTTTTGTTAATTTTAAGAAGCTTTGGGCTGCATCGGATAAATTGCATTTAGGTTATTTGAGACTCACTGATTTTCATGAAAAGTCATTTATCAAATTGCATACATAGGCTGCTAGGTGGCTCTAAAACGGTGGTGCAAGTGGCATTTTACTAATGCTCATATTAGTATTCTATTTTATTATTATTAAACTTCAAATGAGATTTTTGGTAGACTTTTGTGAAAAATCAGCTTATTAGCTGGACTCTACATGGCTGTTAAAAGCATTGCAGCAGCAAAGATATCTGACATGGTACTCAATAGAGAGTATGGAATCCAAAACCACTCACTCCAAAGTTAGACACAGGCAAGTTGAAATGTGCCTTAATTAAAGCTCTTCTCTCTATAAATTGAAATGGATTTGATATTTTAAATTTTAGATTTGTCACCTAAACATCACAATATTTTGACTTGGATTGTTGTAGAGTGAGGATTTCTTAATGTTCCCAATAAACTTTCTGAAAACAATCTTCAAACTCTAAACAAATAAAAGCATATTGAGCTTCAATATACATCCTTCACCATTACCCTATTTAGTGCTTCATGTATAAGCTTTTATAAAATAAACGAATGAATTAATTTTATCCCCAAAACCTAGTGCTTTTTATCAAAGGTATTTATAAAAAGGTAGTCAAGAAAGGGAAATTTTGACTAAATTTTAATATTTTGTCAATTTTTAAAAATTGTTTTTATATCAAGTTGAAGTTATGTTAAAGAATGTAACTGTAATTTATATGTATTTTCAGCGACCCAAGTGGAATTTATGTCCAATCTACAACCAAAGAACTACTCTCGTTGAAAAAAAAGCTTCCTGGTAAAGAAGGACATATTTCTTTGGTCTTAAAAAAAATATATATAAATCATGGTATAAAAATTGCTAATGAGGAAATTTTTCTTATTGATGACGATGAGGAAAATATAGATGCTGCTATGAAAAATAATCACATTGCATATTGTTTTAAAGAAGAAACCACTGTGAAATCATTTAATGAGTATTTGGCTAGCTTAGGTGCTTCATCTAATTTATCTCTGGTTGTCAACCATTCAAGTGAATTAAATAGTGATCAAAATACAAATAATAAATGGAATCCTTTTAAACCTTCATTGAATGCTGTAAAATTTCAAGATTCCAACACAAATAATAATTCAAATGTTTATATTAAAGTGCCATTTTTATATTTGCCTGTGAATCCCAGGACTGACAGACGCAGTAGTAATTACGCCAATTTTTTAAATGTAGATACAGCTTTCAAAGGTAATGCCGTTAATCCATCAATAATTTCAAATAAACACAGTTTTTGTAATAACAATTGTAACATTTCACCATCTGCTGTTGTCTATATATCAAACAATGTTACTCACAGGTAATTCTTTTTAAAATGTACTGAAAATGGCTTCTTGAACTATAAAAAAGATTTTTATTGTAACGGTAAAACATTTTTATTTTGATTTTGGTGTTTATTCATAAAACATTAATTTTTTAGTTATAAGATTTTACATTCCATAATTTATGATTTTCTAATGTTTATATATATATTGTTATGGTAGATAATTCAATGTGCAAGAACAGTTCCATTTTTATTCACAATGTTAGGTTTATTAGTTTGTGAGTATTTTGAAAGTTCACAAATGACATTTTCAAATTGTTTTAAAAATCGAAAACAGCTACTTTGAAATAAATATATGCATAGTTAGATTCTCTTTCCTTAATTTTTATCTAGTTAAAAATTTTAAATGGAATTATTTTAACGATTCGTGGCTTATCAAGACAAAATTTGTTTGGTTTTCACATCTGATTTTTAAAACCAATAAAATTTAATAGAAAATTTTCTAATACAGACTTGTCAAATTGATCGAATTCATGAAACTAAAACTAGTACGCTCAGATAGAAATAACTGCGATGAAGAATAGTTAAAAAGAATTTGCACATGTAGCGTAGGGTTTCAGATATTTATTATATTTATGCTAATATTTATACTAACATGAAATAAATAGATGATAAGTATAATCCGTGCATAAGGATAGAGCTATAAAACAGTTAAGGTAAAGTACGGTCAAGGATAAATAAATATAAGATGAAATTTTAAATTCAATAGGTGCCACTCCTTTTTTATCACATAGAAATGCGGATAAAATGAATGTTAGCGAAGTTTGCGAACCTACTAACTTCATATATGTTCACTTTTCAACTAAACTCTTCGTAAATATTTGCAGCTGGTGATTTCTTGCGTAGGATCTATATCTACATCTTGCATCTGATTTCTTGTCAATTTAATTTTGATAGACATTCATTAAAGTATAGTTTTGTTAGATTCGGTTTCTTAATTTTTTTAAGTTTGACTGATATGTTAGAGTCTGAAAAGATTTAATTTATGATACAATTGGTTTTTATAATTTTTAAATACAATTTTCGCATTATAAAACTGGTTATGGCAGATTCTGAAACACTGTTTCTTGTAAATGCAAAACCCTGACCAACTTATCTGGGACATAATTTTCAGATCCAATAATATACTAAACTAAATCTATTCAAAAAATCTAAATGCAGTGAAAATGTAATTCATTTTTGTCTTTCATTTTTTTTTATTTTATAATAATAATAATAATTTGGGAAGCATATGTACACAATACAGCTGGCTTATTCCAAAATCAATTGAGATTGAAAAAATTACTTGTGTCAGCTCTGCTGTCACCAGTTTCCCATATTTTATATCAGTAGAAATGTTTGCATAGCCACTCATTTTATTTTATAGTATGTCTGTATTTTTCATACTCCTGTTAGTATCTCAGTACTATTATTAAACAATTAAATCATTAAATCACAATTTCCAGGTAAAAGACAAGTTCATTTAATTAAGCTTTTAAATATCATAAACAATGCAGAAGACCTCACAATTAAAATCAAAAAGCAACTATAAAAATGAAATTCATTCAATTAAAGATAAAATTTGTCTTCTAGATTCAGAAATAGCTGATTTAATGAAGAGGTATGTTTTTTTTTATTATTAAATTTAAATGTACAAGGTTTATGATTTCTATAGTGGTTACTGTGTTGAAGAATTAAATACAAAAATTGAGATACTTCACATGTACAATGACATGAAAGATGCAGGCCAGATTTTGCTTGGCAGGCTAGGTTAATTCTTTGTTTAATTTTTCATTTTAAATGCCTTGTCCAAATCTTAGTTCTAACAAAAAATCTAATGCTATATCGTGTTTTACAAATGCTATATTGTTTGTCATTTATTTGTATCTACAGCTGATCTGCAAGGCATGACTGTCAAACATGTCTATGAGCAATATGATATGGACCCAAATGATTAGTGAAGAGTGGTCTATACATCATTCAAAGGCTTCAACTTTTTTTTTAAAAAGTTTTCAACAATTTAGAAACAAGTACAATCAGTTAATCTTTACTGAAATTCACATCATTATGTTCAAAGATATCTTGAAACAAGTGTGTAATGTCTAAATGAATTATGATTTCGTTTGAAAAATATGAAATGACTAGACTAGAATTGTTTAGAATTGTTCGTTCAAATAATGGAACATCCACCTTTTTCTTTGAAAGGGTTGTCATTTTGTTTAGGGAATCCTTTCATGAGCACATCCTCATCTTGACGTTGCTGGCAAAATTTCATTATTTCTGCAATTGATTCAGAAACCGTCATCCTGTGCACTGCAGCCTCTATGCGCAGCTGCTCCACAAGTTGTCTCTGAGCTTGAATACCTTCTTGAAACTTGTTCATGTTGGCTGCAATGTTGACCAAAAAATTATTCTCCTAATCTATAAAAATTATATTATGCGATTAAATTTATCTATATTGTATATTCTAATCTAAACTAAGCAATTTATGAAGTTTAATATAAAAAATGTAATTAAATAAATAAATAAATTTGAAATAAAATAAAAAATGCCAGATAGCTAGATTCACAGCGCTAAGTACGGAAACGCAAATTTTTTGGCATTTGTCAAATCCGAAATTTTCATAGTAATACTAACATTCTGTCGGGCTTTCAATCTTCTGGTTTCGGAAAATTGAACAGCAGTCAGACACTTTCACGAATATTGAAATTATAATCTCATCAACAATTTTGTGACCAACATACTATTTCATTTAAAAGCCAAACGCGTTTCAGAAAAATTTATTGGTATTCAATTCTTTAAACTCTGAAACGAAGTTTGTAGAAAAAACATTTGAATTTAACGCTAAAATATTATGGGTGTTGAAATCACCTAATTTTTAATGTGTTTTTATTTATAATTCGTTTAACCGTTCAGATTCTTTTCAGCGTTTCTTGTTTGAATTTATTTGTTTGATCATGGGGAATACGTTGGTTGTTGCGAGTCAATGGGCTTCGGTGGCTCCGAATGGGACGGGAGTGTTAGAACTGACGCCTATAAATGAAATGATATTGAATAAGATTGCGAAGTTTGTTCTAACGTTCGAAAAAGATCACCCGCGCGAGGCCAACATTCCTTTTCATAGAGGTCTGAAATGGAATACAACAGTTGCTTCGTCGACTCTGTTAAAATTATTGGCTCGAAAGTAATATTTTCATTTATTTTCTATCTTCAAAAAACAGTATAAAAACACAGGGTTTAACACCATCTAGTAAAAATCTAAATAAGTTCATTTTAATTGGTCTAATACAAATTTAATAAACAAAAATGAAACAAAAGAGAAGGGACTAATGTGATAGACAATCCTCTGTTCACAATTTCAAATTAATTTCATTCTTACCAATCAGTTGCTTGAAAGAGTTGCTTGGTTAGAGTTTAAACTATTGAATAAGGTTTATTCAAATAAATAATGCAGGACATATAATGAAAGTCGCCAATTTTTATAATTTTTTTTTATAAATTTACATGTCGTTTAGTAATGAATTAACGTGTTCATTATCTAATGAATGTTTTTAAATTTTGCCAATTCAATGAAGATTTGACTTAATTTTTATAGACTTGAATGTTTGAACATTCTTTTAAATCATTATTTTAAAAGAATTTACATTCGGTTACTATGTATGTAAATTTTCTAATTTGATTTAAGTGATTTTAGTTTGGTCATACTAGAGTAAAAACTTGGAAGACAATTTTGTAAATAATTTCTGTAGTTCAAATTCACTGTTTCTTTAATGTGGTTTTGAGAGTTGTTATTCTAAGTATGTGTTGTTAGGTATGAGTTAATGTTTTAAACAATATTTATAAGCTCAATTTGCTTGATTATCAGCCTCATTAACAAAAAGTAGTTCATAGGCTAATTTTTATTCGTCTTATTTAGAGAAGAGAATATGTTTGAACTTGAGAAGTACGATGATTGCAATCAATCATATTTGACTGCAAAATTTATTCAAAATGGGGAAGTCATGGAGATTAAAGCTTACAATTTTTCTGCTTTAGCATTTCTACTGCAGTTGGTTAAAAAAACAGAAATGTTAGAAGTCAAGGCTTGTTTAGAACGTATGTTTTCTTTGAATTCTTTAAAATTTAAATTTTTAATAAAAAATTGATCTTATAGTTAATCCTGATCCTTTGAGTTATATTCTTGGACCTCAGTTCAATGTGGAACATCAAAACGATCCAGAACAGTCTATTTCAAAATATTTACAATTTGCTATTTGTAACGATGAAAGATTTGGTATAAAATACATGCGACTTAAACATTTTGAATATATATTTTTAACTGGTATTCTATTTATAATTAATTTTAGCTGATACTATCACAAACAAGCATAAATTTTTGGCATTTGTCATGATTTTAAAAGAGTTTGATATTTATCTAATGAGGGAGTCTCTATCATTCATTGCAAAGTATTTTTTTAATTGTTTTTAAAGTTGTAAAGATAAAACTGATTAATGTATTCCAGTGAAATCAAAGTAACGCCATTGGAAGTTGAAAACCAATTTAATTTGATTGCACACATTATTGAGATCTGTAAAGATATTCCTATACTGAAGTCATTGAGTTGGCTTATTCGTAAGCATGCTTACCATTTTTTCAATAATTAATATTTTAAATGATAGTACATAACCTAATAAACAATAACATTAAATAGTATTATGAGTTATTCATTTTTTTATTTTCCATGCTGATTTTAATTGTGCTCTATTTCCTCTAATTAAAGTACCTGTCGATTAAAGGTCACGTAAAATCTGTCGTAACCACAGATCCATAATTCGGAATTTATTTTATTATCCTCTTTTAACTTTGCCTTTTCTGACCTTTTCTGATTGTTTGATAATAAAAATGTGATTATTCACCAGAAGTTTTAAAAAATTTGAAAATATTAACAAGGCAATGCAGAATAGTATTATAAGTGACTCTAATGAAATCAAAGAAACGTCATCAGAAGTTGAAAACCAATTAGCATTAACCAGTTTCTTCATTTTTTTAATATTACCTTATTTAATGCTAGTTGATTTGTATATAAAATTATAGTATGGGGTTTAATTAAACGACTGGGAGCATTCAAACATCAAATTGGTCCTTTTATTTTGCATAGGGGTAAATAGAAGAGGTTAATTATATGTTTTCAAGGTTTACAAGCCTAAATGTCAATAGGAAATGTACGTGTACTTTAACAGTGAAGGCCTAGACCATATATTTTAATTCTATTAATAATTTAATTAAGATTTAATATATGTGGCCTAGGCTATAATAATTTAATTAAAGATGCTAATAATTGTATACACTAGCATCAACTGGCATGTAATAAATTGTTTGAGGTGTGCGTTGTCAAAAAATTCCGAATAGTAGCAGCCTGCTAACGTAAAAATGCGAAAAATAGTTTCTTTTGAAAGTTAAAAATTAATTGGGATAGTTTTTAACCAAGTTTATTTATTTCCAAACAAACATGTTTAAAAGATCTAAACTTATGGTTATAATTAACAATGATTGCTTTTTTTAACGGTCCCTTTATAAAAAGAAATTTAAAAAATTGATGTAGGCCTACGTTCTTATAGCATGGGTGCCGGAGTAAGATGAAAAATTTCCTACTCCGACACTGAGCTTCTATCTTTATAATCAAATTTCAATTTTGATTTAAAAACTTTGTCGTGGCAGCACACTTTTAATTGAAAACTTTTTGTATTCATTTATTTGTTTCTTTCATACTTATTACTATAAATATTTAACTTATTGAAGTTTTTGGTTGAACTTCATTTTTTAGCCTTTACATATGTTTTCGGAAACGGCTGTCGCGCTCCATTGTGGAGACAATTGAATGGTGATATTGCCTACATTGTTGCTTGCACTTTTGAAGGCACAAATATTTTTATAACTGCTAGTTCTTCAGGGTTTTATATTAATAAGGTTCGTTGTATGATTGGTAAATATTATATTACTATTCTTTTGTATCTGATATTTTTTCATGTTATTGTGTAAACAAAATGTTATCAATTGTGCAAGAATGGGTTGAATGCGAGGTAAAAGACCAAGGTTGCCCTATGGTTTTGACAATTGTATAAAATTGGATGATTGTTCCCAAAGGATGAATGAATTTTGTAAAGAAAATAAAATTTATTTGTTTTCGAAGAAAATTAAAAATATAAAGTATGAATTAATTCAAGAATGTGGGTATTCAGTTTTCGTCATTACAGCTTTGAATACAATTTTATGGCCTTTGTAATTAATTTCTTCTGAAACACAAAGATGAAGATGATAATTAAATCATGATGGTGGCAAATAATTTACATGCTTACGATTTTCAGAGAGATGGATTCTTAAACAACAATGATTCAGATTTTCAAAGAAATGGGCCTATCTTTGCCAGTTTGATTCTTCTTTTGAAAAATTATTCAGAACAGTTTCAAATGAACATTGAGAGAGTTAGTAATTTTCTTATTCAACAACCAATTCGAATGATGCTTACGTGTTGTATATATATATACATATATTATTTAATATATGTATATTATATGCCATTTACAAATTCTGATTCTTGAAGCTTTTCTTTGTCAAAGCGTTTGTAGTTATTTTTTAAAAATTTTTGTGTGCGTACTTTACTGAAGTATTTATTTATGATATAATTATTTCTTTATCATGATTTCAACTCAAAAATTTCATTAATGTTTGTATAACTCATTTTGTACTTCAGTTACCTACTTGTTTTGATCGTGTCATTAAGTAAGTAGCTACAATCGAATAGCATTTACAGTATAGCAGTACGGCTTTGATTAAACGATTTTCAGGCCATGGCTGACTCACATATTCTTGGTTCTAAAGCTAATTTAAAAATGGCCGTGCAAATGAGTTCAAGGTCTGAAGAATCAGTAAAACAAATGAAAAAAACTTCTAATGCATTGTACGTTGAGTCCAAATGTGATAAAAATGAAGACGAATGTACAGAAAAGAAACACTCACCAAAATTGTCTTTAGATGCGATTGAACCAACCTACGTCGAGACACTCCAACTTAACAAAGGCGTTGGAGGTGGAGTTTCAAAAGCGAAGAACATAAAGCGATGCGGTTCAATAATCTCTTTGAAAAAGTTTTTCAATAATTTTTTAATTTTTGTTATATATTGATTGAACCTTCATTTTATTTAATGTTAGTATATCCTGGATAATTTATTCATTTTTATTTTACGTTATCCTTACGATGATGATAATCTTGTCCAGGGTGGTCCACTACAAGAATTTATTTTCTTCTTCCGGGTCTCCCGATCACAAATTTTGTCTGTTTTGTTTAGATCAAATAAATATATTGAATTGAATTAAGTTCAAAACTTTGAAACAATTTTTTAATAATTTTTTTCATTCTCTCCTCTATATTGATTATCATAAGTTCAAAACTTGGTTCGTCAAGCGATCAAAGTTCAGCTCTTATATTATAAAGGTATCGCTACTGTTAATTACTAACTAACCGCTACTGTTTTATATCCTTTCCATTTAATATTGTGATTGCATGCGCAGATTATCAAACTTCTGTTATATTTCTTTATATTTCTGAACAATAGGATATTATATAATATAAAATATACTGTATAAAATAGTCAATTTTTAGCATACTACAAAACGAAACAAGTTAAATAGAAAAATATATTATTTTTTTGGCTTGAATATCATTTTGCCAGATTTTGTTCACAACTTTAGTTCACGCATTTTTTGCTTCAAAATTATTATACGTGATAAATTTTTTATTTTTACCACTTTTGAAAATTATATTATCGTCAGTTGTGTTTAAAACATAAAAACAAGTTTTAAATAAAATGCAATTCTAATGATATATAAATTGTGCCTTTATGTTGCAAATAAAAATGTTTTCTTTTTACATGTTGATTATTCAATCTCCAGTGATGAACTTGAAGTTTGGTTGGGCGAAAGTTCAACTGAAGAAAGTGACCCTGATGATGACTCTGATAGAGACGGACCTCAAGAAAAAACTATTTACAATTACAATGTTAAACCGAGAGACCTGAAGTTTGCAGGTTATTGGCACATACAAAATATGTTCCAGTTTATAAAAACAGGTGATCATGCTCCAACACTTATTGGTTTATGTTCTTTATTGGATCTCAATCTTACTCATGAAAATGTTGCCATTTCTATTGTTGAGGCTAATGGGGTAGAAGTACTTGTCAATATACTTGAGGTCCTTAATTATTATTTTGCCGTATTTTTAATTTTGATTAGTTGTTCATAAACATTTCATTTCTCGATAATATCCTCCTATATAATTTATAAATATCAATTTATTAAGTTGTTCAGAAACTTGAATTACTGACAAGTTTCAACGACTTTCAATAAAAATAATTCATGTTTTGTAACGAGAATCATTTAAAACCAAATACAAATACATATTTTTTGAAATTGAAATTAACCATTTCAATTTTCAGTTGAATGATTTTGAATGCCAAATGGCATCATTAAAAATTCTTATAGCCATTTCTCGTTATCAGCCTATATGGCAGTGCATAATAAATTTTGGAGGTGTGGAAATTCTCATTGAACTTCTAAACAACATAAGTGTACCTATTCGGTTAGTGTATTAATGTTTATAACTCTTGATATTTTTACTCTACAAATATTTTAAAGGTGTCTTGCCGCAGAATGTCTTGGTGCTGTAGCAAAAACTGCAAAAGCCAGATCACTTATTAGGCAGAAAAACGGAATTTTTAAATTAGTCCGTTAATATTTTATTCACAATTGCGTGTCTCTGAGTTTCAAAGTTTTTTTTAGGTTAGTTTTTTGGATACATTTGTAACAAGAAAAGATTTTATTATCGGGAACAGCCAAAAGTTTTATTCATCGGTGAGTAAATTAAGTTCCATCATTTTAATAACTTTCGGCCATGCTTTTTTAAGTTAATAATGTCTAGAGACAATTTAAATAAAAGGTTAAAGGTTTATTACACAAAACGACGCATGACACACGAAGCCTGTGATAGGCGGGCGGGGATCTTTTTGTCATATTCGAATCGTAAGCGATTACCGCACGCACTGCAAACAGCACCAATATGCCATCACGACGCCCAGTGTTCAGGAAAACAAATCTTCAATAAAAAATTGTTTTATTTAACGTCACCATTGAGTGAAAAAGAAAAAATTGAAAAAAAACTTGTTCACACTATGGGGGGCGGCGTGATGGCCTAGTGGTTAAGGTCGCCTGGTGCTGTTTCGCAGTAACCGGGTTCGTATATGACAAAAAGATCCCCGCCTATCACATGCTTCGTGTGTGATGCGTCATTTAGCATGTACTCATATACGATGTTTGTGGCGTGTTGTTAAATCTTCTGAAAGAGTGTAATTGACCTTTAAGATTTTCATCTAAGATATGTACAATTCTCCCTTTTTATTTAAAATTATTGCATCTTATCACATTTAAAAGTGTTTTATTTCTTGATTGCTTTTTTAATTTTAATTTTTGTTTATTCATTTATTTATTATGAATATTTCAAAAAGATCAGAATAAAATAATAATTGCACGGTGTGCATATGGGCAGATTTATAGTAATAATAACGTTGTGAAGGAAAGAATGCATTGCCTTGCTCTTTCAGTTTTATTTTCTGACATGGTTAAACGCAATTTGAAATGATTATTTATTTTGAACTCCGATTGAAGATTATAAACAATTTTTTTAATTTTAATTACTAAATGAAAACATTCTAAATAATAATCATTTTTTTCATTAAGCTACCACCAAAGCAGCTCGCCAAACTGACGTCTGGTCCAATTTACAGTTTTTTAGACAAACAATGGAAAAGAAGTATTGCATTGGCAAAAAGTGGGGCCATAGTACTCTCAGTTTTGTCGAACAGTCGGAGGACCAGAAAAGCAATGCAACTGTGCAACATTTTACCTTATCTTTCAAGACATCTTAAATCAACTGATGTGGTGTTTTTGCAATCTGTCGTCAAAATTATCGGTGAATTTGCAAAAGAGGTTTTTTTCAAGATTTTGAATTTTTCGTTGTATAATCTACTTCTTATCTAAATGTTTCATAGTTTAATAATACTATTTAAAATTGAAATTGACAGCAGTTATACAGGTCTTCCATTTTATCGGAAAATATGATTCCTTTGTTAGTACATGCCTTGAATTACAATGACGGATTATTGTCTGAAAGAGTGTGCAAAGTTTTTTACAGGGTGAATAAATCAATTAAATTAATTTGTTGAACAATTTTTGTTGATACCTATGTTTAGCTGCTTTACTTTCAGTCTCATCCGTTTACTTTTTATGTTTTTGCAGAATTCAGAATTTTATCGTAATTTATTAGAATATGGCTTGCAAAAACCAAATAAAATAAAATAAAATGAAAAAACAACTATGCTATGTTTGTATTTTATTTGTTATTATTTTCTATAACAGCAGTGTACTATTTTGAATCCAACAATTGTACATTCTTGACTCTAATGTAATTTGATTGTGAAAGTCTTACGGAATGTTAGTAGCTATAAATATGTATTAATATTATAATTGCTAATGAGATTTTTGCACGGCAACCACATCGTAATTTGGAAAAAACTTGTACTTGTTATGTATATTGTTTTGTCAAACAAGTATCTTCTTACAAACCAGGCCTCGGAAGACGAACGAATTCGACATGAAGTTTTTAAAGAGAAAGGTCTCGTGTTAATGAAGAAAATTTTGGACAATTGTTCACTTGATGATAACACTTTATTGCCTATTATAAAATCTGTCACTGGAGCTATATCGAAATTGCTACTCTCTCCTGAAAACGTTAAAGTGGTATCTAAACTTGGTATAAGTGAGATTCTTATACCTATGATGAAAAGTAAAAGTATCAAGGTAAATTTTAAGATAGGATTGCTTTTTTATTGATATAAATGATGTTGATTAGAAGATAGCGTTATTATTTAAAATCATAAAGAAATACAACAATTTTTAACGGTACAGATACTTCTCAACGTTCTTAACGCTTTTATAGAAATTTTAAAAGTGCCGGCCAACAGACTAGAGTTTAGTAAAAACAGAGGTTTGTTTGACTGCATTTTACCCTATTTCGTTTTACCGATTGTTCAATTAACGTCCGAACCACTCAAAGCATAACAAGCATTTAATAAATTAGCTGGTTGAATGCATTATTCTTCGTCGTCAATCATAGCATTCACAATTATTTACCACTTTTAAAGTAAGCTGCATAACTTACTAAAACTAATAGCTGCTTTTATCTTTGCCACTATGCTGAAAATGCACTCCTAGTTGTCCCATCTGAGACCATTACCGTTCTATCAATCTCAACGCAAACTCATAGTTGCTAACTTAAAGAAATCAATTTGTCACGCATTACGCTCGTTTTTAAACCCGTTACAACTTCTCATGAAACGAAATTTTGCATGCGCTTGAAAGGCTCACATTTATGAAATACATGCTTCAAATTATTTTTGAAGTTGTTGTTAATGAGGCAAAAATCGTTTCCTATAATAATTATGTATCTCCAAATTGAACCAGATTTATCACACAACATAAACATCTATTACCTCCTATCAACAAACACAAAAAATAAATTTGTCAATAATCTATAATATTCTGATATATATTACTAAAACATCCAACATATTAAATACAGGTTTGCACGCTCTGCTGTCATTACAATCCAATACAATTCCATTGGTCCTTATATTAGTGAACTATGCACTAGCTCAATGTGCTGAAGAGCCATCTCTTATCAAGTATGACATTCAGATAATTCAGATGAAACTCATAAAAAAAATATTTATTTAAATTACCATATGATCAGCATAATTATAGAAAACGATGGAGTGCGACTGCTCTGGTCACTGTTAACGCATCCAAATGATGAAGTAAAGGCTTCAGCTGCGGTAGCTATTTGTCCCTGTATCAAAACTGCTCAGGTAAGCGTGTATTAAAATTTTCATATTCAATACTTTTAAAAAACATCGAGAAGATGTGGTTGGAAAATTCATCTAAGTTTCAGTTCATGTTCGAAAACAATTTTTAACCGATTTCGGTATTATGACCAGTGGTTTTATGCAATATTTAACGGTTTTATTGTTGTGGCGGTCTGAACTAGTTTTTTTTAAGTCCAAATTTTATCAAATTTATATAGAAATTTCCCTCATTTTATCCTCTAAACGTTAGCTATATTTTTTCTTGTGGGGGGCTTCAGTACCAAAACTCCGCCTTGCCTACGCTTCCGCATTTCAAATTTTATGCGAAACACTTACTTAGGATTCAGGATACATGGTCAGAAGTTTGGTCAGTGGTTTGGAAATACTGGTAAAGTTGTTGAAGTCCAACAATGTAAACGTTTTGGCGTCGGTGTGTGCTACTATAGCAAATGTTGTGCAAGATGAAGAAAACATTGGTATATTGACAGAATTTAAAGTCTGCTACTTACTATCAAAAATACTCTGTGCTGTAAGTTTGGATATATATATATATATATATATATATATATATATATATATATATTCATACAATGCTGTATATATATATATATATATAACTCGAAAACTAACTTCGAAAAAACTGCCCGAAAAACTAACCCACTGTCTGTCTGTCTGTCTCCCTTAACAATTGTCCAAAATTTTTATATATTAATTCACACGAGCAACCATTCACTCTCAAATATACTCACTATACTCTCGCCATACTATTGACATAAAACCCATTCACATAACATTCCACTAGCATGCATAAAAAACCAGTTTATACAATGTTTTATCAGCATGTCTCCATACAACAAGCGCACCAAACCAACAAACACATTCGGGCGCCAAAAAACCACATTGTTCATACATATATATATAAGTATATATATACATGTTACATTTTGCTTTATATGTGACTGAAAAACATAACTTATTGAAACACCTAGCAACACCAGCCTAACACCAACACACTGCAAGCCAATCTTTCGCAAGCCATAGCTCAGTGTTGCAGATTTGGAAACAACAGAGAAGTTTTTGGAAAAGAGGATGTGGTTGTGCACCTAGTTAGATATTTGGATACAGACGATTATAGGATTCATAAAGCTGCTGCACAGGCACTATACCAACTGTCGCTGGATCCAGATAACATCATAAGAATGCATGCCGAAGGTTGTGTCAAGGTTAGACGCATACAAGGCAAAACCAATTTATTACAGTTTATTGTGGACCACCTAATCCATCTCATAAGACACTTTTTAACCCATCTGTAGCACACCAAAAATTTTGTCTTTTTATTAATAATGAGTTAGTTGGATGACGCAAGAGTGAATTGTTAATTCACCATGCGTAATTTAATTCTGACATTAGTGAATAAAGGAATGGTACATTACTTAAGTAATTAAATATAGTAATTAAATATAATTTTTCAGCCACTTCTAAAGCTCATTGGTTCGTCTGATGAAGAACTGCAAGAAGCAGCATCTCAATGTGTCTCAAACATAAGAAATTTGGCTTTTGCAAATAGTATGGCCAAAAATGCGAAAACAACAAACAAGAATTGAATTTCAACATTTTAAATTCAATTAAACTTTCAAACACAAAATTATTTTTTAAAATTTCTGTTTACACACTGGCAAAAATTTTAAATGTATAACATTTAAAAATAAATTACATAAAGTTGTCCTATTAGATTTATTGCCATTTTTAAACGTTATGGATTTATAGATTCAATGAAATTTATAGATTTAATGAAATTTACTAATTAGCTTCAAAAGGAAAAATTTAATTTTCTTGGTGTCATAAATCGTTTAACTACATCATCTGATACTTCTTTTCTTTTCTTCTGATGGTTTTCAACAATAACTTGAACTAAATCTATTAACTCCTTTTTCAAATGACCTGTTAACAATTCTCCACTAGTGTATGTTCTGTAAATTTCTGACAGGCGTTTATCATCCTCTAAAAAATATTTTAAATATTGGTAAGAAACATCTATTTCACAATTGCCTCCTTTTAATTTGTGTTCTTCAACACTGTCTCCACCACCAGAAAAAGCATATTTATTTATTTTAGTTTTTATTTGTTTAGCTGTATCAGTGAGATAAATTGACGAATTAGGATCGCTTCCACTCATTTTTGTTTGAGCCCCTTGCAATGATGGAATGAATGTTGAATGAATCAGAGCTGGCTTCTGATAATTAAGACGTGGGGCGACATCTCTTGTCATTCTGAAGTATGGATCTTGATCTATGGCACAAGGAATCAAACATGGTATGTCGGACCTTTTGTTGAAAATGAATGGGAAACTAGCGCTAAATGATGTAGCAGCTTGAATAGCTGGAAAACTTATTTTTCCAATGCAATCTGTATCAGAGAAACCAAATATTCCTCTAGCTTGGTTGAATGTGACTGATTTTTGAATTCTGCAAATCACTTTGTAGAAATCAGAGCTCTGACCAATATAGTCAATATCAGAGAATATGAAAGTCTTGCTCTCATCAAAACCACAAGCTATGATATCTTTAGCATTTTCATAGGCCAGCCTGTTGGCTTCTTCAATAGAAAGATCTTTCCACAAGAATTTCTCATCATCAGTCAGTTGAATGATCAATGGTACATCAAATGTCTCTTGCAGCCATTTCGTCAAAATGAATGGGATCAAATGACCAAGATGCATAGATTCTGATGAAGGTCCCCTACCAGTATATAAAAAAAATGGTTGCCTTTTCTCGTGCCTATCTAATATGACATTTAGATCTCTATGTGAAAAAAAGATTCCTCTTTTTAACAAATGATGGACAGGTTTGCCAGTAACTTTTTGAAACCTTTCAAGTAGATCTGCATCCAGTTTAGAAGACCCAAATCTTTTTATCAACTTATCGTAATCTACTCCTGCAGCTGAACTACTCCTGACATCCCACGGGTTAACAATGTCCTCATCATTTGCTGAGGAGTCATTTATTTTGCTGTCATTGCATTCCACAGTGTCATTTGTCTCAGTCATATTTAGTTTACCTGTAATAAATTATTTTAAGTATTTATATGATGAATATGACTATACACTAAAAGGGATCATAATAATTAACTAAGCTATTTGACTGTTTGATATGGTTAACTTTTACTTAATGGGTTGTAATAATTGGTAGGTCCATTACATGTCTTATAGTTTAAATTTATCATTAGATTGAAATAAAAATTTTTTTAGTCTCTAAAGAAAAAGAAGTCGACTGACATGTCATATCCTAATAAAATCACACAAATAAAAACTCACCAACTCAAGCGTTGATTGACGCAACACGGAGAACTTCTGACGAAAGCGTGGACGGGATGACGATCGTGTTCGGGTGTGAAGCTTGCCAGATTTGCCAGATCAATAATTGTATTTAGAGTAAAGAGCTGCGTTCATAATTGTTTAATAGTGCTTAATAGTGAATGAACATGCACATCAATGAAAATAGCATGATACATTATTTCGTTATTATCCTGCGTCCGCATTTGCTATTTTTATGTAGCTTAGTTAAAAATAAAAATTTTGAAATTTATTAGAAAGAGAACGTAAATCAAAATCTAGGTTGGTCTCCGCTGAGAGAGCAACAAAGATGGTCAAAGACTGGTCCGGAAATGAAGAAACACCATTTACCAGATTTTTTCAACTGGAGAGTAGAAAGGGATTTTGAGGTCAAAAAACAAGCTGTTCAGAAAAGAAGAAAAACAAATAAAACAAAGACTCTTTATCAGCATGTTGGTAATCGTTTCGAATGAGCTGAGTGATGAGACGGTCTCTGTGGAATCAACCAACAGTTTCAAGATCAAACTTGGAGAGTTAGGATACTAGTACACTTAACTGGCAGGGGTTCTCACGCAGACCCTATGTTACTGAATCACTTTAAACCATGTCATGTTAATATTGAATGAATCTATCCTGTTTAATTTATACATTATGTATTCTAAGTATATATTTAACAAAATATGATTTCAGTTCTTTAAAAAACGTATAAGTGAACAAAGATTTCTTTACGAAAATGCCAGATTCGTCAACGGAAATTAAAAATTTTTTTAGTGCAAAGACTTTCTGTATTCTAAGTACTAACGTAAAATTTAATTAGGTATTGAGTGGCTAGACTATTAAATTTTAAGCATTCCCATCGCAATCACTCGATCGACTACTGCAAACAGATGGGTCCTGAGATACGCTCTCGGCTTCATAAGTAACAGAGATATAGTTGTAGAAGAAAGAAGATAATTACAAAAGAAGCAAGCCAAGAGCAGGCCAAAAACTAGAGTATTTACCAGAAACTAAAAAAAGGCAAATATGACAAAACGATCAGTTTAAGAGCAGTAAGCCACAATAGTTAAAATATCTGATACATAGGAGATTAAATTAAATTGACATTTGAACATTAATTAGGAAAAAAATTTGAACGACAAAAATATTGCCAATTTTTAAAGACATGCTAAAATCAAATCAAGATTACTTAAGTTAAGTGAGAAAAAACAAATGTTTGTAAGTCAATATTGATAGAAAGAATAGTATAGAAAGAATAGTAAGAGATCTTAGATTTATTAAAGCGCATTATCCCAAATTTAGAGGAAAAACTTAATGACAATGATCTCAATCTACATTTAGATTAGACGGAGTAAAAGAAGCTTAAATGTACAAATCCCTAACCAAACTAATAAATAATTTTTTTAATAATTCCTGAAGTACCACAAAAGTAAAAGTAGAGGGAACAGAAGTAGCGTTTTCAAGAATTACGGAATAAAAACTATCATAAAGAGGAAAACTAAGATAGGCAATAATCAGTAAAATTAATTGGATGATCCTAATCCGGTAGAGTTGAGCAACTTTTTTTCCGGAGGACCACATCAAAAATTACACCACATCTACGCGCGGAAACACGCAAAAAATCGTTTTTCAAATGTTTTTTAAAGCTTGCTAATTGTTTTCGAAATATTTCTGTTACAAATCGATGTCTATCTTTGACGCATTGACTGTTAATTCTCCTTAACGATAACAAAATAAAAGAAACAAAAAATTGCAATAAAAGCTATTAAATAAAATACTTCTTTAAAATTATTTTACTCTTGTATTACGGACCAAACAAAATATTTATATGAAAATTGTAATAAACTTGTTGAAAACTGTATTTTTGAGTTTTGCTGGGTAAAGAAAATATAAATCGTTGAAGTTAGTAAGGTAATTTAATAGTTCGTTTATGTCGTAATTATTTGAAAAAGTTAACTGTAAATGTAAAGATAAATTGAAATAAACAGGCCGTTTAAACAGAGATACATTAAATTGCCTATAAAAAGTGAAAGAATTGATAAGCCATTCATAAATTAATTAATTAATTGGCCATAGAATTTAAAAATTTTTTTCAAACGGGTAATCCTTAAGATTTTCCGTAACAGGTGTAAACGTTTTAGGTAAAAAGATGAGCTGAGATACTTATCAGTTCTCGAAGATGATTAATCTTTTTAAGTATAAGTAAAAGCAAAGATTTAACAGTTTCAAGCAGGAATAAATTTGGTATTTCAAAAAATTTCGAAATAACAAGTTTTGCTCAACAAGACTATTAAAAGTATGTGAGACCTAAACTACAGCAATTTTTATAACTAATGTTTAGAAAATTGTTTCAAGATATATTCCAAACGAATCAAATCCGATTCTATTATTTAATCATTTACCTATAAGACATTAAGAATTCGCAATTGAAAAACGACATAAGTGCATCACAATTTAATAAAAATTTGTAGCATGACTGCTAAAGTGAATGAATCACTTGATATTTTATGTTTCTAAAATGAAATTAAAAAAATAAATTATATAAAGTATGAAGAAATTTCATATAAAAGAGATACTACCAATGATTTAACAAAATATTTACAGTAACAGGTAACTCTAAATTAAACTCGTCTGCAAACATTATTGTGTAAACAACCAACGATCAAAAAGCAAATTACAACAATAGTATAAAATTATACATATCTGTATTTTTTTACGCAATCATTACCGAGGTCAACCACGTACACAAAGCCGTCAGAACTTACAGTCAGGCCACAAGGTCTTTTTAACTTATCATTGAAACTATCGATTTCGTACAGAAAATTATGGGAAAGAGCGTCAAAAACTTGAATGACACATCTGCCCTTCTCCAGTTTTGTTGCGAGAAACTTTCCTAAGCCATCGAAACACACTCCTCCAAAACTTCCTTTAGATGAGGTGTCACCAGATAGTTCATGTTTGTACAAACCTGAATTTGTAAACACTTGCAGCCTGTTGTCACAAACAATTATATCATTGGAAGAAGGTACGACATAAATAGAAGTGATGAGTTTAAATTGACCTGGTTGACTTCCTTTGCAGCCGAAACTTTGTAGCAACTTTCCATTACAATCAAATACGAATATTTTTCCTAAACCATTATCAGCTACAACAATTTCATCTCTTGAAGTAGCTGCAACAGATATGGGTTCAACGAAATGTTCATTCGTAAACTGACATATAAAAGTTCCATCAAGACCAAGGATAGTGATTTGTTTTGTGCGCCAATTTGCAATAACAACATAGCTTAATGACTGCAGTAAACACATACCAGTTGCGCTGTGTTGCTCAAGTCCTCTGCCAGTTATAATTCCTTCTACAGCAGATAAATTCTTGTCAGTGATTTTTATACGACTGTTACCAGTATCAAGTATATAAATAAATTGATCGCCAGTTATAAAAATTGCCACGGGCTGTTTGAAATGTGAAAAACCGGAACCAGGGCTTCCAAAACGAACAACTGGATCGATATGCTCTGAAACATTTATTGAAAATGGGCTGTCTTTTATTGGGCGATTAAATATGTAAATGTGTAACTTGTGGGGACCGCTTATAATAAAGCTGTAATTAGATGAATACGTTCCATCTTCATTATCATCAACGTCAGCATGTGTAATCTTTCCCTTTGGATCAATTAACTTTATTTCAACAGGATCACCCCCGGATGTTCTAATGTTGCCATGGTAATCAACAGTAGATATCGAAATATTATAATTTAAACGAATAGAAGCATTTTTTTCAATGCTAGCAGAACATAAAGCTGGGAATGTTTTACTAACAGATATTCTGCCAAACTGATTCAACGAAGTTTTCAATGAATTGCTGCTGGAATTATGCTGATAATCAAAATGCATAAAAGCATTTTCACGTGGTTCCATTAATGTTGCAGAAATATCAAGTTTTTCGTTAAGATCTCCTATCTTTGAAGTTATATTTCGTACGTCAACTTGATGCTGCAAGCCCTGGCAGTTATTTTGAACTTTACATTTTTCTGACTGAATGAGATCTAACTGTTCTAAAAGAGATTTTTTTTTCTCATCTCTAACTTTTTTAGTAAGTTTTAAAACTTCTTGCTTTCTAGATTCCACCATATCAGCAATATTTTGAAAAGCTTTAGATATAGAATCCACACATTTATCATGAGCTGCATCAAGTCGTTCAATTTCCTGACTAACCACATCACGAGCATCATCAAGGTTTTTAATGCAAAGTCCAGCCTTGTATAAAAGTATTTCAGACATTCTTTTGATTGCAATGGAAAAAGGAATAACGGTGTGGGCACTAGCACCACCAATGCTGTGTGAACCTTCAGTACAATCAGTACAAAAAACAACATCACAAGTTTCACAGAACATTAGTTCCGATTGCGGATGTCGTGAACATTTTGGAATGACATCTCTTCTTTGTCTTCCCATTAAATCAAGCAACTGATTGACGATGAAACTCGGAGGAAAAGAATTAACTCCACCTCTTGGTATAGGAATGGTTTCCCTACATATGGGACATCTGAAGTTCGTTGAATTTTCACCTTGAGCAGCGACTATGTGCTCCAAGCAACTGAGACAGACAGTGTGTGAGCAGCATAATAACTTAGGTGTTCTTTCTTCATTGTTGTAGACTGACAAGCATGTGCCACATGTTAAGAAACTATCACTAAAATCTTCATAATTGATGGACACAGTTTCAACTAGAGTTGATGACATAGTTCACGTATTGACATTGACGTCTTCAAAGATGATGACTTTTTAATTTTTTTCCTGGTAAAAACAATTAAATTTTTTCAATAACATGAAATCAATTTTTTTTTCATGACTATTTATTCAATAATACTTGATAGGCTCAACTTAAAATCAAACATAATATTTAGAAATGCATAATGATAAAAAACTTAATAAAAGTTCTATAGAAAAATTTTTTTATTTGTATCTTACAGAAAATTTTATTAAGTTCTAGAAGCTTTATGAAAGCAATTTTGACAGAAAATAAAATCATTTAAACAACTTAACAGCAAGTAAGGAACATGAAAAAAGTCAAATGGCATTTAGATAACTTACACATTGTTTACAAGCTATTATAAAAAAGCATGTAACACAATGTCCAAACATTCTCAAATTTTTTTTATATTTCCCATTAATATTGAATTATTCATTTTATAATCTTCTCGTCAAACTCTCATTTTGTCTATTAACACAAAGTGAAACAAGCTACCATCTGATTTAATATTGTCACACATCAGATACAACTGATTGTCTAATTTGGTGCAAAAAGTTGATGGCAAAGAGAACAACGTCCTAACTCCGGAAACCGGGTCTCTGGACGCAAAACGAAGATTGATTGATCAGAATTAGTCAACCAACCACATTGATAATCATTTATTTATTAATCTAATTCTAATCTAATCAATTATTGAAATTCGCCATAAATAATTTGTAATAGCTAACAACCTAAACAAAATATCATAAATAGTAACATCACTTTAAAAGAGAAAATGTAATTTAATAAATACATTATGAAAACAAAATAAGATGTACCTCCACTTAGGATTTACATCATCATGCATTCATGTAGAGATAGATAGATAACTGTTGAGTGTTAACTGGTAGATTAGTTAATTGTGTAACAGTGTTGTTGTCTTGTTCGTTGCTCTTCAGCCTTGAATTGTTGCCCCTTGTGAATAAAATATTGTCAACATTAATTAACCTTTTAAACTGAACTCCTTTTCTTTTTTCAGTTTTTTCTTTCTCTTTCCCCACTTCTCAAGTAGGTTATTTTCATTTATTTACTACAAACTACAGCCAACAATTACTTTATTAAATTAAAAAAATAAAGTGGGACCAATTTACTATAAAATTATTGCCAATTTATGAGGGTTGCTGCTAATTTTAAAGACACGAAAACGAAATGATTACTGAAAATTAATGTTTATTTCAGGTTTCTGTTTAATTTAATTTAATAAATTTATAAATGAAATAAAAATAAATGAATTGTATTATTAATTATTGTTGTACCAAAACATGATAAACAGATAAAATTTGTTAAAAATAATTACTTATTATAAATTATATTTATGATAAACATAGGCCAATCAAATCTTTTATTTGTTTAATAACTTCCAGAACGCTAATCTAATGATTAATAATTAATGAATAATGATCATTCTCACAGCGAAAAATCATCCAGGATCAAGAAAAACAAAACACGAAGTGGCTGGCATTCAAGGCCATAGTGATACCCATACAAATAATCCGTACATAGACTCTTAAGTGTTAACCCCATAAGATAAGCTGGCAGTATATTATATACAGAAACTTTGAGTAGGTCAAATTTAAAACCTACTCAATTTATAAATTTAAATCTATCTAACTATTTTGAATCAATTTACCAAAATTTTTACAATTTAGGTGATTTATAAGTTTTATAAATTAGGTATTAAATTAAATTTCTTAAATTTATTAAATTAAGTTGTGCGTATTGAGGTAAGATTTTTATTTAAAAATTTATTAATCATTTACGTATAAGAATAAATGTCTCAAACTTAATTAGTTTCAACAAAAGTTATATGTCCAAAATCTAAGTGAATGTTTTTTAAAGATGTTTTGTAAAATGGTTTTAGTTTTTATACATTGCACTTTTAAAACTATGCTTTCGCTTAGATTCACTTTTTGTATATAAACATTTGACTTAAAATATTTTGTTAGCAATCTGCCTGTAATCTGTTCGTCTGTCAGTGAGTTAAATTTAACTAAAAATTTTTTGATTTGAATTTTTTGTACGCACGATAGCATTGGAAATAAAATTTCATAAAGGTTGTAAAAAGTAGACGTGTAAACTACTGCCTTTTCTGGCAAACCTCAGAACGGCTCGACTAAGAGTGCTTTTTTAAATAATAGGGAGTTGACATAATAAGCTTCAGTTCATTGTTCGGAGAACTTGATAATAATGGACAACTGACTTACGTGTAAATCGACGAAACATTTTTATCCACAAAAAGTAGTACAGGGGTTGTTACAATGTGGGGAGTTGGATGTTGGTATATCATATTAGAATGAAATTTTGGTCATTGTTGGTTAGAAGTAGTTGCTTGCAGAATACAGGTAATCTATCCAGGAACTATCTTTTTTACTGATGGTTGAGGTTTATCAACATATGGTTATAGTGCACCCTCAAAACCTAGTACATCATCTAGATGCTGATGCTAATAATCAGGCGGTTGAAGATCTATGGATGTGTGCAAAAGAAGGAAATTACGTTTTCTATGTGGAACGAGTCATGCATTAGACTTTTAAGTTATCTAAATGAATTTCTGAGGCACTACAAACATAAAACATGCTTTTGGACAATATTTTAAGTTACCTAATGATCCCGTGTAAATTACCTTCACAGGAATGGCATATTCATTGTATATTTGAAATGACATGTTTTATTTCAATGTTATTGTTAGATAACATATCTTTTATATAAATTTTTTTATTGTTTGTTGAAAAATAAGGTTAGTAAAATCTTTCTCATTACTTGCTTACGTTCTCTTTACAAAAAAAAAAGTAATCATATAATTTGGGATCACAGTTCTGAGGTTTGCCTTATTTTCAGTTGTACATTTCAGGCAATTATTAATTATTAAATAGTTAAAATGTTGAAATATTAATAAATAAATAATTTGCTTTCTTATAGGAAAATTTACTGTTTTTTGAAAGTTTGCCACTTGAAATGTTGTTGGTGAAACAAGGTGCTGAGGCAAAGATTTTCAAAGTCATGTTTTACGACAAGGAAGCTCTGGTTAAAATTCGATCTCGTAAAAGCTACAGACATTCTGTCCTGGATTGTTCACTGAATAATAAACGAACCAAAGCTGAAATAAGATGTTCATTGAAATGTAAAATGATAGGTTGTTTCATGTTTTTTTTTTATTTTAAACTAATTTTTATTTTATAAGAATCAATAAAATTGTCCAATAAAAATCCAATTAAAATTATATAAACTTTTAGCCAATGTTTATGTACAGCATCTTAGCTAAAATGATCTTAACAAAGTATGCGCACAGCATGGTACAACAGATATTATTCAACAGATATATTCTTTGTAATGAGAATTTTAAGTTTGCATTACATTGCAACAAATTTTGGAAATTATTATATATAAAAATTCTATGAATTTTTTACATGTTTTCTTATTTATTTATTATTTGCAATTTTAAAGTAAAAGTATTGATTTATTTTTCATTTTTTGTTTGTTAATGCCCTGTGCTATGCTTTTCATTTATTGTTTTTAACAAATTGTCCACATGCATTTTTTGAAAGTCAATTCTAAAAATTGTTTTACAGGCATAAGAACTCCCGCAATTTACTTTGTTGATTTCTTGAACAACAAAATATACATGGAATATATAAAGGACAGCATCACAGTGAAGCAATTCATCAGTGAGAACAATGTTGAAGGTGCTGATGATTTTGAACAGTCCAATTTGTACAATGTGGCACGTAACATTGGACATATAATCGCCACAATGCATAATGATGATATTGTTCATGGGGATTTAACAACTTCAAATTTTCTCGTTGACACATCTAACAACCAGATTGCAGTGATTGATTTTGGGTTAGGTTCGACAGTCAGTACTTTGGAAGACAAAGCCGTTGATCTGTACGTTCTGGAGCGTGCCATATTGAGTTCACATCCAAAGTCCGTTAAGTTTATTGAAGAAATAATGAAATCGTACAAAAGTAACATAAGTGCCTCGATCGTTGGAGTTTTAAAAAAACTTGAAGAGGTACGACAAAGAGGTAGAAAAAGGTCTATGGCTGGCTGATACTATCGGACCAATCAATTGTTTTACTGAATGTTTATAGTTTTTTTGTAGAATGTTATAAATATTTTTAATATTTACAACATGTTTGGCAAAAATTATAACCTGAAATCTTTTGCTGGATTTAATGTGTTTTGTGAGTTAGCCCCAAATGTTTACAACGTCGTTTGTAAAGTATTTTCATAAAGTTTGTGCAGCTCTCATCCTTACGCGAGTTACTTTGAAATGAGTAGCTAACAAATTGTCGACAAATAATGCAGGTTTTTCAAACGCGTATCAAAATGTTTTTATAGTTGATTGTGTTTTTTAAATTCCAGTATTTTATTTCGAGGCTTTTGCTAAAATACTTAACCTGATGTGGCTAGTAGAAGTTTTTTTTTGTAATCTTGTCTTTGTTGTTATTTGTTATGTTTCCTAATAATTTCTCAACGCTTGCAACTAAATGTAAGCGTAAAACTCAAAATTAAACGAATGTCGTTTTCTCAAAATTGCTTTCTCCTACACAAGTGTATGTTGTTAGTCATAGTTTTGGAAATGTTTTAACTGGCTTATTTTCTTTAAGAGTCAATCTAATGATACAATGAAGCTAGATTTTTAAGAAGCTATTTTAAAAAAGCGATAACTGGAATCTAGTTAATCAAGATGTCCTTCACCGCGAGGCAATCGTTTGTTCTGAAAGTTTTTTCAGGTATTCTATCTTCTGTCCTACTCCTTGCTTGATATTTCAATGAGTCTTATGAGACCATCATATTTTTTTCTAGCATCGTTTAGGTCTTGGCACATCAGTAGATGTTTCTTGGAGAATTTTCGATGCGTATTTTTACGCACATTACTTAGCTTAACACATAAGCCATCAGTAATTAGTTAAAAGGTCTTCATATTTTTTACTTGTGTTGCTTCATTTTTTTCATTTTCTTGGATTTCGAACAAACTTGGTTAATGCTTATATTGATATTGCAATTTTTAACGTCTGCAATCGATTTTGTTGTGCACAACTGATCTATTTCTACAAAAAAGAAATGATGTTTTAATTTATATGAAGGACTATTTTTAATTTTTTACGAAGAACTATTATACAATGCTTTTGTCATATTTGTCCATAAGTTCTGATGTTATTCACAGGCATTGCTTACGAGACTGGATACAAAAATTGTCGTGTTTGTAACGAATGTACGGTGAACATTGTTTGAAACGTTTCGATTAGTGAGCCACAAATTTAACTATTCTTCAGCTGGAATACATTTAATGAATTTTGAACTATTGAATTGTTCCAAGATATCTATTCCATTATTGACTTAACGATTCTGTAGTTGTATTTTGTTTTTAAGTTTTATTCAATTTGTGCAAGTCGCAAATCAATAGTGAAACAGGAGGAATGCAGGAAAGCGTTCAACAATCCATCCATCTAAGCAGTACAATTCGTGGTTAGAAGCATCATAAGAGGAACGTTCAGTGCGATGTTCGAACATGTTTCAGGTTCAATTATTAATGAGAATCGATGTACTTCTCGTAAAAAAAACTCTGTAACCAAAGAAACGAAGTAAATCTCTGCTGAGTTACATGCTTTGTGAAAAAACGCTTCAGCGCACGAAATAAACACGCACGCGCTTGCATTATTTAAAACGCAAGTTATATATATATATATATATATATATATAGACACATACATACATATGGGTGTGTATGTGTTTTTATTTGCGTGTGTTTGAAAATATAATAATAACATTTAACAGAGAACAAATTAATTGTTGTATTTTAAAATGTGGCCTCCCCTCTTCCCAAAACACATATACGCTCGTATCCCACAAACACATAAAAATAAATATGTTACAAATATATACTATACACACACCAATAACTAAGAAATCATTTACACACGCGCGCGCGCACACACGCATACACATATATGATGCGTATATTGTATGACAGTAACACTTGAAGACAGGCAACAACATGTAACAAGGTGATGATCATAATTTTAGGTTGTACACACATAGACATTCAAGCACACAACGATATATATTTGTATGATTAAACACAAAATTCTTGTTATGCATTATATATCAATTGATTACACCAAAAATAAACCTGTCTACATTTTAACTAAAACAATTTTATATTGAATTTAAACATTTAAGTGCATTTTGTTGTATAAATTTTGAAAAATTAATTTATTTTGAAAGATGAAAGCCGTTCTGAAGCACGGGAATAAAACTTTCCAACTAGCCGCAAAGAAAACATTCATTGGCAGACATGGACAAAATGACATAGTTTTACCTGTAAGTTGTGTCGCTGTCTGTTAGCTGTGAACGTGTCATTTATTTGCCGATAATTGTTTAGAAGAGCCCATTGTGATTTTGACCGTTTTGTTTGTGTATATATACGTGCTCATTAGCGTCTGCTATGAAAAAATTTTTCAGTGAAAATGTTTAGGTAGAAGTCATTCTATTTGTGATTACTTGAAGATTTTCTCACATCAGAATTGCGCCGCTGATCTTCTGTTTCTTGTTTATCATTTTCATTTTTTATTCATTTTTGTTCTTTTCCATTGCCATGGCTGTTTACAAGCTCACCTTCTATAGCAAGCAACTGTTAATCTATGTACAATATATCTGCAAAAATACGCTCGCAGGAAAATATGGAAAACTAAATAATATATAAATATGCTTGTAAATAGTTAAACAAATGGAAATAAAATTATCTATTGTTCCATTCAAACAATCAGTCACCTTCCGTGGATTCTCAACACGCCCTCATTGAATGTGACCTGAAAAGTTTTGATTATTACATTAAAGATCTGAATTCGGAAGAAGGAACATACGTCAACGGTGTTCCAATAAGAAACGCTAAAAAATTATCTAATAATGATAATATTTCCTTTGGGTCGCTTATATTCGAATTCATATCTAACGAAAGCGACAATGTGAGTCCATTTTTCAATTGATTTTCAAAGTACAACATTAAATTTTTTCTAAAGTAGGTAAGAATTCATACTCACAAATTTACAGAACAGATCTGTAACACCTTCGGTTTCATTAAATTACGGATCTAGAAGTATGATTTTACCTGAATTGAAAAGTAAAGCAGTAGATTCTGGAGGCAATATTCTGATGATTGCCGATGAAATCAATCCGTCGGATAAATTGATCACGAAATGCCACAGTGCGCACGAAGCCAGGAAAGGAGTTTTGTTGAAGAAGAAAATGGCCTGGAATGGTACCTATATTCTTTTAACAACATTTTTTAACGATGTAAGCTGATGATGTTGTTATTAACCATGTTATATGATGTTGTTAAATGCCGATTTATATTTTTCAATTTAAAAATTTTGTGTATTATTTAGGACCTTCACTGAATAAAGTGATAAATATCATTTTATTACCATCCACTATGTATGTTGTAGCGTTGTTTTTCGATCTTGCGTTCAAATTGAGTGCGTTCGATTTGCGTTCAAATGCGAAGCCATTATCGTGATTTAAAAAATAAGGATTGAGTGAAGATGAGAGGAGCGACAAAATAAATTCACCTGCTGTGGAAATGAGAAAAATGATCATGATTAAAGATGAACAGCTCAGAGAAAGATCACTTCAACTTCACGAGAACAAGATAAAATTGGATCGCTTGCAAAATACCGTTTATTCACTCCAGAAACAACTGGAAGAAAATTCTTTGGTTATTAACTAATTTACATTTTTACAAGCTTATATTTAATTGTTGCTGGCTTTAGTGTTGCTTTTCGAAATGATTATATTTTAAAAATAATATTAAATGCACTTACAATGAAAAACATTCTTTGCAAATTATAAATAATTAATTTAATTACATAAAATACACACAGAAATAACAAAATGTATATATCTCAGCATAAAAATTATTCATCAGTCTGTGAGCAGACTTTGCTACTAAAATTCTGAAATTCATTTGTAGTATATTTAATGAACAACACTTAATGTTATGTTCCGTGTTTTAATTTGTGTTGTATTATCAATTTTATCTAAGTGGGTTCTTGAAAACGTCAAAAATTCATTGAAAATATATTTATTGAAGAAAGTACAAGCCATTGATGACAACGAACTTGATTCAAACCTAGCTGATGAAAGACTAAAAAAGGAGTTGATGGACGTACGTCAAGTTTTCGAACTCGAAGTTAAGGTTAAAATTTATGAACTTGTTGGAACTTCTTGAACCATTTGTGAGCAATCCGATGTTTGTCTTTCAATATTCATTATTGTTTCTTCCAGAAAAATAATGAGTTGAAATGCGAAATGACTCAAATGAAGCAGAAACTTGAAACCGTGGAAAGATCGTTACTGACGACATCTGTTACATTGGAACAAACAAAACAACAGGTTTCAGTTTTTCTTTCCGAATACCAGCAATAAAAATGACTGTCAAATTTTTTATGTTGTCGCCACAAAATGGCTGTGTTAATTTTAAAACAAACTAAGATTTCAAAAACAGGACTAACTAGTTTTTTGGAAGCCATTGATTATCTTCAACAAATTTTAAGCGTTAAAATAAAATCTTCCATACCAATACATATCTTAAATATTTTTGTATCAACATTGAAAAGTATCTAGACTGGGCATGCAAATGTTTTTGTGTAATACAAACTGATACATATTAACATTTCCCAATGCATAAAGGTAGAAAAGTGAAACACGACAGATGGTCTTCATTAATTGCAATCTGATTTTCATCTTAACTGTTTTTTCCAGTTGAATAAGTTTAAAGGATTGTTGACACAACTGATTTACTGCGGAGTTGAATGCAACAACTTTGCAACAAATGAAGATGAAATTTATGTGGCGGGAAAGTTGTTACTTAGCTCAAAATCGAAAATACTTCTAGAAAATCAGGTTGAGTATGCTTGAAATATTTATTTGAACAGATTTTTTTTTTTTAAATTTCACATTTTTTATAAATTCATTGCGCTATTTTTTAGTAAAATTTTATAAAATTTTTAATAAACTATATTTAATTTGGGAAACACTTTCAAAATAATACTACTAAATTTTTGTAAATTAATTTATTTGTTCTCATACACTGAAATCGCGATTGAAACTGATCTAGGTATATAGGCCTATACATGTAAAATCATATTAAATATGAAACTAAGATTTGTTTGAAAAATGTATGATGATTTATAGTTCACAAATTGCATTTGGTTCGTTGTCAATTAAGCGAACAATTTCCTACAGAATATGAAACTGCTCTTGAAAGATAATTCTACTTTCCAAGAGGACATTGAAAGATTTAAATCTGAAGTCCTCGTCTTATTGGTATTTCTTTCCAATTCTAATTTTATTTTGAACACACCTGCTTACGATTAAATAAAACTGTTCAACATTCATAAATCTTGAAATTAAAGAAGATATTGCTAATACGTTGATATTTTTTTATCATATGCTTGAAAAATTATGCGGTGGTCTGTTGTGTAACAACGTACAACGAAACCATACTTTGTGTTGCATTTATTTCATAAATAAACTGTTACAACATATTTATTTATTTGATAATACGCTGTTTGATAATGCTGTGGATCGCGACAGTCAGTCGAAAATGTTTAAGGCCAACAAATCTGAAATTCAAATTTATCGTTATGTGCTTCTCTTTTTATTGACAAACGCTTCAGAAAACTTTCACCTTTAAATATTCATCGCAAATGATTCATGTTTTTTTTATAAATTAGACTTTAAATTTATATTCTGTTTCAACGTTTTTCGTAGTTCTTTCCTACTCTTTATTTCTTAGAGCAATTTGGATGAAGAAGGATGGTCTGCTTTCAGCGTCAACAAAATGTTGGATAGTTTGAAATTGATAGAGTTTGATGGCATCTACATGAAAAGGATTCAAGATCTTGTAGATGAGCCACTAAAACACTGCCATGCTTGGTTGAGATCACTGGAGGTCTTAATGAATACCATGTCAGATTTTAAGAAACCATTTGGTGAGTACGCTTGCTTCTTTTAGGAACATAAAAAACCTAGATAATATTATATCCAAAATAATTTGCAAATTGTGTTTTTAAATTTCAATTTTTGTTATTAACAATGTTGTATATTAGACAAAACTTTTCATCATTAAAATTAGATTTTTTATGAGACGGCGTGCACGTAGTTCTCTTGTTTATTGTAAGACTTACTTCGATTTGTTGATCCGCCCGGAGTCTGCGTTGTATATGTATCAATTGTCAATTTTTGTATTTAACAATTAAAAAGATATCAAAGAGTACATAACTCGATCGAACCAACAACTCAACATTTTCAACCTGAAAGAAAACATCAACATAAATTTTAATAGCCACCTTAAAAAAGATCTTCAAAAGTTCAGCTCAGAAATAAAAGCTGCAATTGACCATGTTGAAAAGATTTTTGAAAATGGAATTATTTCCGTACATAGCAAATGTAAGCAATCTATCATTTGTTCAACTTTGAATTTCTGACTTTCGATTTATTAAATTACTACATTCAGGTTTAGAGTTGCTGAATGATCAGCTGAATGTTCACAGAGCTAAACTCAATGACGCAAAACGTTGTGTGATCGAAGAAACAAACGTTAATGAAAAACTTTCTGAAAAATTGGAAATCTTAAAACATGTAATTTGTTTTTAAATTTGTACACGATTAATGATGATTAAGGGTTGTTAGTTAATGATGAGTGGCTGTTTATAACGATATTGAAGTTGTCTGTAAGACGGAGCGATATTGGAAAGCTTCTGATGCATCGTAACGGGCAGCGTCTCTATAACAATCTTTTAAATATTTTGACATACCCATACCTGCTAGGGTATGGGTATGTCAAAAATCTAATGAACCAAAATTTGGTAAATTATTTTTATCTTATTTTTAACTACCGACGTCAAAACGATACAAAAAATCAGTCGATTTGATATTGAAAAAGTTTAGTTTATTGTTTGATGGCAGCAGATATGTGACCTGCTTAACAAAAGATTTCAAAATTAAGAACGTCGCAACAAATGAAAAACGATTGTGACATTTATAGGCAGCCCCAATCACTGAGATGATGATACGATGGTGATGATAATGTTGATGATAATAACAATATCTTAGGAGCTTAAGAAGAAGGAAGAAGAATTTAGAAAGTTACAGAAGCACCTAAAATTGATGAAAATTGAAAAAGTATGTATCTTTCCAATCTTGTGGTTTGATATTCGTTTGAATTGCCATTTCATGTTATTCTCATTATTTACCTTATTCCAAGGTAGAGTAGCAATAAAGTCACAAATTTGTTTTATCTTATATAAAAATATGGACATATGACATATAGACGGGTGTTGATTGTGGATGATTGTTTTATGACGCAAACCTGTACCGATAAAAGCAGTAGCCTACCATCCTACTTATTATAATTCTATTGCACATATAAATTCAGCAAATTTTACAAATGTATGTTATTATTTTGTTTTTATTTAGTTTTATTGCGTAAATAAAATATTTCTGGAGAAAAAATTTTTTTTGGCATGAAGACAACCGTACGTTTTGAATTTTGCATTGTAAATAAATATTTGAGCATTAATAATGATGGCTGCCACAGGGACAAGCCGAGGAAAACAGCATAAAATTCAAAGAACGAATCGAAAGTTTAAGCAAGAAACTGAAAACGTTGAACACCGACTGCGAAAAAATGAAATACGAGCACCAAAATACTTACTCAAACATGCAAACTAAGATAAACAGCCTGCAAGAGACCATTTCAGCATTTAAATCCAAAGAAGAGCAATACGAAATTGAATTATCTTCACTGCGTCTGCAAATGTTAAACGATCGACTCCAACTTGTTTCCCGCTCGTCGCAGACCGATTTTAAGAGTTCCGAATGTAACTGCGAAAGTACAGACGCAGCAGATCTCACTAATGATGAACAAGTTTTTTGCACAGCAGTCCACAATGAAGACTCGCAGTTAATAAAAATTGATTTCGAAGAGACAACAAACATCCCAACTTTTTCCGAATTAGAGACTGACACGCTGGTGGATGTTGTTCACACTAAAAAGGATGCACTTTTAAAGGATTCTTTCAAAAACAGCAGAAGTTTTGCTAAAGAGAAAAGTGCATTGTGTAAAACATCTAGAAACAAATCTGACGCACAAAATAATTCAAATGAACACGACAAGAAGACCATAAGTAACTTGAAGAAAGATATTTCAGTGCTGGTATCGAAACAAACAGACATGAATGGTATATACGTTATTTATTTTTAGTTTTCAGTTATTTTATGTTAAGTTGATTAATTATGTACAGAATATTTTAAACAAAAAGTTTATGATTCACTTGAAATAAATTTTTTCAAGTTATTAAATGTTATCAAACTCTGATTTTAAATTATTTATTTTTTATTCTGAATTGAATTCACTTTGAGCCAAATTGGAAAATATTTTAAAATCCTCCTGCTTAACAAGATTGTCATAAAAAATTCTTATGAATTCCAAAAAATTAAATCATAGAATTAAAAGAGTTTCATCGGAAAGAGATAAATTCAATGTCAGAAAAGTTTCAACAAATGCGCACCAAACTGAACAGATCGAACCATCAAGTCACACAGCTGGCCCAACTCGTGGACAGACAAAAATCTCAAATTGAAAATCTTCAACTGGATTTAAAGTTTTTAATTTTTACATTTTTCAAAATAATTTTTGAAGGGGGAATTTAATTTTAAGAGGCCAGTTTTAGAAATTCTAGCATTTAATATCGATAGCTATTATAGATAATTACTTCAAAAATTATTTAAATTTTACTTCTCACTTTTTCCACATTTTTATTCTTATATTTAGCAATCTCGGTTTTCAAGATAATAACCGACACAATTTTGTAGAAGTAAATGTTGATTAAATTTATGTAAATAGATTCAAAATGTAATGTCCTACAGTTACTAAATAAACATTTGAATTGTTAGAAAGCAATCAGCGGTTATAGACGAGTATCAAACGAAACTGGAGAAACAAACTGTTGATATGAGAATCCTGGAAAACCTCTTGCCATCAGGCAACAGTGCTAATGAAACACACAAGGTTCTTATTAGCTGTGGAGTTCTTTGGCGATGATGATTGAAGCTTCATTAATTAATAAATTAATAATTATTCTCACATCAGTTTAAATAGTTTCTGCACTATATTCAATATTAATATTTGATTTTACGATGAAACAAATATTTTGTTAGGCTGTAATGCTACCTTCAAGCAGTGATCTGATTGAAATTGGCGCTTTGTGCAAGGAGCAAATGCACGCACAAGTGATTGAAAAACAGAAAATAACTTTGGTCGAGACGAGGAAAATGTTGAAAAAAATGCAACATGTTCAACAGCTGATTGATAATGAAAGTGAAGTTTTTTATTTGTTTACGTGGTGTATAAATGTGAACAGTTTTTAATATTTTGGGCCAAATTTTGTTGCATTAGGACTTATTTCCTAGTTTACAAAAATCGTTATTGATATTTTGCTACAGAAGAGTTGACAAATCTTCACATAATAATGAAAGAAGTGCTGTTAATGAAAAAAGATCTGGACCTCATAAAATCGACAAACTTGGCAGCCGCTCCTGATCTTTGTGTGCCTCAAAAAGTTTTTGAACTTTTATCATCGTTTAGCGAAATGTCCACAATTGATGTTTTTGTTAATGAAGCTGGATGCGATGAAGATCAGATTCAGAATACTCATGGCAGTTTGGATAATGTTGACAAGTTAACATTCTTCGTATTTTTTCTTCATTTCGGGAACTTATTATTCTGAAACAAAACTTTCTCATTTGTGTAGCCATCATTTATTAATAAAATGTTATTAATAAAAAAAATTTTGATTCAAGATCCGCATCTTTGTTGGAAAGTTCATCAAGAAGTAAAAGCAAATTTGTAACTCAAAATGTGTTTGATATGGAGTATGAAGCTCATAAACAAACGAAACACTTGCTAGATCTCTCTGAAAAATCTGTTAGTTTTTTTGCTTCTATGGAAACATTGTTTTGGAAGTTTTGAAAATTCGCCGTCTCCTTAGATTACAATATAAGTAATAAATATAAATAATTATTTACATGCGGAGAAGTTTTGATTAACTAAGAAGTAATAATTTAATTTTTAATTTAGACGTATGATATCTTAAAATGAAAAGTTTCCATTTTAGGTACAAATATTCCATCCGCCCACATTCTACATATTACATGCCTCAACTCACTTTGTATTCGTGAACATTTATTAAATTACGATCGTATTAAAACTGCGACAGGAGACGAAAAATTTTATGATTCGGCTGCGATGTTAATGTTAGCGTAAGTTGAGAAGAAATAATTTCACAATAATGTATATTTTTATATTTTTAGCTAAGCGACTCTGACTTAAAATCACTTCTTACTTAGGCTACTCTAATTTTTTGTGTCAAACCTTAACTACAAGTCTGGTGTAGACGGTGTAATAAGCATTTGTGTTTGCACCATACGCATTCGAATCACACCAACACGCAATAACAACACAACTCAATTTACGAAATTTTTACCAGTTCGCGCTAATTCGCTGATGAATTTTAATAATGAAAGATGAAGAGTTTTAAATTCATACAGTATTCAGAAACCATCTGTAACATAATAAATGTTCTTGAAATGCCATGGATGGAAACTGGCGACCAGCAACAGTTTATATCCTTGAACTACACGCCATCAAACAAATATGAGGTGTCGGAGTTAAGGGCGAAAATTTCTGAAAATATTATGCAAAAACTGAAATCTATAATGTTAGAATTGTCTTGGAGTAAAAACGTTGCAAAAGAATACGAAGAGAACAAGAATCAACTAAGGTTTATATATATATTATTAAAATTTTCTATTGTTTTTTAAATTAAATTGTTTTGAAAGATTTAAAAAAAATTTTTGTTGCAACTTTCGTAAACTTTTTTGATTCAACTATTTTTTTCGAATATAACAAAATTGTTTAGCCTTCATGCGAGATATATATGTAATATATATACGAGGTAATAAACATAATATCATACATTAAGGAATTGTTCGGCTTTTCAAAAGATTCGTATATATATATATATATATATTTATTTATTTATTTATTTATATGTAAGTATATATATATATATATATATATATATATATATATATATATATATATATATATAATTCATTCATTTCATATATTTTTGTAGACAAGCAGAAGTACTTGTTGAAGAAACAAGTGGCAAGTTGGACTTCATGACGGTTCGTACTGCAATTTATTATCTTCAATTCCCTTGTTTTCTCTCGTGTAGTTTTCTCATTTATACTATTTATATTTCTCAACCATTGCTGAAATGATTGCACACAATTATCCCCCTATACAAAATTACTTCGAGAAGAACATTCATGAAATTTTTAAAATTTTGTCTTAATTATATGTTGTCTGTGAAGTTTTCTATGTTTCAAATCCTAATTTTTTAAAGCAATGAACAAAAAGGAAGAATGGCGTACGGTTGAAATAAAATTTTTTTACGTAAATAACGAAAATTTAATTGATAAAATAATTTACGTTAATGTCATCGCGTGTATGATCGATCAAAGTTTACACGGAAGATTAAATAAATATGAAATAATTACAGGACAGCGTTGTGAAACAAAAAGAAGAAATCATGCTGCTAAAAGAAGCGTGCCGAAAAGTTAAAACTGAATTACACAAAGAGAGACGGTTAAATGAAAGCATCAAAATTAATAAGGTAGTACTTCATTATTTTTTTTACAGAATCAGCAGAACGTTTTTTTTGTAACATTTGACAAGTTTTTAAATTTTGCTCAGCGATATATTTTTAAAAGCTGTTCAACTTTTTTTATTAGATTTCCACAATAATACTGTTCCTTATATTTCTATTTCTAACTTATCAATTGGAAGTTTTTCAAACTGGCTTGAATTGTTATCACAATAATAATAATAGCGTCAGTCTGATGAATATTTTATTTTCAGTCGTTTCATTTTGAAAGAGAGTTTTCGATGAAACTTGGATGGCCCAAGCACGATTGCATTAAAGATGATTATGTAGGCACTACATTTTATGAATTTTTATCTTCATTTTGTTATTTAATATGAATAAAAATATATTTAATTATTTCAAGAGCAAAAAATCTGTTGACATTGGGAACAGAATTGGATCTAGCAGATGTTCAAACAAATCTGTTTCTAATGCAACTAAAAATAAATTGACCATCAAAGTTCTTTCCAACACAATTGATAATTAACTTATTTTCAATAAAAATTATATGAATATAATTTTTTTAAGTTTTTATGCAATATTTAAAAATATATATTAGTTCAGTAATTACAAAAGTGTTGGTTTGGAATTGTTATTTAATGTGTACAACAGATACTGGCATTTTAATTCCATATCTTGTCTCCATTGCCTGGTTCCATGCTGGTGATTGAACTAAATTTGCTTCTGGATGGTGACTTTTCAATTCAAAAACCGTACCTTTTGAAGTATTTTGCATGTTGACATATTTAAAGTCCATGTCGTTAGAATTTATCTTATTGGTTTGATGATAGAGATAATCTTTAATTTTTTGCAACGACACATCATTATTAACCAAATATGCTCTTAGACCAGCCTTTTTCGCTATTTTTACGTACAACACTCTGTCGTCAAATAAAAAAATTTCGCTTGGTTGTATTGCAACGTTGTGAGCGTTTTGAATTCTTTGAACAACTTTGTCTAAATGGTTTTGTTTGCCAACTTTGTAAACTTCCAAAGATAATTGTGGATTAATTTTACTCGGATTTGCTTCAATTAAAATTTTATCTGTGTTACTGCGAAAAAAAATATTTTTTTAAAAATTTGTAATATAATTTCAAGTTTAAAAATGCTTACTAATTGGGAAAAATATGACGCAAAACTTTTGAAATCAATCCGGGTTGAACTGAAAATGTCACTATGCACAATTTGAAAGAACCATTCTCTAGAGCTGCACCTATCAAGTCCTTGAAACATGGTCTAACATGTGAAGCCAATTTCTCAACAGAACCCTTCCACTTTCCCCCTGTGTTCAGGTCAACGAGGGTTAAATCGAAATCAAACGCCAGTAATTTTATTCCTAAATCTCTCTGTAATGTTTTTAAGATATGTTGAACAACATTAGAGTTAGAATTTAACACATTAGTCCACCATTTATCAGACATTTTTACATTCAAACTATTCGTAAAAAATCTTCCGTCAAACAAACTTGTTCGTTGATACAAATTTTTATATTTAGCAATGAAATGTAATGTATGTAAAGGAGTATATAAGTATATACTTTAAACGTTTATTTCTGTATGTATATATATATATATATATATGTGTGTGTGTTTGTGTGTGTATATATATATATATATATATATATATATATAAATTATAGCACGACACGAATATTTTCAAATAGCTAGTAAGCTGAAAAATTGATAATTTACTATGAAGGAAGGAGTAACCTAGGCACAAGTGCGACAATGAAAGGCATTGATAGCTTGCCATGAATTGCATTGGGCTTATCATACCTTGAAAGTTTTTATAACATGTCAATATTGCGAATTAATTAAAAATAAAATTACGAATATAATTCGAATATGTCAGAAATAATGGAAGCAGACTACATCGTAAGAAATTTGTTAATGAACAATCTCAACATAAAGTTAGTGGCTATTGATTTGGATCGTACACTCCTCGATACAAGTGTTGCCAGGCATCCATTCATGGCAGCGAAAGATGTGGCAAAGTACCATGTAAAGGCAATGTTTCGCATTTTGGTACCAATAATTTTAGATTCTCGCTTAGAATGCTGCATAGTGACTTATACGTGGCAAACGAAGCTCATTCGTAATATACTATCCGCAGCTTTTCCTCACCAGTTAGTATGAACAACAATGTGATGTCAATTTTTTGATTTTTTTGGCTAAGTTTATTAAATTTGATTATGTAGAAATTGCTTAAAAAAATATTTTCCATACATTCAGTGATACGAGTCGTATTAGAATAGAGGGTCCCAAACAACCACTGCCTGGGCTTTATTTAATAGGAGAAAAATTATATGGAAAAGAAAAATATTTGGAAACTATTCTATCATTAATAAAAGCTGAAAAAAATCTTCATATTAAAAACGATGAAATATTTTTGTTTGACGATAGTCAGAAAAACATAGATGCAGCGATAAAAAACAATCATTACTATTATAAAGTAACTGACCAATCGTCAGTGCAAGATTTAAGAAAGCACGTCGAACATTTTATAAGACAAAAAGAAAATGTCTACAAGCCTGAAAAGGATATTGTTCAACCATATTTAATCAACAAAGTGGCCATCGATAACTCTGTTATCCAAACAAACAACGTGCCACATCCACAAACAATTTTTATACAGCCTAATATTTTAATTTTTCACTCTCTCTCTCAAGATAATACTCTTTTTTAATATGCCGTGCATATAAATACATTTGTACACTTTTATTGACATTTATTAAATGTGTTAATCGAGGAATGCACTCCCGTAATTCTCATTTAGATTCAGAACTTATAAATGTATATAGAAAATGACTATAAACATGTTAAAAATGTTACTGAGTCTATTTATTGTTTTCTCTGTGCATCTCCGCACTCCGTTTAAATATGTATGTATTTAAGTATGTGCTGGTACGTGTAATGTACTGTTGTTAACTTTAACGCTCGTCACTACCAACATTAACTTCAAGATCTCTCAAGATTACCAGTGTTGTAGCTTCAAGATTACCAGTGTTGTAGCTTCCAACCATCGTCAAGTTATCTTTATTCCGTAAGTTTAAGATTTCCGATAGATGAACAAAACTGCTTCAAACGCAAACTTTTTTGAACACGTTTAGTTGATTACCAACACTAAACTAATCCAAGTAACTACGTAAATCACAGTTACAACTTCTCTTCAAACTTTGCTGTTCACTTCGCTACTCCTGCCCATTCTATACAAGATATAACAGTAATTATAAGTATTATTTTTATAGCCATGTCACTCGTTTTGTTATTTTTGATGATTTTTTGTTTTACCGTTATTATTATTTCAGTGTTAGTTAATTATTTTACAGTTTTTAAACTCGTAAAATTACTGAAATCACACAAATATTGTTTTGTAATAAAAATACTAAATTTGTTTTGAAATAAAAATACTAATTTTGTATTGGAAATTAAAGTTAAACGAACCATGTCAAATATTCAACTTAGTATAATTTTGGATTTATGTCAAAATTATAAAAGGTTATTTTGTGATCGTAAGATATAGTAGTTCGACTATATAGTAATTTATGAAATATACCGAATTTCTGGTATTAGATAGTTTTTATTACATTTCTCAATATTTCTAACAAATTCTTGTCGTCATTATTTATTTTATTAAAGTAAGATTAATATACAGTTTTCCAATTCATTCTAGAGTGTTCGATATTGTTAGGTTTTTTAAATGTAGTGGCAATTGATTCCGAAGTTCAAAAATTCTTTTTGCTTCTCAGTTAGGGTGTGTTGGCTTAAGTTAATAAATTTATCGCTCATCGCATCATTGTGACCTTTCTTAATAAGAGTGGCCAATTCTTTGTGATTGTTCAAATTGATTATCTGTTGGTAGCTTTTGGCAATTTCTTTCAAGCATTTGGTTATATCTTGTTAAATGTTATCGTCGATATTACATTGTGTCCACTGGTTTTCATAATCCCTTAGTTTTTGAGACAAATGGGTGACTACATTTTGCTTCGCTATTAACTCACGAGAAAGATAGATCATTCGTTGCTCACGTTCATGTTCGCTTGTTAAGTTTCTTCGATTGGTCGTAGATATTTTAGTGAATGCTTGTAAAATACCATAATTAATGTAGTAATTTATGAAATCTACCGAATTTACGGCGTTGGATAGCTTTTTATTACATTTCTCAATATTTCTAACCAAATTCTTGTCATTATTAATATTATTAAAGTTAGAATAATATACAGTTTTCCAATTCATTCTCGAGTGAATATTGAGAAATGTTTGTGCGTGCGTGCGTGCATTGCATACACGTTGTATTGTGTGCGTTTATGAAACGTGAACGCTTCCGTTTATCGTTAAATGCAGGTGCTACGGTTTAATTCCTACATTGAAATTCTATATCGTGCTTTCTTGCACTAATCACTGAACCCCTATATTAAATAATGTTTTATTCTTTGAATGCTTTGAAACAATATAGTAAACATATAAATGCTAAAAAAATGATGACTTAAAAAATTGACAAGTCATTTTCATATCTTTACTGTAAATAAAATATGACCCAAACAATTCCAGGTTGACGTTCAGATATAATAGCCAAGTTTATTTCATAAAGCCTGTTAACAAGTACACTGCATATACAGCCCAAGCATGCAACAAAAATTTTATCTGTCCGCCGAATTGTCGCTTCAAGTTTTTCTTGCTTCTACACTGAATATACCGGATTGACTTTTGAACAAATTTTAGACTCAAATTTTTTTGCAACCCCTTCATGAAATGCAAAACATTTTATTCTATGTAAATATGCATGAATACGACTAAATGTGATAAACGCGAAAGGCAGATAGAACAATAAGAATTAAACTAAGGTTACCTAGATTAACTTTTAATCGTAAGCAGTCTGAATTTTCGTTACAAACTTCCACCATGTCATAGTAGCGCCGGTACATGCTTTTGCCAAAATTGCCTCGGCACGTGGAATTCACTTTACCACGTTTTTTATTTAATAACAAATTCTGCAGCGGTTATAGGAATCTTGTGAGGCATTAAAACGGGCTTTACACGCCAGTCACACCGAGGACTCCGCGATCGTAGAAGTTTATTAGAAGCGTTTACTTTTATATACTGTGTACTCCTTCGGTTCAACATTGAAGCGCTTACTCCTACTGTCGTCGTCGTTCTAAAAAGCACAAGTACACGCCCACATATTTTAAAATGGCCGTGGCAATGCGTTGCGAAACAAAAATTAGAGATGCGCGAAGACCACGCTATAAGTTTTAAGTCGAAACGTTTAAAATTTAAAAACAGTACAATAACTGGAGAACGTACACAAGATATAACATGTCTGCCATCAGTAATGGTAGGTGATGAAATTGTCTTCAAGGACAATCGACTAAGAGCCATTTGATAATTGTCATCACGCGGCAGACAGAATTTATTGAGTTACATCAAAAATACACCGCATTACAAATCCACATAAGATATAAAATAATCTTTAAAATAGATGCACAACAAAATGAAAGAAACAATTCAATCTAAATCACATTTGCGAATACTTAATCGCTTGCAATCCGCACAACAACGTTCACCGAGACAAGCCCTGCATAAAAACGGAAAATGAAGCGAAGCACGTGACCGCAAAGACAACGCAACTATTAATTTATTCAAAACTCGAAAATAATTTTTAATATATATATATATAATATATATAAAAATAATATATAGATATATATGATCGCTACCATATATATATATAAATTTGATATTGTTTAATTAATTTTTCGAATTTTGATAGACATATATAATTATTATTGATCAGAAAAAAGCTAATATAATTTAACAATTTGTTTATTTTTTATTATATTTTTTCCGTTAGTTAAGTGGCCGTACTGTATATATTTATATATATATATATATACATATATATATATATACATATATAAATATTTAGGATAAAATCACTACCAGTTCACGACAAAACATTTAAAAGTGTACGAGAAACTTTGGACGAATAATAATTATCTAAGGAAAAAATCAAAATATAGTAGACTTTTTAAAGATTCACTATCAGTTTTTACATTGTTATAAATTTAATACCTAAAAAATAGAGAAAGTTGCTCTTTGTTAATTGTTTAAAAAATATTTTTTATTAATGATCCTTCCACACTTCTGCCATAACGAAAACCTTTCCTGGAAGCTGGTGAATCGTTGCTATCTGCTGATCCCTGTGATTCAATTGAATTGAGACCGAAAGGAAGGGAACCAGTGTGATAAAAATAGGCCCGACCAGGGTTACCGTTTTTTATCGATGATGAGGAAGCGTAGTCACGAATCAATCTGTGGAGTAATACATTCCCATTGCGTTTGTCAAATTCTTGTTTTGCTTCAAAAGTTTTGGAATCATCAACCCAGTAACATTCGTCTTCAGCGTTGTTAACATTCTTGTCGGCTTGTTCTTTGACTTGGTGAAGTAATTGTTGAATATTAGTTAAACAAACCATTTTGCTTCCTGCTTTGTCGATTAAAACCCCGATAATAACAACACTAAACAAACTTCTTAAAGTAATTTTTGACATTGCATATAAATTAATTTAATTATAAAATAACCATAAAATTATCTTAATTTCGATTATTTCTTTAAAAAACGAATTCTGTTCTGAAAACTGCATTTGCTGCACTGTCGTATTTAAAGGTTGTTCATCGTCTGTGAAGTGACGTGTTTACGACATAATGATCAGATGACTCGCGTAGCAGAACAAAATAAGATAATCAGTAAGATTATCTTATCAGCATGGACTTCTAAACAAATCTTTTGAATTAGCGTGACAGACAAATGAGTTTAAACCTTTCATCTTGTGACAGTCTATTTTTTGAGAATTTGTCTGAAACTTCGTGATTACTTAATATCTAAGTCTGAATTAAACCCCACTATTTTAACTTTAGATAAAATCATAAATCTAAATAAAATAATATTTGTATAAATAATAAAATAATATATATATATACATATGTGTAAAAATATAGTTTTTTATCTATTTATACACGATACGCTTGTGTATAAGTGTAAATTTAAGAAAGAGTAAAGTTCAACTTTTTGAGGAGGAAGATTTCGAATGTTTTTTATTTTTTCCCCTTTTTGCTACAATTCGTGACCGCTAAGTTATTTATATTACTGAGACAAAAGCGAAACGGTTGCACAGACAATGATGGCAACCAAGGAATAAGATGATTGGCAATAGGGAGATCAGCCACACAATATATGAATAACATTTATAAACACAATAGGTCATTTCTGATAAGATTGAGACTATTAAAAACATGAACGCAGCTAATCGAAACCTACCTATGGCTAAGAGTGGACAAAAAATGAGTGAAGCCTTACAAATGAGGTGTTACAGAAAACTGCTAAGAATATCATGGGCTCAACACAAGCCAAACGAATGGTTGCTAGAAAAATTAGAAAAAGAAAGAGAATAACAAAAAAAAATGTAGAAGCTAAGTTATATTGATGTCATAGCTAAGAAATCAAAAAGTTTAGATAAAAGAAGGAGGAAACGGAAAGAGTGGGAGACAAATAAGATGTTGGATTGATTTCGATCAGGTTCAAAACTGAACCGTAATAGGCAACACTAAATTTTATTCGAGGATCAATTGTGTAATGAAACATCTTTCGCAAAAATTAACAACTTACATGTGGCATCATTAAATTTAATTAATTAAAAACTAATTTTTATTTATTTAACTGCTATCGATATTAAAAAGATATACAAATTTAAATGAAATAAATCATTGGAAATTTAAAATAATTTAAATGATTAAAACATTAAATATCATTCAATTCTTTTTTAAATCGTTCCGTTAACGGTTTCATACGATAAAAATCCCATAAATGGCAAACAAATTCTGTCACAGTAATCGCGTTTGTGTTATGACCGACAAGCCTCAATATGAATACACCATCTTGCTTCAAATAATCTTCAACAAATTTAACAACTTGTTTTTTATCAGAATCAAATTGTATTTTGTTCATTAGATGCAAATGTTTCTTGACGTAACGACGTTTTTCAACTCTAAGAGCGACTCGTGTCATCCAAGTAACAAGCGAAAATGCTAGAACAATTGACACGAGTGCTAGCCAAAACCATATAAACAGATAAATTTTTTCGTTGAATAGATTAATTGGCAGCACACACTGTACAGTATATCGTTGAACATTCCCCAAACGTCGAATCTTAAAATCGCACATAGTAACACGGGGAAATCGAGGTGAAACAGACAAGTTAGTGCCAATGATCGCGCTTTTTATAGCTTCAAACCCATATAGATGAAAATCCTGTCCAAGGAAGAAATTCAAGACAAACAATTGACTGACCACACATGCAAAGGAAAGGACTTTTACTGTTAAGTAGAGAAGAACGAGATAATTTCCTCTACGTCGTCCACACGATGAAAAGCAAGTGCGCGACAAAAAATGTTTTAAACTTATTGTACAACCCGTTGATACATCTTTTTGGCTTGATAGATATCTGCAAATAAAAAATTTATCAGTGCTATCAAGATTATCAAAGGATACTTATATTTTCAAAAAGCATTTTTTTAAATTTTAAATTTAATTAATCTAAACTTTCAGTCATAACAAAAAAATTATTTATCAAAAAAATATTACACACCGATCCATTTGTTTGATCATATATGAAAGAGTTTTCTCTTTATTTTCGGCAACATCAGCATTAGTGAACGTCTCACCAGCTTCAACAATTGTGTTAACATCTATTCCAGATTTGTCATTTAATCCTCTCCACAAAAGTATAGGAAGGTAACATAACAGCGCTTGCACAGCTAGTATCATAGGCATCCATTGGTAATAAGGAATAACTTGTCTTTTTTCTGACTCATTTTCTTTGGGAATGTTTTTTTCATATGGTAAATAATAAGTGTTTCTTATCCAGCAGAAGTTGTTTGTATATTCCTCATGGTTGCCAGTAAATTCTGCAGGCACCCAGCATTGAATTGGGTCACCAACGTATTGTTTCGTTGAGACTATAATAGCAAAAACCACAAATATGGCACTGGTGTGTCTGTACAACAATCTGTCTGAAAAATCATCATCGTTTCTTGATTTAGTATCTGGTATCTTGCCAACAGCACTAATAATCTTGTCCATTGTAATATAGTAGCTTCAAAAAAAAAAACATTTATATCATTAACGTGAAAAATTTATTGCTATCAAAATAGAATTACCTTGAGAAAACTATTGAGAAGTACTTAAAGAGTCATAAATAACTCTATGAAATGATTGCTATAATCTTTGTAATTTGATAACTAAGTGGTCTAATAAATGAAAATATTAAAAAAATCATTTGTAGCTATTCTACCCACAGAAGCTTTAAATAATTTCTTTGCTTTGTTGCATCCATTAAAACTCCCAATAATTTTTTTGGCTCCATACAATTTCAAAATTTTCAATAATTTCTTATTAATTAATTAATATATTTACAAAGAGGCAAAACAAAAAGGAGTGTATATATATATATATATTTATATATATATATATATATATATATATATATATATATATATATACACACAGACTGTCAATATCATTTCAGAGATGGCAAGTCATCTAGAGTACAAAATAAAATAAGCCTGCATATGCTACATGAATGAAATGTAATAAAAGCTTGCAAGGATGTCATTACACAAACATACTGTTATAATACTCGCTGTCGTAACCGATTTACGATACGACGGGTTCAAATCTTCGATTGAATAAAATACTCCAAACAGTTATTAGTTATTAAACTTTATTTACAGAAGAAATCAACTAATCGTTTATTTCTAGCAAATTCAAATTAACACAATTAACTTTTAAATTGTTCAAAATCTATCGCTATGACAATGTCAACAAAACAAATCAAATATGCTTTAAATAATTCACCGAATCGCTATTCACAAAATCACAAAGTCACGAATTTGCAAAGTCACGAATTTCACTAATCGCTAATCTTCTTGCGACGTGCGCTTATATACTCTTCGCAAGCGTTGTTTCTAAATTCTTCTAGATGGTTCGATTCTAGCATATTCTAGAATGTTCTAGTGCGTTTGGTAGCACGGTTATAACAATACATATTTACTAAGTACAGAGTATTTTAATGCATTGTCAAGTATATATTCTGTATATTTTAAAATTCAAAGTTGATAGTTTATTAAGATGTACTCATGAGTGTTCTTGACAATGCATTAAAATACTCTGTACTTAGTAAATATGTATATTTGTGTAATGACATCCTTATAAATATATAGAATATAAATATATATAGAATAAAAATATATACAGAAATTAAATTGCACCAGTGTCCTCACTTCCTTCGAATGAACCTGACTAACTATCTAAATTGATAGTTCAATCTTTTTTAATGAAATTAATAATAATGCTATTTATTTGATGCTCATTTTGATAGTGCAGGGATATGTAGGCCTGAAAAACAGACCTGATTAGATCATAAAAAAAAAACATTTGATTCTCCATGTCTTTCATTTTAAATTTTTAATTAAAACATAGTAAAGTAGACTGTGCCAGACTTCTGGTAGTCTTCTAAACTTAATGTTAGATTGTAATGAATGACATTTATTTTATTTATTATATGATAGACAAGGTGTATAGTTTTCTTCTTGCTCATCCTTAGTTATGAGTCAGTACAGTACTTTACTACACTACTATGGTTGTTAATGTTAAGAGTTACTGTTATATATAAGACTTAAGAAGGTTGCAAAACCAATCACATGTGTATCTGTTTCATGCATATGGTATTAAGTACAGATTATAGTGTATAATATAATATTATTATGATTATTGTGATAATTATACTATTATATAATAGTAGAAAGATTTGTCATAAAAAATTGACTTTTATTTAAAATTTTAATCTGACACTGACAACTGACACTGAAAGCTAAAAGAAAAAAAGTTATCAATACTAACAGATGATGATAAAAAAATATCAATACTAACAGATGATGATAAAAAAATTCCGTGGGATTCAAATTAAGAAGAACAACTCCAAAATATCGAAAAGAAATTCCTTTGAAAATTAGTTGATAAAAATGGCCAGGAACGAAGATGAATTAATTATTAATATTTTAAACAACACGATAACTTCGCGCTATTTTCGATTTTTAGATTAATTTTTAATCAGCCAAGAAGTTACATCAGTTGGATAAACAATATAATTTTATTTCTATTATGTTATTTATTAAATTTTGTTATTTTTTATTATTTTATATTAATAGAGTTCTGCGAAACCATTTGTATTTTGGTTAAGAAGTTTTTAATTTAACAACATGAAAAATGTTTGTAATTTTAATGAAAAGTGGTTCATCGTTAGCTAACCCCGAGATTTATGATGTAGTAATTTGATACCTTGCTGGCATATTTAGAACAGAATGTAATATATATATATATATATATGACTTAGAATAAAATAAAACAATGCAAAATAATAGTAATATAAATAAGTGTGATACAATACAGAAACTGTTTTATACGTATTTTGTAAAACGCAATAAGCAATATAATTTAATTTATAAGTTACTTTATTTCGAATCAACATCAAGTTATGGAATATGTATATCTTTACATTTATTATTTAACTTCATGTGTTATAATATATATATATATGTATATGTAATTTGTGTTTTTTGCTTATATGAATCAAATAGACACACTTGGTAGTCAATTATTGCGTGTTAATGCGTGTATATATATATATATATACCTATATATATATATATCTATATATATATATATATATATATATGGAAATGTATATATATATATATATATATTTTGATAACAGACTGTTGTTAACGCAACATTTCAACACTACATTCAACACTACTTTCAACATTGAAATGTTGAAAGTAGTGTTGAATTTTTGAAATATATATATGTATATATATATATATATATGTATATATATATGACTTCAATGTCAACACGAACAAGTGAACTTCGTAACGTGTAGTTAGTATATAATCTTCCAGCATATATATATATATATATATATATATATACATACATATATATATGTATATATACATACATATATATAATATGTATAAACCGCACTGATAGGTATACAGTAACGATAACAGGCTGCTTATGTGACAGACCTTTGTTGCATAAATTATAATTTTACATCGTAAGGTCAAAATAGTTTCATTTCATTCATGTTCTGTCGACCGCATAGAAGACATTGTATAAAACACATGTTCAATTTATATATCATTGAAACACAGTTATTATGTATTTTTAATGTTATGCCTGTCGGTATGTGGTATAGACATATATATATATATATATGTTACACACGTAGAGACGTACCTATATAGAAATATACCTATATATTACATACAATGTATATATATATATATTATAAATCTTTAAAACAATTTTTCATTTTTAAAATCGTTAATTTAATGGATGTTTGCGCCGTGATATTTTTTAACTCGCGGACCACCCTCAGCCATTATTTACACGTAATGGTATTTAAAGGTTGACCCCGGCACAACTTGTGTTTTCAAAGCAGCTTTTGCTTTAAATGATGTTTTTATTGGAAATAATTCGTTAGGGTAATCCATTCCAGTCTAAAATACATGGGTATCCAACATCAGTTTAATTTTTACCAAGGATATAATAGTGGTAGAGATGACGAAATGTAAAATAACACTGTCAAGCAGCGAGCTGTTAAACGCAGGAAATGAAAATTATTGGTAACTGAACAATCATTGAGTCAACAGTGTACTTATACATTTGCTATCTTCTGTTTATAAGCTTTTTATCGCTATGCAACTCTCAGCCTCAAGATAACTATATTAAATTGTATGTGGTAAATCAGTATTTAATTTTCATATATTATTTAGAGATAGATTTTTGTGTTCTTCATTCGAAACAATCCTAGTAGTTTTATAACATTTTTCGTGTTGCAAACTTTATTGAATACTAGTATCAGGATGAAAAATATCCGACTTCGGCCTCTAAAAAATTCCGACTCCGGGTTCCCATTCCCAGAAAAATTTGTCAATTTTTGTATCATAATTTCACCTTATTCCTAGCGGTTTAATTTCCAACCACTCTATGAGCCGTTGCAAACTACAAAAGAAAGCAAAGGAAGATTAATGATGTCTAGGTTGACAGGCCATAGCAAATTTATTAGTAGCATACCCAGGGAATCAGTTTTATCAGAGACCATATGATCAACAAGATAATGAATAGAAATACCCTTCAGCAATATCGTCAACGTGCATTAACGAAACCCATATTTTGTTCTGTCCTTTTAATCTGTTCATATTTGTAATAATTAACTTTTTGAAATGTAGACTATTATGACGGCTTATAATTAAGCAAAAAATTGTACAAAACATATTGAAAGAATATTTAACAAATCAACTGTTAATCATCGTCCAATAGAATGAGCTTCCTATCCATTTCTTCTTCCTCTCCATTCAGATCGAGGTCGTCAACATCTTGGAATAACGTTTCATCCACTTCCACAACCTCGCCACCTGATGTTCAATGCAATTTTTTAGATAAAAGATACAATTAAAATAAATAATAAAGTGTGAAGAGCTTTAAATAAATAGAATTAGTCTTATTTTATCTAACATTTACTGCCGAGAACATTCACTCGAGAACTTATACAAGTAAACGTTCATTTTGATGAAATAAATGTGATGGCTTGAAGGTTTTTTTCAACTCAGGTTCAATCAGGAGCTTGCCGTAACGTGAGTGATACGAAAAAATAGGCGTTGATTGTGTGGAAATAAATAAAAGATCAAAATAACTACACAATGCCCAAATCGCATACTTATCATTTTATGCACATAAAAAACGAAAACTTGCTCGTGCAAACAGAACTAATCACAGGCTCACCGCTTTATGCCTGTTAATCTAGCTCGGACAACGCTTATTTTAAACTTAAAAGCTATCACTTGCTTAGAAAGTATGATGCAAAGCTTGTATCTATGTACGTATAAATGCACATATGCGTTTTGTGGCGTGAGTGATGAAGTCTTTGCGGCATAGAAAGATTAGTTACAACTAGGTGGGGCATGAATAACATGTCAGAGCCGCATAATAAATTATTTTGACTAAGATAAAGGTATAAGACATTCCGAATAATTGGTAGGACGCAAGCAGATGATTAATTCCCATTCAAAAAAGTCTTTCCGAAAAAAATCTATTTAGATAAGAAGGCAAACCCTAACAATTGTAACCACTATCTTAACTAACAACTAAGCACAAAATTAATATAAAAATCATACCCTCCTCGAGAAATTTGACATCAGAATCATCCATGGCATGATCTTTCATGAATAATTCACGACCTGAAAAAAGTTTATTTTACTTTTATTCAACAATTACATTCAACAATTTTATGTAATCTTATTTTATCATCTTGTTTTGATGTTTGCCAAATTTGTGTACAAATAAATACATACATAAAGATATTTGATAAATTATTCAATAATTGATAGACAAGAAGCAAAATATTTTGCAGTACAGACACACCTTCTCTTGGTTATGCTCATTTATTAACTGAAATAAAATAGCTATCTCCATTTACAAATAAATCGGTTTCAATATAGCTATTTAAATTTCATATCATAGCGCCAAAATAAATAGCTAAAATGTTATTACATTTTTTCCACATATGTGAAAATAACTTTTCCTATATAGGAAAAGTTAATTCTGATATATAGATATATTTCCTGTCATTCCCTCACTGATAACATTGATACATTAATGCCTTTCACTGTGATTCGTTTGTAAAACTTGAAACATACAAATGTTGGTTATTTGTGATTAAAATAAAAAGTAATTTTAACAAAACCTGTTAGTTTCCTCATTAGTAGGTCGTCTTTGATTTTTAATTTTTTTAGTTCCATCATCTCAGCATCAAATTTTGTTTTCCATTTGAAAAAGCTTTCTACCGTGACTTTCGTTCCTTCAAATTTTTTCTACATACAGATAAAAATAAATACATAATAAGTTTAAGCTATATGACATGATAAAACAAGTGTCAATAAAAACGTAATGTAGCCTCTGTAAAAATAAGACAATAATAAGCTTGCAGAATGAACTTGGAGTATATAAGAAAAGTTAATTCTGATATATAGATATCATTAAAATTGAAAAAAAGGTTTTAAATATTTCAAAAGAAATTGCAGATTTGTTAAGCCACATGAAAAAAAATTGCAAATACAAACTCGTTCAGCTTCTTCAGCAGCCTTCAACTTTCTGTCCTCTTCATCTCTTTTATTTGTAGCAACAGTTTCAACGATTTCAATCAACTTATCCTGCAGAGCAGTCACTATGTTGTAAGTCATCACCGTGCCAACGTTCTCCTCGGCCTTCAATTAAATACAATTCCATTAGAACTTTAATGAAATTTCTTTTCTACTTCTACTGTTGGTTACATAAATCATGAAATAAATTGTGTACAAACTTTGCATTGTTGTAATGAAAAAAAGTTTTGTGAAAAAAATTATTTTATCATCATTATATATTTTAGAAAGCATACGATGCAGTGGCTAGTGACAACTCAAATGTTCATGGTAATTCGATAGGGGGGAGGTACTTGACGAAATTATATGAGACAAAAAAATATAAGCAACATTTCAAAAAGTAAAAAACAAAACAATGAGTGAGGAAATGACTCTAGATGTCGAGCTCGTTTGATTAATTCAAAATTGGTATTTGTAAATAAAATTAGTAAAATAAAAAGCACTTGTGCTCTGTTGAAACAAAAACATATCCAACCATTCGAATTCATTGTATAATATTAAAACTACTCACAAGTCGTATGATCATTTCAGTTAATACTTCGACATAACTTTCTTCAAGATTTGAATGGCTGATTATTTCCACTGCTGGAACTTCATCGGGATAATTTTCAGGCAGTGTGAACTTCAGGCAGATTTCAACTAGACGGAATAAAATAAATCTAATTACCTGATAAAAGTTTAAATAAACTGAACAGAAATGAAAATAGTGGGTTAAGAACAAATTAATTATCTGATAAGAGTTAAAATAAGAAAGCTAAACAAAAATGAAAGCAGCTACTCACCATCCTCCATATCCACCTTTTCAATTTGTGTTGCAATTGTTAAAAGAAACGATATCAAAGGCTCCCTCGAAATTACTTTAAAAAATAAATTTTAGCAAAATTAATTTTAGAATAATTAAATAAATTTCTAAATAAAGGCATAATTTTAAATATATAGTTAAAATTATTTTGAAGATAAAATGCAAATTTTTCTTGAAATAATTCAGGTAGAAATACAAAAATACAATGATCTAATTAGCATTTAATTTCAAGAGTGTCACTAGTCTTATCTTTTGTTTAAAAAATAAAATATAAACAAAAATAGAAATAATCAAAAATTTTGTCTACTTGTTAATTCATTTGTGTATATAGATTCCAATACTTCGAGTTCATTGCTCTGGTCTTCTTTTAGGTCACCCATTCCTTAGTTGTAATTTTGTTAGCTTTGCTAACTTCAACTTCTTGGTTGGTAACAGTAACAAATAACTTGTAACGGCTATATATTGGAGATGTAAGGAAATAAATACAGTAAATTGATTATTAGTTTTTATAGCTATATTTAAATAACACAATTAGTTCAATCTTATATATTTTATATATATTGACGAAAATCACATCAATATATAAATATTGATAAAAATCAAAGCATGTTCAACGTTGCATTTCTGACAGTCTTAATCCAATATATATATATATATATATATATATATATATATATATATATATATATATATATATATAATTAAATATATATATATATGTGTGTGTGTTTGCGTGTGTGTGTGTGTCTGTCTGTCTTCTTCTAACATTTATAATTCCAACAATTTGATGAAAATCATAAAATATATTGTAAATATAGAAATATATATATAATATTAACTTGACTTTTTGTATCATTATATAATGCATAATGATAATCAATAAGAAGACAATGCATAATCAATGTAATGGTGATAGCATTTTGAATAGGTCCCTTTTTCTCTTTGTCTAAAACTAGTCTAAACTAACTTCTTAATTTTTAACACTTTATTAATTTTAATTAAATTAAACAAGAATTCATTTTCAGTTAAAAAAGTGATTAAAGTTAGGTTAGTGTTAGTTGATTAATCAATCAATCAGTTCTCACGCCTTTAGGTAGCATGTGGCATCATCAGCATGCCTCTCATCTCATTCATTCTCATGGGTCATTCATGGTCTCATGCCAACAGATTCAAAGTGATCCTTCCACCATATTTATCAATGGAAAAATCTTATTCAAAATTACGAGCTGGATCTGTTTGCGTTCATGCACGTGCTGCACGCATGCATGGGACCGGATGGCCAACATGGATGATAACACTAACACTAAACACTAACTAACAGATAAGAACATGATGTTCAACATAACAAATGACTTTTATCATGATTAGGAATTTCATTAAAAAATAATAAATGAATGCAACTAATTTAATGTAACAATAGTCGAAACACGTATACAGTACAGTAAACTAAATAAAGTTAATAAAAAATTAAACGAACCAAAACCACGAGCAAAGAACAAGATGATGAAACAAATTTGTTTACCAGGCGAAGTTTAACTTTTACTCAGTAGTAGAACGATTAGAAACGATGCAAAGATAAATAAATGATTCCCGATTGAAGTTACAAACATGGATATCCATGGTTACAAAGCACGGTGACCAACGTATATGTATGTAGAATATTGAATATACTTAAATTATTTATATGAATAAATGTTTGGTGACCTAAATGTTTTCTAATCTTGTTTTGTATTCTCTTCGCTCAAGCCTTTGCTTGAATAAATGTATGCAAGTAAGACATCGATATATATATATATATATATGTTGGTAAAAGACCATAATTTTTACAATATTCTATAAATTCTACCGAATGTTTGGCGTTAATATGTTTGTAGTTCGTTTTTTCGATTTTTCGGTGAACGTTTAGTTTATTAAAATTCAAAATAAACTTATTTTTCGAATTCATGCTGCAAATAAGGCCATATTTCGATTCCGAATGAATCATCGTCAGTGCTCCTTGCTGTATATATAGGGAAATATTGACTTTGTCAAGATTAACTTTGACGTTGTAAATATTAACTTTGGTGTTGTAAAATTGAACTTTGATGCGAATTAGGTGTCAA